GGGGGGTGAATGTGAGTGGGCATCTGGCTCTGCGAAATGCGACGACTGAGCTGACCCCAGTGTGACGAGTTGGCGATGGTGGCAAGGTGGGTCAAGCTTTGATGCTCTTCTCAAGCTGACAACAGCTCGAGAAGGGCTTGATCGTGCGTATAGTTTCGCCATAGTGTATCTGCAGCGCTGCCAGTCACTGGGGGTGAGTCGAGCTATAAAGAGTAGGAAGTGCAGCTAACGACAGCGGCAGGAGGGGGGGAAGTTGAGCTCGTCGAGTGTGACTGTGTTCCACAGTCCAAGAGCACCAGTAAGTCCAGCTAGGTACGTGTTCGTCTGCAGCTGACAACCAGACCAACGGATTACGCACGAGTGGCGGTGTCAACAGAGGTGGGTTCAGCTGCGATGATACCGGAGAAAAAGCTTACGGCAGACTCGAGAGTGCGTCCCAGCTAGCAGGCGATGAATTGCGAGCTGATCCCCAGGGTACGGCAGCTGTGAAGCCATCACCAAGCTGAAACCAGGGTACGTCCAGCTGCCCAAACCTCGAGTTCGAGCTGACGACCAGGGGTGGACACGGCAAGGTCGGCAAGAAGGAGGTACGTTCAGCTGCCCAAAGCTCTAGCCATAGCTGACTCTCAGAATGGAATGACAACGACAAGGAAGTGGGTTGAATTGTAGGGTAGGGCAGGTGAGTCCAGCTTCCAAACGGCCATTAGAAGCTGACACGTCAGTTTCTTCGCCTCTCCTCGGTGTGTGCAGCTCTAATATACACATCGAAGCTGATGGCAGGGTACGTTGCAGTCCAGGCTTCACTTTGCTTCAGCTAACATGTGGCGACAGGGGTGTGAGAGGTGAGGCTAGCGTAAGTGAAGTCTTTCAGCCAACGACAGATACGCCCAGCCGCGCGTAGTCCACGGAAGTCGGCGCTTTGAGAAGGAGTATGAGTAGGGGAAGCTGAGCGATAGCAGCCGAAGCTGACAACAGACGTACAGTACGTCCAGCTACGTGGCACACAACACGAGCTGACGCCCAGCCACACGCAGAAGGTGAGGCTGATGTAGACCGTTTCAAGCTGACGACAGGGAACGTGAGTCGAGCTATAACGATGGTGAAATCTTCAAGCTGAAACCCCAGCGGAGGCCGTTTATGGTGGCGGTACGTCCAGCTAGGGAACCAGGTCTGAGCTGACGACAGAGAACGGTGACTTGCCTTGACCTGATCGCGGAAGGTACGGAAAGTACCCGTGGTCCAAGTTGGCACCGAGGTATGTGCAGCTACGTACCGCTGGTCAGTAGCTGACTTGGCAGCGAGAAGCTCAGTGGGTACGTACAGCTAAGCAGTAATTCCACAGCTGACGACAGGGCACCATCCATAACCGGCACCACTGTCTTAAGTGCAGTGCCGTGGCCCCCGGGTTGATAAGAGGTAAGACAGTTTCGATGCTAATGACGAACTGACATCAGGTATGCAGCTGCACAGGTATCGTAGAGCTGACGGCTCAGCCGAAGCGGACAAGTAGGTGCAGCTAAACAGTCCTCGTGCCCAAGCTGACAGACAGGGTAGGTCCAGCTTCTTGGCTCGTCCAGCCTAGCTGATTCTCAGCACCGGTACGCTACCACGATAAGTGTGACAGCTAACGGCAGGGTACATATGCTCTGGTATCAAGACAACGGCGACACGGCATCGAGTGAGTCCAGCTGTGCCGAGACAGAGGCCGAGCTGACGCGCAGGTGGGTGCAGCTCCCAACCCTCCACCGCGAGCTGATCTCAGTGGGTCCTGAGCATGGACACGCGTCGGCCTTAGACGACAAAGATGGAGACAGAGCGTAAGCTGATCCAGATGTGCATGGAGCTGACGATCAGAGTGTGTACCAGCTACTTGGCGTTCCTTGTAGCTGACTCCAGGCTCGTTCAACTACAAGTCTGTTACGTGTCGTTGGCCCCTGGGCCAGGCCCCTACCCACGTCGTCTGGACGACACAGGCGTCAGATGTGAGCTTCCTGGTTGCAGCGGTAGAGCTGACAACAGTCGCGAACACCGACATGGTGAGCTTGATGCTCCTGCTCAATAGCTGATCCCAGGCCCTCGATGACACTGTAAGCTACCAGTCCCCTACCGGCGTAGCTGACCGCAGCCCGAACAATGGCACGAGTAAGCTCTTTGTCGCTCATGGTCAATAGCTGAACCCCAGTCCTACAACGACATATGACACGGTAAACTTGCCGCTCTTAGTCGATAGCCGACCCCGGCCCTTCCACGATACCGTAAGCTTTCTGCCCATCGTTCTTTAAGCTGAACCCAGCCTGAACGATGAATGATGACACAAGTAAGCTCTTTGCCGCTCATGGTCAATAGCTAATCCTCAGTCCAAAGTCCCCACGAAAATCGTAAGCTTTCAGCTCCTTCTTGCGAAACTGACACCCAGCCCCTTCCGTCCCTGTATGTCCATAGACCAACAACAACGACGCGACACGACTCCTCACGCTTCTGTATGCACAGCTCCCATTGTACATAACCATGCCATTGCTGGGAGACTGACGATGCGCTCGTTCGAGTCCACCTACTTATGCGATGCAGAGGTGGTGTGGAAGTGCACGGCAGCAGCGATGAAAGACGCGATAGAGCTGAAGACCGTACCCGGCAGCCACACGGTTGATGGGCCCGATGGCGGCGCGCGAGCCAGTGTCAGTGGCGGCGGACCGAGCGACAGCCCAAGCGACGGTCAAGCCATCGCGTCCAGCGAGCACAACCCTGGCGGCGGGCACGACAATTCCGACGGCGACGACGATCCCAGCATCTGTCCCCTCCTGCGCGATACAGAGGGACCTCGTGAGTCCCCCTTCCTCTGCCCTGTACTGACACCAAGGGCACTGCGTCGTACGCCGCCGGCGCTGGTCCCTCCGCTATCGCTGCATCGTGTGTGGCCGTTCCTTTGGCGCCTTCGCGCGCCACTTGCCCTGGGGCGGCATCCCGCTCCCGGAATGGTTTCGCGTGCCGTGGCGGAGACATCCGCAGAATGCCCCGCCGCCGCCGCCGGCGACACCGTCCGAGGACTCGTCTGTGCTGAGGACGCTTCCGCCGTAGTCCCCCTGATGTTGGCCGGATTCCCATGTTCGACACGTTTACCCGTCCACGAACACGTTTATCCGTCCTACACACTCTGTATTGGAGACAGAACTTGATCACAGTAAGCGAGAATGTGGCGCTGAATTGGAATGCATGCGATCGATGGAGTGGAACGTGGACAAGCTGCGACGCGTGGTGGAGGTATGTTAAACTGGGAGGGTGGGAAATAGCGAAAATGCACGTTCATGCGCCACTCTGCACCACCACGATACAACGGCACGGCACGCTCCGAGCTCCATGGGCTCCGCGGTATGAAGCGAGACTGACGCGCGGGGCATGACGCGTCTCGCTTCTGAGCTGCTGACACGTCCCGACATGACAGACCTGACAGGCCTGACACGCATGCACGCGTCAGGCATGCATGGCATGCATGGCATGCTGGCGCATTGCAAACGGCATGTGCAACAAGCAGCAGGAAGGGAAGGGACGCGGGGGCAGATTTGCAACGGAGCGCCACCCGTGCCGTGTGTGTGCATTGTGGTGCCCGTGTGGTGCGGTTAGCCGAGCGCGGGTGCGGGCGAGATAGGGGGGATGGTATGGTGGCGAGGGTGCAAAAATTGGCAGATAATTGGTCAAAATTGGGATCAATCGCTGATCCTCGCTGTAGGGTGACTGCGCTCAGCCAGCCAGCATGACGCGAGTGCGCACCAAAGGAGGGATTTGAGGACCCTGGCGGCCTGGACCCTGGCACAATGCAGCCAGTCACGGCACGAGACCCGAGACGCTGACTTTTAAAACTGGTTCCGTGCCTGGCCAATGACTGCGGACGGCACTTTGAGGTTTGAGTCGATAGAGTGCCCAGATACGGAAGATGACGGAAGCTGCGGAAGCATCGAGAATTTTTTCGACCCCCCATCTACAAAGTGGCGAGGTCGTATATAAGTACTTTTGGGCATTTTTTCGCTACCTCCACCCACTCTCTCAACCCCCTCCACCTCCCCTCCTCTCGTCCAATCAAAATGGTGCCTGCTTGTGCTGGATTCGCTGGCGTCAACGCTGGACGTAAGTCTTCATAGCCTCCACCTCCACCTCCACCCTCACCATCCATCCACCCGTCCATACCATCTCACCTCCACTTCGTCATGCATGCAACACCGAACCCGTTCCATAGTTTCATGATACTTACTCCCTCCTTAGGTGACTGCCAGGCTCACCGCGTCGGCGGCGCCTCGCGCTGCGTCTTCTGCGACCGTGCCATGCGCGCCGTCCAGTACGTCTCGCCTCGCCCCGCACCCAAGCTCTCTCGCCGCAAGCGCTCGAGCCCCCCTCCCATCCCGAACATCAAGTTCCCCAAGGTCTACTAGGTTTCTCTTTTTCTCTTCATCTCTTGTGTCCATCATCGTCTCCACCGGGTTCCTGTTGTATCCATTATCACCTTTCCGCTCAAAATACCGAAACAAACCATCACGCATTATCGAAACACAAAACGAAAACAACACGTACCAGAGTGTAGCATCACAATCAACAACAACAACAAAGCGAAAAAGATGAACAATTAAGAATACCACTCTATTATAATGTCTAGCCCGCTGCATGCTGCATCGTACTGACAATGGTCTCACTGCAATTAACTTGAAGTCTCGTGAGGAAATCAAGGCGTGGTGCCACTCGCAGCTGCGCCTGTTTCGCGTTTCATCTGCCTCCGGCGGAGCTCCATAGTCGCCACCCACCACGAGCCTGGCGCTACTCTCCGAGTCGACCAGCTTGGCAGCGGCCGTGCACGGCGCGAAGCAGTGCCGCTCGGTGCACGCACGCCAGTCGTGCTCGGTGCATTTGCGCACACAGGTGCGACCCGAGAGTCAGCTATGGCTCAGCTCAGCTCGTCACGAGGCGTGAGGCCCGTGGGCGGTGCTTCCTTCGCGTGAGACTCGTGCGAGCGAGCATCGTCGACATCTGCTGTCAACTTCCACTCTCCCTTCTTTCCTCTTCCACCTCAAGCCTCCCACCCTCAATCCACCTTTGGCTGCGAACACGTCTCGATCTCCGGCCCTCGGCCCTCGGCTCCCTTCCAGCGTTCGGGGTGTTACGACTCGTCAGCGCCGCCGCCGCCATCGACACCATCAACGCCATCGACAGAGTGCTCGTCACGTGGCGATCTGGATCGACTGTGGCTGCGGGAACGACAGACGGTCGAGAACGCCGCAATGTATCGACTCTGCAGAGGCGACAAGCAGGGGTATAATGTTGGTCGTGAGTATCACCTCTTCTTCAAAGACCCGTTCTCCTCTCTTCCGTGTAACGAGCATATCCCTCCATTGTCCCGCTCATTCTTTCTCCTCCCTCCATCCTCCCTCCATTCCCCCGCCGCCATCAGATAGCCCAGTCCAGCTGACAGACAGGTCCCTGCCGCCCCCGACCCCGCGAGCCAGCATTCCAGCACCACGCCTACTGCGTCATCTGCGCGAGTGTGCTGCCCCGGCCGCCGTACGACTTCACGCTCTGCGCGGGTTCCTCGGAAGAGGACGCAGAGTACGTCGACAATGTCGAGATCGAGCGTGCCGTGAGGCGGTTGCCGTTCCTCAAGTCCAGCTCTGGTGACGGGAAGCGGTCAATCTGGGGCGTCATTGGCGGATCCAAGGGGAAGAGTGGACAAAGCGGAGCCGGAGCCCAGGACAGGAATAATGGGGGACAAGAAGGACAAGGGCTGAAGGGAGGACAGGGGACGCAGGGAGGGGGGAAGGTGTTTGAACGGGGGGTGCGCGGAAACAACGGGGCACAAGGAGTGCCCGCAGGAGTGGGACAAGCACAAGGAGCACAAGTCGGGGAGGATAAGAGGTAAGTCCGCCCCAGAGGGACACAGGACCAGGACGTATCTGAAAGCGCAGAGAGTGGGCGACCCGTGTAAACGCGGCGATTGCAGCACGGCGGGCCCAGCCCCAGTCCCAACCCGAAGGCCAGCCAGACCTCCGGCGCAAGCACAGCGGGAGCTTCACGCTGTACGGTCTGTCTCGCTCCAACAGTCGCGGAGACGGCGGAGATATCGGCCGGAAGTCTGGCGTCAACGGCGGGAAGACTGGCAAAGGGGGCAGCGGGGGCCGGCCAGGCAGCGACGAGCCCGAGGTCTGGGTCGTTAGTCGGCCCAAGGTCGTCCAGCCCCGGGGACCGGCACGATGCAGGTCTCACGCACATACGCCCAGCGGACTTGCGCGGTGTATCACCCCCGAACCGGAGCGGGAGATGGTCACCGTTTCCCTTGGATTGGGACTTGGACGACTGGGACCGTTTGCGATCAGCAAGGGCGGCATCACAGAGAAGGAGCAGAAAGCAGCGAGGAGGAACAGTCGCTGGAGCCTGAGGCGGAGCAGCGTCTCCAGTCTTAAGAGCATGAGGAGCACAGCGAGCATGCAGAGTAGAGCAAGCGAGAGGAGCACAGCAAGCACGACGAGCACGGCTAGCATAGCAACCACAATGAACGGGGATATGAACCCGCCCACCACGACCACCACCGTAAGCACTGGAGCGGCGAATGCGAACACCCAGAAGGGCAAGACCAAAAAGAAGAACGACAAGGTGCCCGGAACGGTCTCGGCGTGGCCGTCTTGGACTGTTCTTAGCGCACTGCGCATGTTCCGCCCCCAGCACCCTGAGACCAAATCGACACGAGTGGCACGCGAGCACATATATCTGTAGCCTTTGTAGCATGAGTGCGCATGAATCGCGTCGTGTGGTGCAGTAGAAGCGCCCTTATCGGGTCGTTGCTTCTCGGTCTGTGGTCCAAGACAGTGGAAGCCGCGCCAATCGTCAAGATAAGGACGACGATCTGAGGCATTTGTCTATACCATTCTAGTCCCGGCAATGACTCCGCATTGCTGCGTAAGATGGGACGACGGATGATCCATCACCACCATTGGCTTGCAGAACACCGCAAGCAGTGCTTAGCAGTGCTGGAGGCGATTCGCCACCCACCTAACCCTCGGTCGTGTGGCCCCACACTTTGCCAGCCACGCGATGTCGCCACTCGGCAGACACGTAAGGCACGCCGGCGGTGTCCGGCAGTGCGCTGCGTGACTCCCCAACTTGCTTGGTCTGACCTCGCGTTATCGATGACTTTGGCACCACCCATCCCCCCATCACCACGACCACACCGCCAACATGACATCCGACTCTATGGGGACACAGACGCTCATCGCGGGCATGTTCCTCACGGGATGCGCCAACTCGCTCCTGTAAGCATCCTCTTTTGCCGCTGCGCCCCGAACGCGGCTCGGTGTCAGGCGATGTTGCCACCCACCCAGAACCAGGCTGACGCGAACAGGACCAAGTACCAGGACAAGCTTTGCGTTGAGAACTGCGAGGGCCAGGGACCCAGGCAGGACTTTGAGCAGCCCGTGTGGCAGACGCTGAAGTACGTAAGAGCTAACCATTCACCCGCGATGAGTAGCTGACCATTCAGCATGTTTGTCGGCGAGTTCCTGTGTATCATCCCGCTCCTGTGGGGCCGATTCACCAAGCAGCCCAAGATCGCGCTGCCCGAGGACGAGCTTCCCATCCCCGTCGAGGCCGCGGGAGAGCGTGTCCCGCTCCGCGGCTGGGCGTGCTTCTGGCTCTGGTTCCCTGCCTTCTTCGACATCTGCGGCACGACCCTCATGAACGTCGGCCTTATCCTGACCCCTGTCTCCGTGTATCAGATGTCCCGCGGCGCTCTCGTACTCTGGGTTGGTGTACTCAGCGTCATCTTCCTCAAGCGCCACCTCGCGCTGTACCAGTGGGCCTCTCTCGTCATTGTCACCCTCGGCGTCGCCCTCGTCGGTCTCGCAGGCACGCTCGCGAAGAAGGGCGGCGTCACGCCCGAGGCTCTCCTCGACGTCATCTCGAGCACGCGCGCGGACGACGAGCCGGCCAAGGTTGCTCTCGGCGTCATCCTGATTCTGTTCGCCCAGATCTTCACCGCGTCGCAGTACGTCGTCGAGGAGAAGATCATGGCGCACTACAACGTCGACGCGCTCGCCGCCGTCTCGCTCGAGGGCACGTTTGGCGGCCTGACGACTGCCGCGGCGATGCCGATCCTGCACTACTTCTTCGCCGCCAAGAACGCCTACTTTGACGTGCCCCGCGGCTGGGCCCAGATCGTCAACAACCCCGCCGTCATGTGGGCGTCGTTCATGATTGCGCTCTCCATTGGTGCCTTCAACTTCTTCGGCCTGTCCGTCACGAGCCGTGTCTCCGCCACGACGCGCTCCACTATCGACACATGCCGCACCCTCGGTATCTGGATTGTGTCTGTCGCTATTGGATGGGAGCACATCACCGTATACTCTATCCTCCAGGTTGCCGGATTCGCGATGCTCGTCTACGGCACGTTTGTGTTCAACGGCCTCCTCCAGCCCGTGCTGTGCAAGCCCCGCATCGAGCTCGAGGAGGAGGAGGAGGCCTAAGGAGCCATGCCGGGCCAAAGGCGAGACTGCGTGGTCTTGCCCGTTGCCGTTCCCCACTGCAGCTATCGCACCCTCTAACCCATGGACTGTCCTCAACTTTGCAACACAACCGCATACCAATACCTTCCCCAAGTCCGAATCAGAACCAGGATCCAGAAAGTCTCAGAAGTCCCACGAACGCGAACGCTCATGATAGAAGACCATACGTACTAGACCGGCTTCGTGCTATGTACATTTTCATCGTCTTGCTGTACAACTGACTACTACACAAACAGTCTGAACGGACTGAACAGACTGATGACTGGGTATCGGGGCGTGCGCAGTGCACGCTTGGCTTTGCTGGGGCTAGCGGGGGTGATGCAGTTGATGGGCTTGAGATACAGGAGAGCATGCTTGTAGTCGAGTCCTGGGCTTGTACAGGCGCAGGAGACGTGCTAGGAATTGAGGAGGCCCCTCGCGCTGAGGCTACGCCTGCGGCTGGCTCCGACGATAGCGCCTCTTCCTCTTCGGCCCCTCGAGCAGCGTCTCGATCAGCGCCGCGGCCTCGTCCACCCCCTCGGCGCTCGGCTGAGCGGGCATCTGCGGAGCTTGCTGTCCCTGCTGTCCTGCTCCCAGTCCTCCACTCGATCCCTCCCCGATCGCCGGCACCGCCGCCGAGGTCCCCGTTACCAGAGCCGTAGGGCCGGAACTACGACGAACCATCACCCCAGGCGAGCCCGCGACGGGCGAGGTCGAGGCTGGCGAACTCGCACTCGGAGACGTGATAGCTGGCGCAGAAGCCGAGGCGGAGAGCATCCTTCCAGTGTCCGTTCCCACTGCTCCTGTCCCCGCTCCTCCAGCACCTCCGGCTCCGCTGGCTCCGCCCAAACCTCCAGCAGCCGCCAGCCCGCCTCCCGCAATATTCCCCCCAGTGACGACGGGCACGACGCCCCCCACGCCCGCCGCTGCGGCCGTGACCACCGTTGCGAGGGGAGAGCTCGCAAAGGCAGCGTAACCACCGGAGATGGGGCCTGAGGACTGGCGCGGCGCGCGGGGGAAGCCGCGCTCACGCTCGCGGTCGCGGTCGCGGTCCCTTTCTCTGCGGCTGTGGCTGTGGCTATGAACGTAGCTGTCGCGAGAGTACGGAGCGTATGCACGCCTGCGGGGCCTGTGTCAAATGCGTTTAACAAGGATGGAAGAATATGCACATGGTCAGAAAGGGAGGCTTACGACTTGAGGACGCGTTCGGTCCACTCCTACTCGCGCGATGGTATTGAGAGGCGGCGGATCAAGCAGTTGAAGATGGTCAATGGGTGAGAGCGCACAGTGGGCGGGGAGACGTAGCAGTTGAGATTCATGACAACGTAGTTTTGACAAGACAGACAGAGTTATGCGGTGACAAGACAGAAGATGTGATGGTGTGGTCGTGCAGATGTTGGTGAGGGGAGGGAAGGTGGAGGTGTAGTGGAGAGTGGAGGTTAGACGTGAGTACGAAGTAATCCAGAGGTGAGCACTCGTTCGTCCTGGAATCCGGTGAATTCGCCCCGTCGCTTCGTGAGATTCGCCTCGGTTCGCCTGGTGTGCGCCTCGGCGTCGTCGTCGACGTCCTCGTCGCCCCGAAGCACTACTTCGGGAGCGCCTTCCATCAGGTCAACCCGCCAAGCGACTCACCTGCTGGAACGTGACGCTGCTGGCCGAGAACAACCTGTCAGCCTCGGTCGCCTCATTCTTCTTCTTGTTGCTGTTCGCGGGCGGCTTCAGGTAGTTGTCGAAACCCTTGATGATGTTGCCGCCGCTCGCGGCCGTCTCGTCCAGGTAGCTGCCCTCAAAGGCCCAGATCGACGTCTCGAGGTTCGCGAGCGTACTGTCGATCGCACGCTTCTTCCGCTGCGCAGCCTCAAGTTCCGCCAGTGCTGCGCTCTGAGCCGTCTTCGCTTCTGCTGGAGGTCCTGTCGAGCTCATGGTGAGTGGAGATAAGATGAGATGTGGAGTGGAGGGAGCGCTAAGTGACTGATCTAGGGTCGAGAACGGAGCTGTCGCCGCCACGTGCGACGGCTTGACCTGGGCGGAAACAAACTGACATCGAACTTCTGCATGATCCAGACTCTGCGCAGAGGTCTCGCGACAAACCCAGGCCTGATCTGCGATCTGCAAACGGGCCGACTTCCGGGCTGCAACTGCACAGAAAAACAAGCAACTAGACGTAACAACCATGCACCAGCCCGATATGAGGCATATGATCCATCGTACACAGCACTAGGTGCCCTCCAAATGCTAAGAAACAAACCGCGCTTAAGCCTCGATGGCCTGGACGGTCTGGCCGGTCTTAACGTTGTCAAGGTCCTTTGAGCGGGCAACCTCGGCGCCGGGGACGGAGAGGATGATCTCGATGTGGCAGGGGTGGCCCTGGTAGGGGTTGATGCGACCGTGGGCGCGGTAGGTGCGGCGGCGGGTCTTGGGGGCCTGCTGGACGACGATGTTCTTGATGATGAGCTCGTCGGTGGCAAGGTCCTTGGCGTCGGCGTTCGACTCGGCGTTCTTCAGGAGGCGGAGGACGAACTGGATCGACTTAACAGGCCAGCGACCCTTGGTCGTCTTGAACTGCTTAGCCTGGCCGGTGCGGCCCATGGAGCCGTCGAAGCGACGGAACGGGATGCACTGCTTGTGCTCCTGAACGTCCGAAAGGTAGGCGTACGCCTTCGAGAGCTTCATGCCTGCAACAGTCAGCATCTTGTCCTGTTTCCTCTGCGCATATTCTCCTCTTCTTCGAGCTGGCCATCCGAGAGCGGTCCTCCGTCCTCTGCCTCCATCCCCGACATGCGAACTTCGATCCCTCGGCCACATCCCACTCCGTCCAAACTTCCAGCACTTCTGCACAATTCCAGCTCTCTTCCGACCAGCTCTTGCGCCTTCTTCCGAATCGTATACGCACCCGAGATGGCGGCGGCAACCTCGCGAGTGTTCTTGAAGTGGGTACGAACATACTCGCCACGAGCCTTAGCGACTGTTCCGGTCAGCATTTCTGTCCTTTCCTTCCATCCGTGTCCAGCTGTCGGCTGCTTCGAAACGCACACTTCTCGGGGTTCGAGTTGACGAGGGCACTGCTGGCGTAGCGAACCTGACCGTTAGCATGCACGCTCGTGCACGGCGCTCGCTCACCATTTTTGAGGCTTTGAAGGTTGACGGATGGCTAACAAGTCCCAGATGCTCTACCGTTCAAAGCCAGGCGGCGCTCACTCGGACGGGATCAAAATTCGTCGAAACTAGGCACGCTCGGCCTGGAGGAGTTTGGGTAGACCAGACATGTAACGCCGATAAATGCCGGACAGCCAAGTATCCGTGTGGCACTATGCTGCATGGCTCTCGCGTGGGCTGCACAGACTGTCCAGTTACGTAACTCTCAGGTACAGATCTTGTTATCGCGCCCTCAAGATCAACCAGGCACGGCACATTCCTGTGGTGGACAGGCTTTACGCGACGAGACCAGAGCAGGGGCGAGCTATCGAGAGATTGCGACACCTGACAATGCACACTCTGGCAAAGCTCCGCGTTCCTCACCAGTGTCCCTGCGTTCCTTGGTCCGTCTCCGCGGGTGAGACATCTACTCGAAGGCTGACAGGTGACGGACTGTGATCCGCTCGCTTGGTCCTCGCGTGCCGATCACTCCGTCACCTGTCCCCGTCTGCCTTAACGCCCTCTCTCGCATTGTCTCTTTGTCATCACCTCTCTTCCCATCGACATGGAGACACTGATCACCTACCAAGAGTACAAGCGCTACACGTCTCAACTCCTCCAGTGGCTCACGAACAAGTCCAACTCGATTCTCGTCAACAACCGGCACGAATGCTCCGTTAGAGTGAACGGTACCGGCCGCGTGTACACTGGTGACCTTGTGCCAATGGCCAAGCTGGTCGCCCGGTACGTCACCGTCCCACCCCACATCCACAAGATCCTCTTCTCGACAATCGAGCTTCGTACCGCGCGCTACCGTGAGTTCAAGCGGCTCGAGCGGACATGCCCCTGGCTGGCCGGCAGCAACGAATCACACTACCACTTCATCGAGGTGCTGCAGAGCATGTTCGGAGCGCTCGGCGGCCCAGCATGGCAAGAGCGACAGAAAGCCTCTGAGCCGGAAGACATTGTCAACCGATTCGACGGCCTGCATGTCGATGCAGGCGAAAGTGGTGAGGAGTCCGCTGGCGCTGCGCCCGCCCCGCAGCAGCGGAATCGGCGTCACAAGCGGAATGGCCGCAAGAAGGCCAAGTCGAAGAGAACTGCGCCCCCGCTTCCTCTCGAGAGCTATCAGATCATCCAGGATGACGAGAGCCTGACAACCGACTACCTCATCGCGGCGTACGAGCTTGTGCAAGAGTTCCGCGTGCTGCGCAAGTTTGTCCAGAAGCAGTGGCGATCAGTCGCCTACGAGGGACTCAACAGTGCCGTCGCCGGAGCGTTGTCGCACATGGTCGTTGCTGGCATCCAGGAGAGCGAGCTCGAGATCTGGCTCGATTTCCCCGACGGATACGATACGTTTGAGTCGGTGATCCGCAGCGTCACCTGCGGCGACATGGAGCGCGCACACAGCATGTTTGGCGACACGGAGAAGGACGACTTCAAGGAGTACACGATGTACTACACGTACCAGGCCCTGCTTGCATTCCTGAAGGACTTCCAAGAGAACCGGAGCGGCAAGCCGACGAAGCGCATGGCTAAGGAGCTGCGCAACTGGGACCCGAAGATGAACCTGCTCGCTGCCTCCAAGGAGCAGCGCTTGACGTGGCGACGGCAATACACGATCCTTTGGCTGTACGACCTCGTCAACGTCTACATCCGCGGGCGAACGACCAAGTGTCCATCGTGCGATCGCTGCGAGGAGAACGTCGAGATCCCCAAGGAAGAGGGGAACTGGAAGGACGCCGGCATCTGGCGCCGGCTGTTCGGCATGAACGAGTTCGCCGGCTTCGTGTCCTGGCTCGCGATGCAACGGCCCGGCACGGACGTCACGAAGAGCATCAGGCCGCACCATGTTTTTGAGCTTCAATGTCTCGTTGACTCGTGGTGCACAGCTCGTGGGTGGGCTCCGACTGAAGACGCAGGGAAGCAGCTGGGTCCACCAGCAAAGGACTTCGAGCCAGAGCGGGACTTGGAGAAGTTCCTCGGCATGCCAAATGTGCCAGGAAGCTTTCAGCACGGTGTGAGCTGGCTGCCGACGCCGTCAACCAGGAACGAGAGTCGCTGGCGCGCAACATCTTCCTCACCATCACCGAACGGCTGCGATCCGACTTTATCTTGTGTCTTGGGTACGTGCTTCTAGATGACAGGCTCGCCTTCCAGTCCGACTTCACCCGCGCCAACGGTCTGTGGTCGTACAGTCCGTACCTTTGCGGTGTCGGGCTCTCAGAGGCACTGGAGCTGGGGCAGAAGCTTGGCCTGTCGATGCTGGAGATCGCGCCCGAAGTCATGATGATTGTGCACCTGTACAACGAGGCCGTGCAGAAAGGTTACATGCAGCGCAAGCCACACCACTTCTGCGAGCGCCTCATGCGGCTCTTAGATCCATCATCGTTCTTCGTCAACGGCGAGCTGCCCAAGGAGAAGTTCGCCGAGGCGCTGTTCCAGCAAACCCAGGCGAACCTTCCTTTCGCGCAGCGGCGACGGAACCCGCGCTGCATCACTTGCAGTGTTCGCAACCAGCTCGACTCGGACTACAACACACTACAGCGCTACCAGTACCGGCAGAGCAGTAAGGGCACGCACCTTATGCGGCCCAAGGAGAATGTGAACAAGTATTACCGCCACGACTCATTCCTCGTCAAGTGCTATAACGCGGACTGGAACGTGCACAAGATCCGTGACGATGTGCTCGACGTGGACTCGGCACTCTTCAAGTTGCGCGTATACCGGAGCGCATGCGTGCCAGCGTCGAGCGGGGATGACAGTGGCGTCGAGTTGGAGGACACAGAGCTGGTGCGGCTGGCCCGCAAGGCAGGCGTCAAGGAGAACGAGCTGCTGGCCGGCCATTGCTGGGTGCAGCAGCTCGTGGATGGAGCGCAGCCCGCGCCGCGTGACGCTAGTCCCGCCTCGGCCAAGATCAGATCGAAGGCGCTCACCCTCAGCGCGCTGAAGTACGACCTGCAGACGGACATCTGCGGCGCGCGTCCAATGTCAGGGCTGAACTACTGGCTCGTCGTCTCGCTCGTCCTGCGCTTCTTCCGGCGCCTGGAGGCGACGCTCGAGGCAGGCAAGGAAAGCGAGTCGTTCAACTTCCGCTACAAGACGGATCACGAACACAAGGAGAACCAGCGCCTGAATGTGGTGCTTGAAGCGCTGATTGAGAGGGACGACGCACTCTTGCGCGTTGTTGCGCGCGAACTGCAGAACGACACTGAACTCAACCGCGGCCTTGGGCCGTGCGTGTACTGGGATACGACCGACCCGCTTAAAGGCTGGACCGGCTCGTCCCAGACTCTTGTATCATAGGCTAGGCATCTACAAACACATGACCATGTATCGCTATGTAAGATCCAGAGGCTGCCAATGGGATGGCGAGGTGGTTGTCCGTGGAGCGAGACGCTTATCTCTCGCCAACAAGTTCTTATCTCTCGAATGGTCAGGTCACGTGACTGTCCATCCCGTTGGTGATCACGGAGATCTTGACGTATGCATCGTCTGATCATACAAGAAGTCTAGCTAGCATTATGGGACAGATGAAAGGAAAAGAAGGACCGCACCACTTCCTGACGTGCGGCCCGTGGTCTACTTTGTTTACTGTTTAGTGCGCGGGAGCGGGGGTGTCGTCCTCGATTTCGGCGGGGAGAACAAGGTTGAGGAACACGCCGATGATGGACGAGATGAGGTAGGGCTCCTCGACGATGAGAATGATAGCGTCGAGGAAGCCGCGGAGGGAGGTGTTGGGTCCGTTGTAAGTGAAGATGTAGTTGAACCAGTGGGGAGAGACGAGGGACGCGAGACCGAGAGCACACGAGGTGGTGGCGATGAAGCGGTCGCGGCGGGTCCACTTGGCGAACGCCATAATGCGGATACCCGAGACGGCGACAGAGCCGAAAAGGAACGTGGTGAAGCCGCCAATGACGGCAGGAGGAGCGGCGACGAAGATGGCACCAAACTTGCCGATGATGCCCATGAGGAAGAGGATAGCAGCGCACATGTATCCACTGCGGCGCGAGGCGTTGCGCGTGAGCGCGATAACGGCCGAGTTCTGCGCAAAGGTGGTGAGCGGCGTGATGGTGCAGAGGTTGGCGAGGGCCGCGCTGACCGCATCCGCAAGCATGCCACCCTGGATGCGGCTCAGGAACTCGGGGCCCTCGAGAGGCATGTTGCTGGCCTGGATCGAAGCGGTGATGTTGCCGATGGACTCGGCGACGATGACAGCGTACGAGGCAAGCATAGGGAGGACGAGCTGGCCGCGCAGACCGAGCGGGAACGTGTGAACGAAGAGGAAGGTGCCACCGGGCGCCTTCTGGATGACCTTGCCGTCAAAGTAGCCCGTGGCGGCGGCGATGATCATGCCGGTGACGAAGCCGATGAAGACAGAGGCAGACTTCATGAACGCCGAGCCGAAAATCTCGCAGATGACAATGACCGAGAAGCACGAGAAGCCGAGACCGAGGTACTGTGCCGAGCCCCAGTGGTGCGACTGCGAGCCTGAGGAGCACAGCAACGTGTGGTCCGTCTTGCAGGGGCCGGAGCCGCCAGCCCAGTTCGTGATGCCGGAGGTGACGAGAGAGGCACCGATGAACAGGATCATGGTACCAATGATGAGCGGCGGGAACGCCCGCTGGATAGCCTTGGGCGGGACAAAGGCAAGAAGGATAGCGAAGAGACCGGTGAGAGCGCCAGTGCCGAGCACGGCGCCAAACTCTCTCGGACACGGCAGTTTCGTGCCATCAGGAGCAGTGGGGCAGGTGCCGTTCTCATAACACTGAGAGAAGTACTTGAGCGCAATGTTCGCAAAAGTGAACGAGGTGCCGACGACAGAGATGATGCCGGTGCCGAAGTAATACTTGGTTCCCCGAATGCGGTGGCGCGAGATCTGAACAGCGGTACCGATGGAGCACCAGATCAGGCAGGCCGAGACGAGGTACATTTGCGCTGATGAACCGAGGTTGGCGCCAGCGGGGCCGCCGAGGAGAAGCGGAGGAACAACGAGTCCACCGACCATCGCAAGAGCGCTAAGGTCAGCTATCAGTCCGAATGCCAGTCACGTACTGTTGCAGGCCGAGGATGAAAGTGAGAAAGTGCGGAAGTTCATCCTCGACGCCGTAGAAAGGAAGCTGGCCAGACTTGCAGAGGAACGGAATGTTGGGAGTGAAGAGCGCGGCGTAGTCGTAGTCGCCAAACCATGCTTGCTTGCTGACGAGCGACTTGGCAATGCTCTTGGGGCTGAAACGGCGCTTCGGGATATGACCGAGCGAGCTGCTGGGGACGCTCTCGACTGGGCTGACGTCCACAGTGGAGATCTCCTTGGTGGAGTATGTGTCGGTGTCGAGTTTGCTCTCAGGGGTGTGGGACATCTTGCTGTTGTTGATGGGATGGGGCTAACTTTGCTCTTTCCCACCAGCTATTATATGCGATCTGGCACTTGTGGAGCTAGTGAGCAACAGAGCCGAGATCATACCGTTAGCCTGCTATCGATAGCGGAACGGAGCACTGGCGTCATCAACGGCCCATTAGCGGAAGATCAGCAGCTTCGATAAGGTCAAGTGAGTCAACGTCCGAAGCACCGACGGCACCGAAGCCGCTGCCCTGGCTAGAACCGTGCTTGGCTAGATTCATGGCGTTTTCTGGGTCTGGCAGAGGCGCATCAAAGCCTTCAGAAGCAACCAGCCGGGTGCTGTGGATTTCGGCGTCCTTATCTCTTGAATGTGCCTCAGGGTCTCGGGTTCTGCCGACTGAGGACACGGACCGATGTCGTTGGTCCAGGGGATCGCACCCGTATCAGGCCCCACATTTGGCGCCGCTGTGGCGCCTGCGGTCTCCCTCCCAACCACCTGCAGCGTCCTGCCGACATCCCGGCTCCAAGTATGGCCGTGCGTTCCTCGGTATCTGGTGGCCAGGCCCGCAGCCATGCTATCTCGAGCACAAGTCCGATGGGATGCCCCTATCTGGCATTTTGTCGGGAAATACGATTACACTATGAGTCACCCCATTGGCTTCCTGCTGTCAATGGGATCGACGTAGAGCTGATACAGTTCATCTTGACCGCGATCCGAAGATACGAAGCACTAGTGAGGTACCAAGTGCGGTTATCAACTCGTCAGATCAGTAGCCGGAACGATCCGATGAACCAGTCAGTGCTTTTGGTTCATGCGCGAGCGACAGCAGCGTATAAAGCACAACAACAGCTCGCCAAGAGCCCAAGTCCAATCCAAACGAGCCAACCACCATGTCCGTCCCGACCATTTCCCTGCACGACTTTGCGGCGCGCCGCGCCGAGATCACCGAAGAGCTGATGCGTGCCTCGACCGAGGTCGGCTTCTTCACGCTCAGCAACCACGGTATTCCTCAAGAGGATGTTGATGCGATGTTCGCCCTCTCGAAGCGCTTCTTCGCGCTGCCCGACGAGGTTAAGGCCAAGACCCCGCTCAACGGAAAGAACGCTGGCTGGGAGAAGAACACCCAGGTCCGGCCGAGCACCGGTACCGCCGACCAGAAGGAGAGCCTTCAGCTTCAGTTTGCGCGCATGGAAGGCCTTTGGCCGGCTGATGAGGACATTGAAGGCTTCAAGACGAAGGCTGAGGCGTTTATGGAGCAGATCCGCGAGTGAGTTGCTGTCGTTAGAGTAGGCTGACCGCAGTCTCTCGACCCGCGTCATGGAGTGCTTCGCCGAGGGACTCGGCCTGCCTCTCGACACCTTCACCGTCGGCACGGTCTCGCCTCCCGGCTGCGATGACTCGCAAGATGTCCTCCGCCTCTTGCACTACCACTCCACCGTCGGCAAGAGGTTCGGGCCGAACTTTTGGCGTGCGGGCGCGCACGCCGACTTCGATGTCCTGACTATGCGTAAGCCAACTCCTCGTTCCCACCGCTAACCCCAGTGTTCCAGCGCGAGGGCGAGGGCGGTCTCGAGGTATGCCCCGGGCGCAAGGTTGTCGGCGACTTTGGAATGGGAGCCGAGTGGCTGCCGGTCGAGGCCCGCGCCGACCGCATCGTGTGCAACATCGGCGACCAGCTCATGCGCTGGTCCGACGACCGGCTCAAGTCGACCTACCACCGTGTGCAGTTGACGGAGAATTCGAGGCCGCGCTACTCGATGGCCTTCTTCAACCAGGCCCGCACCGATGTTGTCATCCAGGGACCGAACAAGAAGTACCCGCCTATCGTGAGTGGTACCCGAGAGCGAAGCTGATCAAAGACCGGTGGAGAGTTCATTCGCGAGGCGATGGAGCGTAACCGGATGCAGTCGGCGGAGATTGCGGCGATGGCGCGGCTCCAGAGCGCGGAGAAGGTTGCAACTGAAGTGCACTTCGTGCCTCAGCACATGCTCAAGGCTCAGTAGCTTGTATGTTTAGCGGAGGTCGTGGAGAGGTTGTAGTCGATCTCGGTAGTGTCCAAGTATGATGATGAGTGCTGCGCATTGAAGTGGCTGGTGTCTGCTGCTGCGAGATGCGAGAGATGGAGACAATGGAGCTGCTGGAGCTCTACATCACGAGGTGGAGGCAGATTTCGGCGTACTCAGTTGAAAATTACGTAATATTAGTAACGGAACTCCGTCAGGCCCGACAGCGCAGTTCATTGCGAGCACACCACCTCCTTGATCATTGCTAACGTTGTAGACTGTCGCCGTCGGAGTTATCAAGTCCGTGGAGAAGACTGACGGCAAGGTAAGTGGTCATTCGCTCGACATCGTGAGCGAGAAGCTGACTGTCCCAGGGTAGGCAAGACCACCAAGGCCGCCGAGAGGTGAGATGACCAAGCTGGGGTGAGATGACGGAGTGGAGGTGGCGTTTTGATTCCGCGTATCTTACGTAATTTGCTACCGCCCAGGGGTGTGGCTCGCAGTGGTGCACTCTCCCCCAGTCCTTGCCTGGACTATTCTACCCGCTCATCGCGAGTCGGCAACATTCAAGATACTCGTGCAGACGATCGTCCTGCACAATTGGTTGGAGATGATGGAGAGTGCATTCTGCATCGTGCCCTTCTATCCAGTCATCTCGCCGCTCGAAGCCAATGCATCCAGCTTCAGTACTATGCACCCTTACGGTAATAAGTGCTTTCCGTGCACTCGCCGAACGATCGGTCAACACCTCGGCATGACTCATGTAGGACGGCGGTGTCCGATGAACCTATGCCACATGCATTCAGTTAGCGAGGGTTGCGCCAAGCGATCACCCTCCTTTGCGCCTGCACTGGATGTGGGTCCCGAACGTGTCTGCACTTTAATAGAGCTATCTATGACGGGGTCTCATGTCCACGACTGCCCTGCCAACATTCCTCTTTTCGACTCCACTTCTTCAGCATCACTCACAATCGCCAAGCAGAGTGACCGCTCGCATGACCATCTGCAGCACTCTTGATAACCTCAACCACGGAAGCCAGGGGATACGGAGGGTCTCAGAGGGAGCTGCGTAATACTGTGTTCGCTTGCTGTGCAGGCTGTGCTTGTGAATCGAGGAACTGCTGATGTAGAGCTTCAGCATGCGCTGTCAAGCCAGGTTAATGCGGGTAGAAGAAGAAGTGGGGATCTCGCCATTGTTCCCACTTGTTAATGAATGAAGAGCGAGGTGACGTATCCACGAACCTACGTGCCCCATAAGCCGAGGTAACCCGGGTGGTCGACCGCCAGATCCGACCGCAGGAGCAGATCTTAAGAGTCAAACGGATTCAGAATGATAATGACTTCACATCTGCTCACAGTAGCGTGCTGAGGACTGCAGCATAGACGGAGTGCGCTCTTCTCAGCTGATTGGACAACTTGCAGATACCTGCAGGCGAAATCGGTAGGGTATGTAGAGAGCGATTGCATTTGTCTGCTAAAGTGGCGTTCGGCCGTCTGTGGTACCCTGGTTTACATCCATATTGATCCACACAGGACCGTGACTTTCGGAAGGTGAAAAGGTTGTGACCGTTGATCGGAAGGCTGGTAACAACGAGGAGCATGTTCCTGGCATGGAGTCTCCGTAGCGTACGTCCGAGACTCGCAATGTCCCAGCACCCCTTGACACCCGGCGCAGAAGCCTTGCAAAAGAAGCGTCCGGTTATCTGACCCAGGGCACCAGCGTCATACTGATGCCAGGAATATCGCAGCGGGGTCCCGGAGCAGCGATGACATATTCACCGCCATGCACCGTCATATGGGTAGAAGCTGCTTCGACTCAAGTAAGATCACCAGAACGTACCGTATTGAGGATGGCTCAGAGCAACGCAAGCCAAGCCCGTCTATAAGTAAGCCACGGTACCTTCGGAAAACCGTGACCGCGAGCCCATGATCCCACACATTGAAGACACTTAGGTGGGTGCTTCTTCGTCTGTGACGAAGTCAGTCTCTATGCTCCTTAAGCAGCGGAGGGTGAAATGTCAACGATGTGCTAGATCCTGACAGGTGGATGAGCATCTGGGAACACCCGGTAGGTTAACCCATGGGATTTGACTGACGCCAGGCTGTGTCCGCTGTCGACATCCCCAGCCATTTATACGTCCGAGAACTCTCGTACCTTCGGCTCCGACTGCGGACCAAAGGCAGACTGGACCCGCACCAGGCGTAGCTTTGACACCGACACGAGGTCGCGACAAGGTACGGTAGCTGGGGGGGTAAGCCTCCCCCTTGGGCCATGTGCATCACTTAGATGAATCACGAAAGTACCTGACGCACCCAACCCCGAGACCGAGATCTCATCGATCTGCCCGCTCAATTGAGCTCTGGAGCTCACAGTCTAGATTTCGCTCGAGTGACTTATAAGACTGCGCAGCAGAAGAACGTCATGGTCAGTGTTTGTCCGCCATACCGTCCTCTACAAACTACAGTATCTTATCTACCTGAGCAGTTCTTTCTCAGCCTTGCCCTTCCGATTAGAATGGGGTTCGAACACCACACCAAGGCGCTCCTGTAACCGGAGGAATACCGACTGCTTCACACGAGGCATGAAGGATTCGGCCGCACGATCCGCGATCCGTGCAACCCTCCAGGTCGAACTGAGGGCGTCGCTACGCGCTTGTCTCTCATTGTCCTGCGGACTCAAAGCCGTGCATGGCGACGGATAGCTGTCGAGAAGGAATGCCCCTGGAGAATATGAGAGGATCAGAGCATACGTCCAACCGAGAGGTAGGGAGAAGGGTGTGATCATCATATAGCTATCTAGGGGACGGGCAGACTAGGTGGAGGACGTGAGGGCCAAGTGAGCATGCGCGGGCTCGACGCCTCCGCTCGACACTCACTGTGCCTCAGGACAGCCTCCGACATTGACACAGGCAGCTCCCCGCAAATATCACCAACAGCAAAGGCGCGACGAGATTTTGGTGCAGGCGGGATCCGGAAAGCTCGGCGACCGGCTCATACTCCAGAACTCTGTCGCGCTTGGGAGCAAGGCACAGGAGGAGAGGGAATAGGTTGTCTGAGTCCAGCACAAAGCTCTTCTAGTTCGTAGAGTCTACATCGGACTTGCTGCAGCTCACGTTGTCCGCAGGAACGCTGGGACGACCAGACTGGATGATCTACCCAGACTTAATGTCAGACCTGGGATGAATTCACCAGCAGGTAGTACAGTACACAGCGTTCTTGCCAACACGCTGGGTCGGCTCTTGTTCACTTTGCCGGTTGTCGTGCTCGGGATGACGGAAGCCGCGCGATTGACTTGTTTCTCGTCCTTGTCCACATGACGGGGGCAATACGCAGTTGCGATTATCTCGTGGGAGGCTGAGCTGCATCTGTATCGCTCAATGAGGTTGGCGTTCGCCAGAATCCCGCGATGATTTGAGGTCGAGATTGTCTTCGTCCTCGATAAGGGTGAGATGTCGCGACCAACGCCAGGTCTCAATATCGACCACGAATTGAGCCAGATGCGGGCTGTTACTGTCGTGTTGCGAATTACAGAGGAGACCTCCAGCTGATCCTTGATCCTTGAGCTCAAAATGGTCGACGACGCACGAATGCGCCTCCCAGGACGGCCGCTCCGGTCCGACATCCATGGAGTCACAAGCAGCACCGTTGGTCCTCGGTTGTTGACCATGTCCGTGACTAGTTGAAAGATTCAGAGTGGACGAACTCCGCCAAGATTTCGCGGGCGCAACAGGTGTGGTCAACGTAAGCGGACATATCGGACCGCACTTCCGACTTCAATCACCTGCGCTGCGGGGGGCTGCCGACGAATATGCAAGTGCACTGATCGTATTGAAGGCTGAGCCAAGCTCACGGCGGTCTGAGGCGCGAATGCGGAAGCGGTGTCTAAGAGTTGCGTGGTGGCAAGGGGTTGCGTGCTAAGAGGGGGGAGGGGAGTTCTCGCCTCACATGGTCGGCGAGGGGTCTGCGAGGAAGGGAGTCATAGTGGGAAAGAGATGAATCAGGAACTTGAGGTCAACTTGAGGTCAGCGGTGTGTTCCCATGCCCCCCAGAAACTCAGAGCTACCGAGCGAAGATGCAGACCGGTTTGTGACGAGAAGCTGTGGTTGATAGGATGGGCAGAGGGTGCCAGACGCCCCTGACGAAGGCGGCGCAGACGAGTGCTTCGTTGATGTCTTCCGTATCATATTGTGGCCGGTATGAACTGCAGTCCGATCAGGCAGAGGAGACTCAGGTTGTTGAAGCAGACGAAAAGGGGTGCAGGGCTCTCGGGTTAAGCACAGAGCGCTCGACACCGTCGAGTGTGCAAGGGGGCGCTTCGAGGGTATGTTTCGATACCCTTTGAAACCCCCTCGCTCGACGACGCCTCCTCACGGGCAGTTCTTCGTCTTTCCCCTGCTCACTCAGTCGGCGCCCCAAGCTAGACGTCACCGCTGAACGGTTCACGGATTATCAGCCGAAGGCTACTCTTACGAAAAGTTGCGCGACCACAGTTCATCGGCTGGAGCAGGTGCGCGTTGTTCAAGAGGGGGTGGGGCCCAGCACTCTGGCTTCCCATCGCCCGGTGAACTTTGAGTTAGCAATCACTGTTTACCTTGACCGCATGTTGCTGTACCCACAATCTCAGCCAAGACCTGTCATTCTACTACGGGGCTGAGCTTGGTACTCACGGTGTCGGTGGCTGCAGCAGGACCCGACAATGGTGAACCGTTCGAGAGGAGCCTTCAGCTTCGTGCCTGCACGCACAACTGAGGTGGAGAGAACGATTACGTAATACGCCGCCGATCAACACCCCACGTGGCTATCTCTTCCGATTCCACTTCGAACTCGTCTTCACTCGGAAATGCAGAAGACGAGGTAGCGTTCGCAACAACGCGAATAATGCAGCGAGGAGTTAGGCCAGTCACTATTTACATAAAATCTGGCTACGGGGCTGAAGCAGAAACAAACACACGTCGTTAGACGCGTATTTACTTCTTCTTGTTGGCCTTCTCGGCGGCCTTGGTGGTCTTGCCACCCTGGGACAGTCAGCTTCTCGCTCACGATGTCGAGCGAATGACCACTTACCTTGCCGTCAGTCTTCTCCACGGACTTGATAACTCCGACGGCGACAGTCTACAACGTTAGCAATGATCAAGGAGGTGGTGTGCTCGCCATCAGTCCTCACAAACCGGGACCACTGCTGAGATGGTGGACCCGAGTCGTTCGGAGGATAGCGAGAACATGATCGACTGACCTGGCGCATGTCACGAACTGCGAAACGACCGAGAGGGGGGTACTCGGAGTAGGTCTCAACACAGATGGGCTTCTGTTATTTGTTAGCGATGAGTTCGAAGTTGATAGAGTGAGGATCGGCGGTGGAGGTCACGTGACACCCAAGCGAAAAATTTCGAATAGTGCCACTCCACCTGGAACTTCTCGACGAGATAGGTCTCGATGAAGAGATGAGGAAAAGGAACGCGATTTCTTACCTGACCGACAAGCTTGACGATGGCAGCGTCACCAGACTTGATGAACTTGGGGGCCTGCTCGAGGGCCTTACCGGTACGACGGTCGATCTTCTCGATGATCTCCTCGAACTTGCACGCAATGTGGGCAGTGTGGCAGTCAAGGACGGGGGTGTAACCGGCACCGATCTGGCCGGGGTGGTTGAGGACGATGACCTGGGCGTTGAAGGAAGCGGCCTCCTTGGGGGGGTCGTTCTTGGAGTCACCGCAGACGTTTCCACGACGGATGTCCTTGATGGAGACGTTCTTGACGTTGAAGCCGACGTTGTCTCCGGGGAGACCCTCGGGGATCTGCTCGTGGTGCATCTCAACGGACTTGACCTCAGTGGTGACGTTGACGGGGGCGAAGGTGACGACCATGCCGCCCTTGATGATACCGGTCTCGACACGGCCGACGGGGACAGTGCCGATACCACCGATCTTGTAAACGTCCTGGAGGGGGAGACGGAGGGGGCGGTCGGTGGGGCGGTAGGGGGGTCGATGGCGTCGATGGCCTCAAGGAGGGTCTTGCCAGAGGCCTTGCCGGCCTTGGTCTCCTTGTTCCATCCCTTGTACCAGGGCATGTTGGTGGTGGCCTCGATCATGTTGTCACCGTGCCAGCCGGAGATGGGGACGAAGGGAACCGACTTGGGGTTGTAGCCGACCTTCTTGATGAAGTTCGAGGTCTCCTTGACGATCTCGTTGAAGCGGTCCTCAGACCACTTGCAGGTGTCCATCTTGTTGCACGCAACAATGAGCTGACGGACACCGAGAGTGAACGCGAGAAGAGCGTGCTCACGGGTCTGGCCGTCCTTGGAGATACCAGCCTCGAACTCACCAATACCGGTGGCAATGATGAGAATGGCGCAGTCGGCCTGCGAGGTACCGGTGATCATGTTCTTGATGAAGTCACGGTGACCGGGGGCGTCGATGACGGTGACGTGGTACTTGGGGGTCTCGAACTTCCAGAGGGCAATGTCGATGGTGATACCACGCTCACGCTCGGCCTTGAGCTTGTCAAGAACCCAGGCGTACTTGAACGAGGACTTGCCGAGCTCGGCGGCCTCCTTCTCGAACTTCTCGATGGTACGCTTGTCGATACCACCGCACTTGTAGATAAGGTGGCCGGTGGTGGTCGACTTACCGGAGTCGACCTGGGGGGAGTCAGCAAAGATTCTCTCTCGATGTTTTGACCGGCCGGAAGTTTTGACCGGCCGTTCTCGACCGTTTTGCTCTAAAACTCGATCTTTCGAAGGAGATCGCGAGCGCATGCATCACTCACGTGACCAATGACGACGACGTTGACGTGAAGCTTGTCCTTGCCCATTTTTAGAGGTTCTGAAGTCAGTGGATGAGAAGAAAGAAGAAGAAGTTGAAGTAAGAAGGTGGATGAGTGGTGGATGGAAGTGGCGGTGGGGGTGAAAAAATTGGGTGCCACTCCGGGTGCGAGCTGGCGCTAGTGGATTCGGCGGTTTCAAATTTTGATATCCGACCCACCTGCGTGGCAACCCGGCACCATCGCCCACAGACGAAGCATGCACGTAGCCTGCAGATTGCGGTCGACGACGAATGCGTAGACAGTGAAGCAGCCCAAGTCTGAGAGGTTGAACTGCATGCGCTAATCGCAGATCCCCTCAGCGGTGATACTGGAGAACAATGAGATCCAAACCCGTCCCCATCGAGCCACTCAAACCAGTCCAAGCAGTGAGAAAGAGCGGGGAGACACGCTCAGTACGCCGTCGATGCCGTCGGTAGAAAGATAGAGGGGATCGGTGTTGCTGGCGGAGGAAGCACTCACTTTACTGAGTAGAAGGTGGGATTGAGGAGTGAGAGACGAAGTTTCTTTGCCGTATATAGGGGAGCCGCATCACACTTCTCTTGGAGTTTTTCACGTCTGCATATCCCCGAATATGTGGCAATTTACGTTCTTTCGACGTTTGCCTGGCCATTGACTTGAAGGGGGAAGTGTGATAGGTGGACCGGTCGAGTCACAGGGGGCGGGCCGTAGGGATTGTTCCTATTTCATCTAAGGGAATGCGCCTACGGGAGGCCTGAGTTCATGACGTACCTGGGCGCGCTGGGCGAGCGTTTGGCCCTCCCCCACACAGCCCGCACATCTCTGCTAAGATCTGATCGTACTAAGATCAGCACTGCATTTGGGCTCTTCTGCTTGTAACGAGCGTCGGTCTCGAACGAGAACGTGCCTGCATGGAATCGAGTAGTCATCTCCCCAACCATCACAGTCGCTGTACAGAATAACTACCGTGTCGCGCGATCTCATGTTTCCAGCCTCCCAATGCGATAATTCTCTCCTAGCCTGCCCCTGTGGTGGTCGCACCTGACCGTTCCATGCCCTGAAGGCTTTGCCATACTGCTCTACCGTGACAGGTCGGCTCAGATGAAAATTTACCAGCCAAGAAACTGCTAGCCCAATGCCGCACCCAGCGCCAGCCCCGCTCCTAACAGGGTGTCGGTCTGGTGCCTGAAGCAGCATATTCTGAGCATGAGCCCAAAGCGAAACGGACCGAGATACGGAACCCCACCGCATGTCTGTGCAGGTCGCCGTGCCGTGTACCCAAGGCAAACCCAAACCACGGGTGCCGAAAAATTTCTCTGGTGACCGGCCGGCTGTACTGGCAACTGGCGGCGCACAACCCACCCTACGCCCCATAGCCGTCACTGACACGAGCGATAAGATCCCACTCCGACCAGAGACGGGTCGGAGCTTGGCAGTAGTGCCCGAACGCCCACGCATGTGACCTTTGTCTCGCGAGCATCGCGCTCATGACTGCCCTGCCTGGCGTCCAACATTACTGAGTTCGTCACCTCCCCATTCATCGACATTGCTTCGCCCCGTTACTCGCATCCACTTCATCTACAATCCTGCACATCTGCACCATCCAGCCTTGCGATGGGATGATTCACTGACCATGTTCTCGTCCCCTCAGGGGCGTTGGCAAACTTCGCAGCGCCAACGGCTGGCCGTTGCATTCGCCAGGTTCACCGTGTGCCCTATTGGTCGCCCTCCCAACGCGTCCGCGCACAGGTGCGAGCGTGGCCGGCGAAGGTTTGTGACCCTTCGTTCACCATCTAGATGGCACTCAGCGCCGCTTCAGGCCTGGGCACGATCACTCGAGGGCAACACGAGGTCTGTGCATGGTAACACTGTGCACCTATCCCATCCGTCGACCTACGCCCGTCCCCTCGGCCCGTGGCTGGACGATCAGTGCGACCACCCAAGCCTGCCGCCTTGTCTCAGATAGACAACTCGGGCGGCTTGCATGCAGGGGCGTGGGCTTGGCCCTTTGTCCAGCAGCGAAAATCTTCACTGGATCGCATTCGACTGACATGACTCTGTGGAACTGAACGAACTCACCCCAGATCGCAACAGTGACCTTCCCCGATAACCAGTTGGTTCAGCCCATCCGAACGCAGCGGTCCGCATCTCGTTGCATGCACACTCGACCTTGCATTCCGCACCGTCCGTTCCCCAGCTTCCCGCTTGGAAGATGCGCAGCCCATCTGCCTCACCAAAAGCCAGTCACGACCCGTACGATTGAGGGGCACCGACCGGTAACCTCTCTCAGCATCGGTCGACACGGCTGCATCAAACTGCCACACTAAGATCAGCTGCAGGGTGTGCAGGGCATACAGGGCCTGACGATAAGATTACAGGCAAGCTAGTCGCTGCTGGCGCCGTTCCTGTGCGTGAGATACGGTGTTCCATGTCTCAGAGGGCCGCTGAAACGATACCGAGGAAGGCGGCCAGTCGTGGGGCGCAGGTCCTTGCTCGGGTCCAGGACCGTATCGCGATTGGAGTCGGAGGGCGCAATAGTCCTCACTATCGCTTTGCGATCTGCGATCCATCGTGACGTAGGGCGGCCCCTCGCTGTTCCTCCAAGTGCCGTACCCCTGCGCCCTCGCCATCCCACGAATCTCCTCTGTTCAGCTCATCCTCATACATGATCATACAGGATCGGCATGGCGTCCTGCGCCCTTCCTTCGCTGAGGCTTCCTGCCTAGCTGCCTAGTCTGACTGACAGACTGCGCCCCGTTAGGCTCCTGCCCTTCTCGTCTCGTCTCTTGGAAACGCACCCTAGCCCTTCCGCTTCGCTGGGGTCTGGTCCAGCCCGTCCTCCACCGCGACGTCTGCACAGCTCACCTCCTTTTCCCAGCAGAGTCGTCTTCCTCCTTTCCACTTCACCACTTCCCCTTCCTTTCTTCATCGTGCATTCTCCCATCACTCAACCCACTCCCGACGAACCTCGTGTAAACTCTGTCCCTTAAACTCCTTCAAACTGTGAGTCGACGCCAGGCGCATCCCTACTGTGTTTTCCAAATGGTCTAGACCGCGGGTGGCGATATCCTTTCGACTCCTAGCTCGTCGAGACGTCAATCGCCGCGGCATTCTATCTCGTCCCCCCCCCTCGTCGCCCCCTCGCGGTACGGTTAGTCGTTGCCGTGGCGAACAATCATTGCTGTCCGTTCCGGGTCGATTCCTATCTGTTCTTGGCCATCCGTACCTTTTGCCGCCCTTCCTCGGCAGTTGTTGATGGCTGCTGACTATAGTCATCTGCAATGGCACTTCTCTTCGTTACGTGGAACGACATGGCCGCCCTGCTCGTCCAATCACATCGCCTTTCGAGAGGCCGCAGAGAGGAGGAGGGGCTTTACCGGGAATCGCAAGCGAACCCCCCGCTTGAGGAAGGACCTCGACGAGGCCTTCTCGCCCACTTCACCTTCCTCAGCAGCCATTCTCGACGGCTTCGATCTGTCCCCGACTCCGCACGTTAGGCCCAACGCCTCCGAGGCCGTGGCCAACTTCGCTTTTGTCGAGGGCGTCAGCCAGGCCAGGGTCGACCTTCTCAAGTCGCAAATGAAGGCCTGGCTGCCCTTTTTCGCGTCATCGTCCAAGCGATGGAGGAGGATTCCGGCAAGAAGGTTCCCCGCAACCACGACAACATCCCCACCATCTGGTGGTCTCGCAGTTCCTCCACGGACAGCGTGATCGCCATTTCGGTGCTGGCATTCCTACGTTGCACCGTTGTCTGCGACCGGAACCAGCGTCCTCGTCCCTCGACCTCCCCGGGGACGGTGTGCCTCATGTGCGTACGTTACTACCTCCAAAACGGACCCCGCGATGCCGCTACAGGCTGTCGTCTTGACTTCAGCCTGGAGCCTCACTCCTGGCGTGTCCCAACCCTGGTGGCTCATACCATCCGCCGATCACGATTCAACATGGGCTGGACCACGCCTTGGCCGACCTCCACAACGGAGTTCAATCCCGCTCTCGTCAACGCCCGAGTTGAGCTTCGATTCCTCAACTTCGGCATCGGTTCGAGCCCCTTCTCTGCCCTGAACGTGTGCTTCGAGACTGCGCTCCCCATGATCATGGCCCTCCGTGACCGTCTCGGAGCGCACGGGCTCTGCCTCGACTTTGCGGGCGAGCTCACTCCCCGCCTCCCCGAGCAGTACACGTTCAACGGCGTCGAGAACATTGAGCGCCCGCTGCTCAATGCAGAGCTCGGACTTGACCTCGATGTCCGGCAAGGCAAGCTCCGCGTCGGTAAGAATTGCCTCAACGCTCGTGCCGTGGACATCGACGGGTGGGATGATGGCCAGTTCGAGCGGCACGTTGGTGACGACTTCGTTGCTGCCGAAGCTCTCCTGTCCCTGGGCGTGGATGGCGTTGAGGACAGTCACTCGTGGCTGGTATCGGCTCTTCACGTTGCTCGGCACTGGAAGCCTGCCTTTTATCTGCAAGACCTTTGGCCGAGGCACTCCTAAATCGACTCCGCGCGCACGGGCTCTGCATAACATTCACTGGACAGCTCTGTGGCCGTCTTCCTGAGGCATACCAGTTCAATGGGTTGGAGCAGGTGGAACGGGCGTTCGTGAACAAGAGCCACAGCATGGAGATCGATGAGGCGAATGGCAAGCTGAAGCTCTCGGCGTCTGTTGTCAACTGTCTGGCGCTGGATTCGGATGCCTGGCCGTCGCTACCGTCAGATTACCCTTCCGCGGTAATAACTCCTGCCAACACCGACAGACTTAGTGGGCGCCTCAAGTCGATACTGAGGTGACTACAACAGCCAACAGTCGTCAAGGCTGTCTCTCTCACGCGTCGTGATCATCTAACCCTCGTCACCGATACCTTGGGCCCTCACCTGAGTGAAGAGAAACTGCGCGCTCTTCGACGGTACTCACTGAACGTCTCCAGCGTAATCCGAAATCAGGTAATGAAGATCCGGAACCCGAAGAAGTGGTCCCGTCGACTCGCACAACAGCGCAAGTACGGGAAATCGAGGCGAGCGCGATATGCGGAGCAGGGACTTAACTCCCATGGAATCCCGATTCATTCATCGGCCTTAGACGCTTAGTCATATGTCGTCGCTTCCCGTCGGTGTTTAAAACTGTGTTTCCTCCTAATTCGCTTCCACCACCAGCTGGATTTGCGGGAATCGCTTCCGAACTTCAGACCACCGGCAGTTATGAGTCTGGTTTTGGACGACCACGAGCATGACGACCACGAGCACGACGGCCTCGACAAACCTTCCGCCATTGAGAGGCACAAGGAGTGGGGCCGCCTGTTGGAATGTGCAGGAGCTGGTCTTGACTCTAAGAAGTCCTTCAGGATTCTGAGAATGGACGAGTACCGCGACCATGTCGGAAATGATCTCCTTTTCAAGCTCCATACAAGGATGCCGGACTCTGAGCTGGAAGGCGTCTTTGCGGAGCATCTTGCACAGTCCAATTCCTTCCCACCTCCCTCGGTGTTGAACTAGTAGACGACCGCTTTTTCGACGACAAATTTCCAAGATATTCCAGAGCCTTCATGCATTCTATACCCTATGATACGTTCGGCTGCGCTGTCTTGAACTCTGGACTCTCTAGCCTGATCCCTGTCCGTCCTGTTTTAGCCGCGATGCTGACCGATAATGAGTCGGCGCCGGAGGTCAAAAGTGACCGAGATACACTTGAAAAGCCAAGACAGCATTGGCGGTGTGCGCGACGCCTTCAATCTCATGCCGGCCATGCGAGCTCTGTGATCGATTGCGATGTCGCTTCGACTCAACAATCGCTTAATTCCCTCCTTCGTACGTCAGCTGACATTAACGGGAACTATGACCCTTCGCAGCCTCCAAGCCATGTCGGTGATCGACCTCTCTTCCTTTTGGCACATCACCGATGCCGTCCTCTGGGACCCCCCCACGACACATGCCCCACCGCTTGCTCGGTATGCACCGCGTGAGTTAAACTCTTGACAGCGGCACCTCACGTAGGCATGTCGCGTTCTCTCCCCATATCGCGGCGAACATTGAAGGGAAGCACTACCTGAATAAGGGCGACCTTCGCGAAAGCGACGGTACATTGATGCAGCGGATAGCATCGCAAGCCCACATGGTCAGTCCACCGACGGTGTCACAGACCCGCAGTGATAGGGGAGTATGACTGGGAGTCTACTTACAGGCCGCGCTATGCATCTTCTTCCGCGAGCACTGATTCTTGTCGCCGACACGCGTTGTCCTCAGCACTGGAAATCGACCCGTCTGCCGAAACTGAGCTCAGGGTCCAGCTCCAGCACGAAAAGTAGTTGCCGAGATATGATCTCTTCTGTGTTGCGGTCAGGCTCCAATTTCGTCTGCGCATCGACCTTACTTCAAACCCATCGGGAAGCGGTCCTCTGCATCTGGTAAGCGGAGGGAAAGAAGGGAGACAGTAGCGGAGCTCACGGGCTAGGTGACGTGTGAGACGCCGCAGGCGCAGCAGACCAACGCTAAGTGACTTACCCTGGCGGGCGCATCCGGGACTGTGCCGAGACGTCTTCCTCGCACAGCCAGCTGTGGTTATGTCTACATCTCCCTTACCTCTACCAACACATCATTACTCCTCCGCCTCAGTGCAAAAACTCAGCCTTGCAGCATTGCATACACCACCTACCGAACCTTCACCATGCCCAACGTCTGGTCGCAGTTCGCCACCTCAGCCATCCCAGCCCAAGAGGAGGAGATCGCACAGGAACCTGCCTGTGCCGACCCAGCCGACACCACCCCTTTGTACCTTACCATGGAGGCCATGTCCATTGGTGAAACACCCGAAGGAGAGCCCAGATACCTCGTCAAGGCCAAGGTGTGCATTCCCGAGGGCACCCAGCTAGCCGCACCCCGCATCAGCGCCGAGCCAAGTCAGGAGGAAGAGTTCATCGACATCGCCTTCCTTTTCCGCCTCGCGTCCGACGGCAAGCTCGAACTGCACCTCCACCCTGACTCTGTGCTCACCCAGGAGCAGGCCGACAACCTCGACGAGAACTTTGTTGCCGTCAAGTGGGAGCCTCGCGAGGAGATCAAGATGTTCGTGACCGTCCCCGACCTTACCGTCTTGGGCTTTGCTGGCCCTGGCTGGCCCACCATCGACAAGGGCAAGCTCGCTACTGCTGCAGAGTAGTGAAACTTTGCTATACATTCTGGTACGCTGGAGGAGAAGTGTGGACGCACGAGTTGACATCACAGGACATTCAAGCGCCTCTTACATGCATATTGTTTAAAGTCCAGTCGATGCCATTCGATAGCCGTTGATTGTTAGAATGTGTAACATACATACTACTGGGCTACTACTCCGGGTGCGTAGTGTGGCTCTTCGGGACACCCTTGATGGTGAGCACGCAAAGGACGGCGAGGTTGAAGGCGAACACGTAGAACACGCGGCCCTCGCCCTCCTGGTGTCCATTCGGGTCATAGTACGTCAGCGCGTCGCGGAGCGGGAGGAATCCCTGTGCGATGATGAACGTCGTGATCCAACTCGCGCTGAGGGCGAGGCTGCTGAGGGCCGGGACACAGTTGGCGGGGACCATCTCGCTGACGAGGAGGAAGGGGATGGGCCCGAGACCGATACTAAACGCGGCGATGAACGCGACAATGGCAAACGAAGACATCTTGCGGAAGTGCTCGTTCAGACCCCAGCCGAGCAGGATCGCAAACACCATCATGAGGAACGAGGACAGGAGGAGGAGCAGGCGGCGTCCCAGCCGGTCGACGAGGAAGATGGCCGGGAACGTCATGATTGCGTTCACGACCGTGATCGCGATGGAGATCTGGCCGGCGCCAGCGCTAGGAAGGACCTTTTGGAGCACCGGGGTCGAGTAGAAGAGGACCGCGTTCACGCCGCTGAGCTGCTGAAGGATAAGGATCGCCGTCACAAAGAGCGCATTGCGGCGGGCAGGCGAGGCGAGCATCTCGGCAATGGACAGCTGGTCGCTCTCCGCCGCCTGGGTCGCCGGCCGTTCAGGGTCCTCGGCGAGAAGAGGCTCCGCTGCCGTCAGTCCGGCGTCTGCAACGTACACACCCTCCGAGTCCGGTTTCGCCGTCGAGGTCGTCATGACAATCTGGGCAACGGACACGATCCCGCTGATGGAAAGAATGTAGCGCCATGCATTGAGCCGATCGCCCTCTGCTCCGCTGAACGCCATACCGAGCACCTGCGCCGAGCAGATGCCGATCACGATCGCGAGCTGGTGCAGCGTACCGACCTGGCCAGAGCGTTGGACCAGGCTCGGCGTCGAGCGCGCCGTGTGGGCGAGATAGGGCGGCACAAGGCACACTGGCGAGACCACACGCGAAACCGGCGATGAATCTGTCGTCAGCGGCGTTCGCGCCGAGGTGGAGGTGACTTCAGGGCGATCGAGCGGATGTACAGCTGTAATAAGGACGTAAACTCGCTCCGAGAAGCGTATTTCCGCACGTCTTGTGCACATCCCTAGGAAGAGACGGCGTGGGGTGGGAGTCGGAAGGAAAGTCCATTGCTCATGAGCGAAGGCGGTGCGGGGTGGAGGTCTTGAGAAGCGGTGAAGGACTCAATACGAAGCATCCAGACACTTACCTTCCGAGCATGAGGAGAAGCCAGTGCGGGGCGAGAGCCATGACAAGCGCTCCGACGAGGTTGATCCACGCGCTAGCTGCGATACCTCCCGCAATACCACGCTGGCGCACGACACGGTCCGAGAGGAGGGAGCCGAGCAGGCCGCCGACAGTGAGCATGGCGGTCACGGTCGAGAATCTCATGGGCCGCAGTCCAAGGCATGGTCGTAGGAGAGCATGATCATTCTCGACTGGCTGGCACGTCAACGACTTGAACGGAAAGTTCAGCTCGCTAAGGTGATAGCCGTCTGACTGTCAGTTCGGAGTGAAGCGACCCTTGTGTAGGGCACGAGATGCAGCTTGCTCAAAAAACCCACAGTACCATGACGACCTGAGGTTAGCCCAGCAACGAGAGCATACTCACAGGCAGGCCCAGAAGATGGATCGGTACGCTGACATGATGCCGACGAGGGGTTGGGAGGAGTTAACATGACGGCGGCGGTACACACGGACAAGACCGGTGACTCGTCGCGTGTGCGTCATCCTGCCTGGATCATCACAGGGTCTGGCCATCTCTGTTCCATCTCTGTTCCCCAATGAGCAAAACAAATGCAGTCAAATAGCTGCACAAACAAACATACACGGGCAGAAAACATAGCATACAAGGTATCACAAGCACAGGCACTATCTCTCCTATCGAGGCGCATTGGCAGGCTTGAAGCCCATGCGGCGCGCGTACTCGCGCTCCTCCGCCTCTGTCAGGCGGTCCGCGCCGTTCCAGTTGGCACTCGAGGTGCGCGCGCGGAACTTGCCAGCACGCTCCTTGAACAACTCGTCCATACGCAGCGGCTTGATCGGGCCGAAGAGCTCGTCGGGGTTGACCTGAGCCTGAGCTTCAAGCGCATGACGAAGCGCAGGGCTCTCGGCCCACGCTGGTCGCTTGAAGTCGCTCTCGGAAGGCTCGTCGTCCGAGTCTGAGTACTCTGAGCGAATCGACGGAAGTGACACGTCGCCAGAGTCCTCGAGGAGCTCGGCCTCGACAGCCTGCTTGTCGAGCTGCGCCTGCAGGGTAGCGCGCTGCTGTTGCAGCGTCGAGGAGGCGCGCGAAGGGCCGGCCTGCGAGGTGCGCTGGGGAGGGCCGAGACGCTGAACAGAGGCACGCTCCGCGGTGCGGAAGGTGCTGGGCGGGCGGGAATGGGTCTTGCCGGGAGTCTTGGGCGCGGGGATGATGCGCTTCATGCCGCTCTTGCCGAGCTGGCTGCGCTGCATGGCGGCCTTGCGCTTGTCTGCCTCCTCCTTGCGGGCAGCCTCCTCTGCCTTGCGCTTCTCCTCATCCGCCTTGCGCTTCTCCTCCTCTGCCTTGCGGGCCGCCTCGGCCTCGGCCTCGCGCTCAGCCTTTTCACGTTGCTGCTGGATACGGATACGCGCCTCGCGCTCCTTGCGCAACTTCTCGGCGGCAGCGAGACGGACACGACGGGCTTCAGCTTCCTCAGCGGCACGCTTCTTCTCCGCCTCAGCGGCGGCCCGCTCCTCCTCAGCCTTGCGAGCCTTCTCGGTGGCCTTCTTACGCTCCGTCTGCGCACGCAAAGCCTCCCGGCGGTCCCTAGCCGCCTGGTCCTTCTTAGCGGCTTCAGCAGCGCGTGCCACGCTCTTGACAGGGGCAGCTGCGGGCTTGTGGCCCTGGACCTTGGAGGCCATGCGGTCGGCTGTCTTGAAAAGCTGGCTGCTGGAGGATGCAAGTGCAGCACTCGCAGGCCGGTTCGCCGCCTTGCGGGGAACGGGCGGTTTGCGCTTAGGGGTTGCCTCCTTGATGGGAGGAGAGCCAGGCGGCGTCGTCGAACCGGCAAAGTCGATATCGATAGTGCCGGCGACGCCAAGCGCCGAGCTACCGAGGTCGTCGGGGATGGAATCGAAATCGTCTCCTATGTCGATCAAGTTCTGCTCAGGCGGGGGAATGTCCTCGTTGTCCGCCATGATACTATCATTGACGGCCTGTTCCTCCTTCTCGCGCTGCTCCTCCTCGCGGAAGGTTTCGAGGGCGCGGTGCAGTGCCACCTCCGCCGCGGCCTGTGCCTTGCGGTCTTCCTCCTCACGCTTGCGGTCCTCCTCCTCACGCTTCTGGCGAGCAGCATCGTTCTGGAAGCCGAACAGACCGCCGAAGCCGCGGAAAAACCCAGAGCCGGCAGATGGCGCCGGGGTTGTAGAAGCCGCCAAACGCTTCTGCTCGTTGGCAGCCTTGACCTTGGCAGCAGCAGCGGCACGCATCTCTTCGAGCGCTTTGGCGACCTTGGTCGTGTTGCGCTCGGGCTCCGTCGTTGCCTGGACCTTGGCGGCTGGGGCAGGAGTGCTGATGGTCGCGGTCGGGAGGCTGGTAGCCGATCCAGCCTTACGGTCATACGGGGCAGGGGAGGCAGTGGTAGGGTCGATACGCGCGACCTTATCGGGACGCTTCTCCTTGATCTCCTCGACCTCCTCGCTCTTGCGCTTCGAGTGCATAGTGCTCTGGCGAAGTCCGCCAAAGTCGTTCATGCTAGTGCGATGGGCGGTGCTCGGTCGAGCGACCTGGTTGCCAAGCGCCTGGGAGAGCCATGAGCTGCGGACCTTGATCGGAGGCTGCTTCTCCTCATCCTCAGCTTCGGATTCGGACAGCAGAGTCTCCTTTGGCTCGTCTTCCATAAAAACGTCCTCGTCGTCCTTGACGACCTCGGGCGTTGGCTCACGAACGGGCTCCGAGTTGAGGTCCATGAGGTTGGGGGTCGGTTCGCGGACAGGTTCGGGGGTTGGCTGGCGCTCAGGGGTCGGGTCACACTCAACGACCGGCTCGGGAGTCGGGTCACGAGATTCAGGGGAGAGCTCACGCTCGACGGGCTCCGGTGTGGGTTCCCGCTCGACGACAGGCTCAGGAGTGGGATCGCGAGGGGTAGGCTGACGTTCGACAACTGGTACGGGCGTAGGCTCACGCTCCTCGACAGGTTCAGGAGTAGGCTCTCTAGGGGGCTCCGGTGTAGGCTCACGAAGAGGCTCTGGCGTTGGCTCTCGGGGAGGTTCAGGCGTAGGCTCCCGAGGAGGCGGTGTCGGCTCACGGGGTGGCGGGGTGGGCTCGCGGGGCGGAGAGGGAGCCTTGGGAGCAGGTCCGCGAACGGTGCGACGAGTTGACTTGCTGGCGGGCTCAGCCTCCTTCTTGGTCCGGGTGCGCTTGGGCTTGGACTTCACAGGACTGTCCTCCTGCATGCGGGTCTTAAGCGCCTTGGGTCCAGCCTTCGCTTTGCCCTTGAGAGGAGAAGCAGAGGGTGAGTCGAGAAGCTGCTGGGCGTTGAGAGGAGAGAAAGGCTGACGGTTCTAATGTCAGCTGTGCCAGCTCTGACTTGACCTACCTCTGGAGACTTCATGAGCGGGGAGAGGGCAATGCGAGCGTTGAATTGGCGGATCTGCTCCGCCCTGTCGCGGGCGGCCGTCTCAGCGGCGGCCGCAACCTGGCGGGTCTTCTTGACGGTGTGGGTACGAGAGGGGGTCTTGATGAGTTCAGCGATGGGACGGTGGGCCTGGGCTTCGAGGTTCTCGAGGTAACCATCCAGCCAGTCGAAGCCATCGCGGGTGATGCTAGCCTCAAACTCCTTCAGACTCTGTGTCGCAGCGGCCTGCAGCCGGCTCGCGAGGTCGAACGTGTAGTCCTGGAACGTCGGGAACGACGTGGGTGACGCAGCCATGGTGCCGGTCGTGATGCTGGATTACGGATGGCAAGGTAGAGTAGGAGTTGCAAGGATGCAGAGACGTTGCCGCATTGTTTATTGCCTTCCAGAACGGGCGTCAATGGCGGGGGCGGAAGCAAATACGCCCGCCATCGGTGCTCGACGTGATCGCCATGACGTCCTGTTTCGTGCATCCATCCACTATCCTACGAGCGACATCCTTAATACACTGCATGCGACCATGTCTGCCTTTGGCACGAAGGTGAGTTACTCGCGAACGGCACGGAAGCCTGGACAGTGATGTGTGGACGCGGCTGATTTCTTTCCCAGACGAAAAAGGTAAACAAACCTCCACCCTGAGTGTACTGACCCCAGGTCGTGACCTATGGCAAGAAGAAGACGGTGAGAGCAGTGCCTATGCATAGCTGACGGCAGCGCATCATCAACATCCACTCAGACTTCAGCCCGTCAAAGGACAGAGAGACATCACCTGCGACCCCCCACCGCCGTGAGCCACCGACAACTCCGCTGAAGCCGAAAGCAACCAACAATGAGACACCCCTGAAGCCTCGTGACAACAACACAAGCACACCTTTGAAGGAGAAGAAGACCGAGAAGGGGGCTAAGAAGGATGCACCGCTAAAGCAACATGCGGCGCAGAATCGTCGGGCGGTCTACCGCAACAGCCCGGAGCGTGCGCACGTCGTCCGAAAGCCAGCACCAAGGAGAATCCATGCCCTGAGGGCTATGGACAGAGTGGAGGTTACGATTGAGACGAGGTCGCCATCCCCGAAGCAATCCGAACCGCAAGTGGAACCGAAGACGAGGGCGAAACCGCAGGAGAAGGCAGAGAGTGGCAATGAGGCCAAGCCGAAGCCGAAAGCGACTGCGAAGCGCAAGACCGATGATGAGGGAGAACCGATGCCGAAGTCTGGACCCTCCAAGCAGTCCGAGGCTGTGGATGAAGTGACGCAGCAAGTCGTCGATTTGACGCTTAGCGAGGACGAGCAGCCCGTCAAGCGTGGTCCTGCGCCACGGAAACCTCGCAAGGCGCCGAAGATAATTAAGCCCGTCCAGCGCGCCGATCCGACACCGCTACCATCACCAGAGCCCGAGGTGCGGCCTGACCTTCCGGATGAGAGTCTGTCTCGACTGCTAGCCCAGTGCACTGTCTCCCAGCCTGTTGCATTCAGTGATGTCTTCAAGGATCCCGCTTTCTCGACGCTCGTCACCGGTTTCGAACTCAAGAAGCAGGGCGAGGCGTCCTACTCTGAGGTGTTCCGAGTCGGTGACGCTGTTGTCAAGGTCATCCCACTTCTGGGCACTGATCGCCCGACAGACGACGGCGAGGACATTCCCGACTGCTCCAGTGCCGACGACGTTGCGCGCGAAATCGAAGTTACGAGGCGCATGGCGCAGGTTCCCGGGGGCGGCTTCGTCGGCTTCAGGGGGTGAGTAGACAGCTATATCGATTTCAAACGCGAGCTGACAGCAGCGCCTTTGTCGTGACCGGATCGTACCCCGCCCCTCTTCTCGCGGAATGGGACGCCTGGAAAGCTGAAAGGGGCACGGAATCCCCACGTCCAATCTTCCCACCAGAACAGCAGTTCGCGCTCGTCGTCCTCGACGACGGCGGAGGCGACCTCGAGTCCGCCCACTTCGACTCTCACTCCTGGACGACAATGGCCGCCGTGTTCTGGCAAGTATGCGATGCGCTTGCGCGAGCCGAGAAGTGGACTCAGTTCGAGGTACGCTGCCAAACTACGGGTGTGATAGCTAACGACAGCACCGTGATCTGCACGAGGGCCAAATTCTGCTGCAGTTATCCTCCCCGCCGCCGCCGACGTCCAAGCCGACCAACACAAACTATCTCGCCCCGAGCGGCGTCACGGCGACGATGATAGACTTTGGCCTGTCCCGCTTATCGATTGATGGCGAGGTGAGGTGGACACCCCTCCCCGAGGAAGTGTACGATGGCGTCGGCGCACAGTGGGACGTGTACCGGGCTATGCGGGACGTGATTGAATCCCAGCCCCCGCCGGCGGAGCCCGAACCGGTGCGACCGCCGAGTCCCATCCCACTAGCCCGACGGAGATCGCGACGCACAACGACACGGGTGGTGCAGTACGTCCTCTCCGACTCTGAGGACGACGACGACGAACCGAGCTACGTCCCGCCTATCTCTCCCCCATCGTCTCCCCTCGCCTCTCCCTCCTCCTCTCGGACATCGACACCGCCGACCTCCACATCCAGCCTCAGCCCGCGGACACCCTGGACCGCATTCGTGCCCGCCTCCAACGTGCTCTGGCTCCGGTACCTGTGCACGTACCTCCTCAAGGCTGCGCGGAAACCGTACAGCCGCAAGTCGACCAGTGCGGCTAAACAGGCAGCGCGACAGAGACAGGAGGCGGCGTGGAGCATGCTCTGCGACGTTGGGGCGGCGCTCGATCCGGAAATGGGCATGTTCGATAGTGCTGCGGACGTCCGGAGCTGGGGAGAGGAGTGTGGGTGGGTCGCGTAGCTGAGCATAACTGATCGGCGCGATCGGCGGGAATACTGCGAGATGGACGCTGAAGATCTTGGAGAGCAACCTGGCCGCGAGGAGATGACTGTAACGAGCACCGTTAGTGACACATGATGTATTGTATGCTACGTTGGCACTATACACAGCATGGCATAAAACTAACTACTCGACTGGAAATCACTACCTAATGAACTTTTTCGAACTAAACCTTGCTGATGCGACGCGAGATCGCCTTGGTACCGAGCCCCAACTCAGTGTGCCTACCAACCACCAGACATGGTGGCGTCGTGGGCGGGGGGCGCGGGGGCGGGAGGGTTGTTCCAGCCCGAGCCGGACTGGAAGCCGCCAGAGTGGGCAGCCGCCGAGCCGGACTCGCGCTCGATCATCTTGAGGCGGTCGGGGTTGACGCGGGGACCGGCGCCGCCAGAGGGTCCAGCAGGGGGAGCACCAGAGGGAGCACCGCCCCAGCCACCACCGCCGCCGGAGTTGGAAGCAGCGGGAGCAGAGCCCCAACCGCCGCCGCCGCCAGAGTTGCCGCCGGAGTTGGAGTTGCTCCAACCGTCACCACCGCCGCCGGAGTTGCCGCCCGAGTTGTTGCCCCAGCCAGAACCACCGCCGCCGCCGCCAGAGTTGCCCCAGCCGGAACCACCGCCGCCGCCGGAGTTGCCCCAGCTGCCGCCGCCTCCACCACCACCTCCGAAGCCGTCGCCGCCAGTCTTCTTGGGGCAGGAGCGGGACTGATGGCCCTGCTCGCCGCACTCGTAGCAAGTGCCGCCGAAGGGGCGGTCGATGCCTTCCTTCCTGGGATTCTCGCAGTCGCGAGACAGGTGGCCGGGCTCGCCGCAGTTGTAGCAGTTGCCACCGCCGCCGCCACCGGCCGCCGTAGCCGCCCTGCTTGTCGGGGCAGTCGCGGGACTGGTGTCCTTCCTGGCCACAGGTGAAGCAACCACGACCGCCGCCAGGCTTGTTGGGGCAGTCGCGAGACTGGTGGCCCTCTTCGCCGCAGGAGAAGCAGCCGCGACCGCCGGCCGCCCTGCTTGTCGGGACACTCGCGCGAGATGTGGCCCTCCTGGCCACAGTTGAAGCAGCCGCCGCTGCAGCCGCCGTAGCCGCCCTGCTTGTCGGGGCAGTCGCGGGACTGGTGTCCTTCCTGGCCACAGGTGAAGCAACCACGACCGCCGCCAGGCTTGTTGGGGCAGTCGCGAGACTGGTGGCCGGGACCGCTGCCGAAGCCACCACCGTCGCCGCCGCGGTTACCCCAGCCAGAGTCCTGCTGGCGGTCACCGAAGGCACCACCGCCGCCGGGACCACCCCTGCGGTCGCCGAAGCGGTCGCCAAAGGTGTCGGAGCGCGCGACCGAGGCGTAGATCTCCTCGAGCTTCTTGTTGTTCTCCTCGACAATGTTGGGGTTGTCGTACTGAACTTCAGACCAGCCAGCGTAGGCGCCCTTGTGAGGAGTTGAAGTTGAAGTTGTAGCGGGAGCCGCGTTGCCGCCGCCAGACTGAGCAGGAGCAGCGTCCCAACCGCCGCCCCCGGACTGAGCAGGAGGAGCCTGCTGAGCAGGAGCACCCCAACCACCACCACCGGAGGGCATGTGGGGAGGGGCGTCACGCTGAGGCTGCTGCTGCTGCTGCTGCTGAAGCTGAGGCGACTGAGCAACCGGAGCGGCCGGAGGAGGAGCACCCCATTGCTGGTTGTTCGAAGGGGGCGGAGCCTGATTGAACTGCTGCTGCTGGGCAGGCGGGGCACCCCACTGCTGCTGCTGCTGAGGAGGAGGCTGGTTATACTGGTTCGAAGGGGGAGCCTGGCTGTACTGATTGGAAGGAGGCGCCTGGTTGTACTGATTCGAGGGGGGCGCCGAGTATTGAGACTGGGCAGGAGGCGCCTGGCCCCAACCGCCCTGTGACTGCTGCTGCTGGGGAGCAGGAGCCTGGGAGAAGGAAGGAGGAGGCGCGCTCGCCATAGGAGGGGGCGCACCCCAGCCGCCGTCGTCGGTGACAGGCATGTCGGGTTGATCGATCAGAGAGGGTTGAACGGGCTTGGAATCGGGGTCAGGCTCAGGCCAGCCTTCGTTGAGGTTGAGAGGAGCAGCTGTCTCTGCAGGAGCGGGATAGATGCGGTGACGCGAGCCTTGAGGACCGACGCGCTGATCGAGAGGGGGAAGAGGCTCTGCTCTGTGAACCTGGGTGTCAGAGATGTCATCAGAAGTCCTCATAGACGCAACGAGCGGCTCATCGTCGTTCCCATCGAAGGGAACTAAGCAAGTTGACTCACCTGATGTTCACGTTCGAGTCGGAGACCGTAGCCAGAGGAGAATGCAGGCTTGGGACCTCTGGTCGGGTTAGATTGATGTTTCCAGTCGTTGAGGAAGTTACCTGCGGATGTAGGTCATTTACCGGACTAGAAGAGAGAGAGGAAGAGGAAAGGTGGTGTGAGTGAATGAGGAACAATGATGATGATGAGAAAGGAAGACGGTGAGGAGGGGGGAAGGAGGGTGAGGGGGTTTTAGTAGGACGTGGAGGGCGCTGGCAACGGAGGAAGACACAGCGTCGTCAGTGTGGGTGTGGGTAAGGAGGGCGAGGAGAGGGCGAGGACGGAGGGAAGACACCAGCAATGTGACTGACAAGGTGGCAGGGGGATTCGCGCCGCCCAGTGCACGCCAAAGGACACACACGCTGGCACAGCAGCAGAGGTAGCCAAGGACAGGGGCGCGACCGCGCAGTACGGGGCGGTCAGAGGCCGTCAGCGCGACAGTAAGTCTGTGTCAGTCTGCCAGTGGAGGCAAGAGGCTGGGAGGCTGGCTCCGCTGCATCGGCAACGCTGTGCGAGCCCGAAAGTGCAGGAAGAGCAACGGCGCGAGTCAAGTGTCGTGCACTGCTCACCTATCGTCGCCGGAGTAGATTGGGTGCGTGCACCAGAGGACACCGTCGGCAGCCATTCACGAATTGTGATGAGTGCTAGACATTGGGCACGGGAACTCAATAGCCCAGCCGCCAGCAGCATTGAGTTCCCAGAATGTAGTCATCGTGCTTGCAGGATCAGTTGCAGCTTCATCCTCCATGGTTGATCGCTGACCAGTCCAACGTCCAGTCCCCTGCCTGTGCTAGCGGATCCTCTGATCTGCCCTCTTCCTGAGGGATTCCGCATCGTGTGCGCCCTCGTGCGCCCGCTGTCTGCCACCAGTCCATTCTCGATCACTGTCATCAGTACATCAGTCTACAGTCAGCGCTCGCGCTCCAGGTGACCATTGTCTTAGACCTCCAGTGCCAGTGCAAGTTCGCCCCTTGCTGTCTTCTCATATTCTCATCCCTGCGTGCATGCAAGACCGTGGAGTGAAGACGGCGGAGGGTTCTGCCACTGGTGTCACGTGATGCGGAATGTACCGGATGCGGGGCACACTGGGGAGGGGAATTAATCGGCCTGCCGTTGTCGCTGGCGGAAGCGGTGGTCACGATAGCCGGAATGTCCTGGGTGGTGAATGCCCGTCGCCTAAGTGCGTGCGTGAGGCGCCGGCGGCACTGGCCAGCCTAGCGAATCCCGGCGATCGAGAAGCAACATGCGTGAGGGCGAGCCCAAGGGCACACGAAGGGACGCATGCCTGGCGCGCGCGAGGACCCCAGATTTGGCAGATTGGCGTCGGACACGGATCACGGAACTCCTCGGACCACCACTGCGCCCGCTGCGCCCGCTGTGCCCCGCCGCATGACTGGCTTTGCATCTTCCGGAGCCTGAGCCTCAGCCTCAGCCACAGAGAGTCGCATCGCCTGCTGGCCAGCGCCAGCGAGCAACGCATCTCAAACTCACTCTTTCTCTTTCTCCTCACCAGAGTTTCTACTCAAAGACTCAAAAACAGCCTGCCTGACACGTGCCGTTCGCTCGTTCGCGCTACAGCCTGCAGCCGAGCTTTACCCTTGCCCCATTCCCCCAAACACGTCATATCTGTGCGACCGACCCCCGACCTATCACAACCCGCAATGCCTTACGTTGACCCGAACCAGCGCTGGATTGTCCCCGCAGTTGCTGCCGCTACTGTCGTCGCTGCTACTGCTGGCTACCTCTACCTGAACCCTTCGTGCTGTTCGTCTTTCACCAAGTCTAGCAAGTCTAGCAAGATGTCGCTCTCGAACAAGCTCTCCATCAAGGACGTCGACCTCAAGGACAAGCGTGTCCTCATCCGCGTCGACTTCAACGTCCCCCAGGACAAGAAGACCGGCGAGATCACCAACCCCGCCCGTATCACCGCTGCTCTCCCCACCATCAAGTATGCCATTGACAACGGCGCCAAGTGCGTCGTGCTCATGTCCCACCTCGGCCGCCCCGACGGACAGAAGAACGAGAAGTACTCGCTCGCCCCCGTCGCCAAGAAGCTCGAGGAGCTGACCGGCAAGAAGGTCACCTTTGTCCACGACTGCGTCGGCAAGGAGGCTGAGGACGCCGTCAACAACGCCAAGGACGGCCAGATCGTTCTCCTTGAGAACCTCCGCTTCCACCCCGAGGAGGAGGGCAAGGGCGTCGACGCCAACGGCAACAAGGTCAAGGCCGACCCCAAGAAGGTCGAGGAGTTCCGCAAGGAGCTCACCAAGCTCGGTGACGTCTACGTCAACGATGCGTGAGTGTACAAGATACAGATCGGTGTGCTGACAGACAGCTTCGGTACCGCCCACCGTGCTCACTCCTCCATGGTCGGTGTCGAGCTTCCCCAGCGTGCTGCCGGCTTCCTCATGAAGAAGGAGCTCGACTACTTCGCCAAGGTCCTTGAGCACCCCGACCGCCCCTTCCTTGCCATCCTCGGTGGTGCCAAGGTCAAGGACAAGATCCAGCTCATCGACTCGATGCTTGACAAGGTCAACAAGCTCATCATCTGTGGTGGCATGGCCTTCACCTTCAAGAAGACTCTTGAGGGCGTCAACATTGGCTCTTCGCTCTTCGACGAGGACGGAGCCAAGGTCGTCGGCGACATTGTCAAGAAGGCTAAGGAGAAGAACGTCGAGCTCATTCTCCCCGTCGACTACGTTGCCGGCTCGTCGTTCTCGAACGACGCCGAGCGCAAGACTGTCACCGACAAGGAGGGCATCCCCGACGGATGGATGGGCCTCGACTGCGGCCCCGAGACCAACAAGATCTTCGCCAAGGCCGTCGAGGACTCCAAGACCATCCTCTGGAACGGTCCCGCCGGTGTCTTCGAGTTCCCCAACTTTGCCCAGGGCTCGCTCTCGCTCCTCAACGCCTGCATCAAGGCTTGCGACAACGGCGCTACCGTCATCGTCGGCGGTGGTGACACCGCCACCCTCGTTGCCCAGCAGGGCAAGGAGGACAAGCTCTCCCACGTCTCCACCGGTGGTGGTGCTTCCCTTGAGCTCCTCGAGGGCAAGACTCTCCCCGGTGTCGCCGCGCTTTCTGACAAGAAGTAAGCGTGCTCCCGAGCGCCAAAGGCGCGGCCGCTGTTGCCGTCCGCTTAGCCACATTAAAAGTAAACGTAGCTTTGACGTAAACGACTGTGAGAAGATGCATCATGTCTAGCACGAAGGGTTGTGCTGCCAGCGCAGCCACTCCAGCGCTCCCTAGAGCCTCAGCCAACTGCAATCGTTCTGCAGCGATCGTGGCGTGTGAGCGTGGGAGTGGAGTGTCTCGTGGGCGCCCTGTCTGGAAACGCCCAGTGGAGGTGGAGGTGGAGGTGTGCCTCGTGAGGTGCGGAACCAAACGCGTGGTCAAGCGCGGACCACTGCAACTCGTAAACAAATGCCTCCACCGTAGCCAGCCGTCATCACATCTTTGGCTCGATCGCTCCCTCCTCGACCACAAGGCCTTCACCTAGTTCGACAACATGTCGCTCACAGATGCGCTTGACCGACTAGCGCACGAGTCGGACCAGCTGAAGTACCACGCGAGCCAGAACACAGACCAAGCCGGCCCCTTCACCTCGGCGTACCTCTACCTCGAGCCTGGCTCCAATGTGCTGTCCCTCATCCGTGATGCCGCGCCAAAGGAGAAGCGGCCGTTCAAGATTCTCTCGGCACCTAATCCTCCGCCCAACCAGCAAGCCGACTTTGGCGTCGACAAGCGACCAGGTGTTCAGCTCAAGACGGAAGCGGTGTTGACTCCGCTGAAGAGCCTGAGGGCTCGGCGTGGTCAGCCGGGCGAACTTGATGCGACGCTGCGTGCGGCCGACGAGCTCCTCGCCGCCATTGCGGACAGCTACCACATGGCAAAGTACCAGGCGCACGTCCGTGCATTGGCGCAGCAGCACGCAGAGCAGCAGCGCGAGCTTGCCGCCATCCAGGCTGAGATTGAAGCGTTCTCGTCACGACCCGCGAAGAAACCCGAGCCCGAGCCAGAGCGGGAAGAGCTCAGCGTCGACGAAGCGATCAAGGCGGAGGAAGCGGCTCTCCGAGAGCTCGAGCGGAGTATCGCACCCTTGCGACGGACCGCCCCGGCATCGCCCGCGAGTCCGAGAAGTCCTCGGAGCCCGATGGCGGCACGCAGTCCCCACAGCCCCGCCTCACCCAAGACGCCAAAGAGCAAGACGCCCGCGCGGCCGACGACGACTCCGAGCCGCGCCCTCCACTTCCCCGGAACGACGCCGCGACGGCCCTCCCAAACGCCGAAGGGGCGTTTCGAGCCGCTACACCTCTTCGGCACGCCGAGGGCGAAGACGCCCCAGGTCCCGCCGCCAGCGCTGAGGGAGAGTATCCGCCGTGACGAGCCTGTCGGACGGAGCATCTTTGGGCCTGGCGCTGGAAGACGGAGCACGCAGCAGCAGCCCCTCGACGCGAGCGTTAGGAAGGAGCCGCTGGACGCAAGTACGAAGGGTCTGGGAGCGAGTACCTCTGAGCGACCGCTGGCTGGGAGCACGGGACTGGGAGGCTCGACGGCGAAGGAGCCGCAGAGCCTTGCGTCCTCGACGCTGCAGCCGCCGTCACTCGGCACCTCGGCCAATGCTCCTGCGACACCAGCGCACGCCCCGCCGAAACCAGCTGCTGCTGCTCCGACACCTGCCCCTCCGACACCTGCTCCTCCGACGCCCGCACCCCAGACACCCGCCCCCGCACCACCAGCAGAATCGACATCAGAGATCGACGCGACGAACCCGGCCGTGGTCTCCGGAGTGGTAAGCTAAAGCCATCTCTATGAAGCTGACCCCAGACAACGGTGCACGACAAGCTGGCAGATGTGATGCGCATGCTAACCCCTTCTGGGCGAGACGTTGCGTCGACAGTGTGAGTGACTTCTCTCTCCAATGTTTCAGCTATATCGTGCGCGACTAGCTAATGCCAGATCACACCTGCACGCCGTGCTAAACGCCGAAGTCCCCTCTCCACCAACAGCAGGCGCCGTAACGCAAGAGGCCGTGCTCATGTCCGCGGCTGCGCTGTCGCTCCTCCGCGCCGCGCCCTCTGGCGGTGTCTTGATGCCGGTCCTGAAGGCGGAACTGGCCACGACGGCGCGTGTCAGGGGATGGAGCGAGGATGCGGCCCAGAGGACGATCTATGCCGGTGTGGGGCGGAAGGCGTGGAAGATCGACCGCCGCGCGGGAGGGGGTGGGAAGGTGCACCTTACCTAGAGATGCATGTGCTCATTCTGGAGCAGACGTGTTGGAGAACTGGGAAGTTGTAGAGCTGATCACTGTTACGGAGACTGATATCACGCACTGACAGAGGGGATCGTGGGAGACCTTGAATCTAGCGAGGTTGACCCTCGACGCCAAAAAGTCAGAATCGGTCATGTCGACTTCTCGATCGGAGCGTGAATGTTCGTGGGAGACCATGGATCTAGCAGAGGCGACCTCTGACGCCAAAAAGTCAGAATCGGTCACGTCGACATCTAGGTCGATCGATCGAAGCTTAGGACGCCCGTGGCCGGCCCGTGGGATCGTGGGAGACCTTGGATCTAGCAAGGGCGACCCTCGACGCCAAAAAGATAGATCGGACCCGTGTGTTCGTGAGGAACGGAGGAAGGTTGGCGCCGTGGGAGACTTTGAATCTGGCGAGGACGAGGGCCGACCGTCATCGGTCACGTCGGGCTCACCATCGCTTTGGAGGGGCTCGTGGGAGACCACAGATATGGCGCAGCTATCCGCCAATTCGATCGGACATGTATCGTAGTAGTCAAGAGTCGTCAGCTTCCTCTCAGCACATTCGATGCAAAGTATGATACATGTGTACGCTTCTATCGCTCCCGAATGCGCTAGAGCACCTCGGCCCATCCGAGCCCAACCCATCTCTCGACCTCTCCCCACTGCACAATATGGCTCGTGCCCTTGGCGAGTACCGCGCTGCCTCCATTCTCGAGCGCAATCTCGCCACAGTCCTTGTTGCAGTACACGAGCACGAGCGCCTTCTCGTCAGGCCGGGGCACCATCGACGTGCCATCGTTGCCCGTGTCCTCGGTGCCCTGCAGCCATGGCGGGAGCGAGTCGAGCACGGACGACTTGAAGTGCTGGTCGATCAGAGTCGAGTAGCGTTCTGCGTGCTGTCGCTCGGCTCCCGAGAGGAGGTTTGAGGATGTCGTCAGGAGGTGCTTGGCGTACTTCTCCACCTGCAAGTTAGCTGTCGGCGGAGAGGGTTCGCCACAGGTACTCACCTTGTGCAACCGCACCCTCACATACGACCGGACGACATACTTTGCCCGCTCCATCTCTGTCTGAACCAGCACGAGGCGGAAGTGCTCCTCCTCGGACGTCGAGGGATCCGCCCTCAGCAGAGTCAACATCTTGCCCTGGATCGTCAGCGTTGCTCACTAGACGGCACCCCCTCAATCAAACAACAACGGGGCTGAAGAGGCTCTAATCATCCTTCGCGCCCCAACGCTCCAGAGAATACTCACCTGCTGTTCCACCTTGTCCAACACGCTGTCAACAAGCTCGCCCTCCCACTGGAGCACGTCCGCGACGCCGCGCTCCTTGACCCAGGCGCGCTCAAGGAGGCGCAGGTCATCTTCGACCTCGGACTGGGAAAGTTGCTGTTGGGTGAATACTGGCGTCAGCTGAATCGCGCAACCGAGGAGGCTGTAAACGAGGTACAGAGTCCGATTGGGACATGATGGATGGTAGGAACGCACCTTCTGGCCCATTGTAGACGTCACCAGCCTCAGTCCCGGCATACGTCGAGTACGCGTCGAAATCGCTCGTCGGCGGTCCGTATCCTGGCGCTGGTGTGCCTCCGTTACTCCTAGCTGCTCCCGTCAGGCGGTCGAGAAAGCTTGGTCCGGATGTCCCGCTACGGCTCCGTGACGGCCCAGAGGCCGAGGAAGTTTCCCAGTCCATGCTGCCTCCCACGGCGTGCTTTGTGTTCTCGGGAGGGAGTCGGGGTTTGATCTGGGTCGTGAGGCAGGTGATAGGTGAGAGTGATGAGGTGCGGTGACGAGAGCTCGGGATGACGAAAGTTGGAGGATTACAGTAATTCAGACAGAGCAGAGGTCCGAAATGTTGTTGCTGAACGCGACGCGAGGCTAGGCACGTCATTCCAAGTGAGGCACGCCGATTAGGACGAGCATTACGACAGCCATCCTAATGCAGATAAGGCCCCAGATTAACCCCACAAATCGGCCCCCACACCGGCGATCACCGACAAGCACCCCGCGCAGCTGACTGATCCGGCTCACAGCTCGGATGCTTACCTCACCGGCGTGCGAGCTTGTGGGCTTGCAAGCTGGGGAGTTGCGTGCTAGCTTCCATCGACCGTTCCATGCGCCAGCTCCGCCCACTTGCATCGCTGCTCTCCCTCCGTTTCCCTCTTCACTCCATCTCAGCGCGAGCCTTCGCCAGCACCCCGATCGCCAACCGAGAACGTCGAGACGACGGCTTCATCCATCCCGAGATGACGGACAATATTGTCAAGTGAGCTCCCACGCCTCGTATTCAGTCACTCCTCCGGAGAACCAGACTGGGGTGACTAACCGAGACACGAGATGTGCATGGTGCACTCTGGTCGCCGCGCGCGCCGCCGTGGCTGTCCTCACCGTCGCTTAGGTCGCCGCAAAGCGTACCCAGACTATGGAGTGGTGCCTCACCTCTCTTCCGAGACACTACGAGCCAAGCTGACATCCAAGCTTCTACGCAGGCCAACCGCCCCTGAACCGGCTCTCGTTCCAGCGTCAAGATGCCTCGCTGCTGAACGCCTACCTGCCCACCGCCAAGTTCCTAGTCTTCGACCTCGGCAAGGTCCTCTGCCCCACAAAGCGCTACAACGAGATCCAATACCTGACCCACGCGCAGGTCGCGCCCCTGCTGAAAGAAGGATTCGAGGATCCGCCCAAGGACGCGAAAGATGCCAAGGTGCGCCAGGCGGCGCGGCCTGTGGGTGCGTCTGCCGTTGTCTTCCTCGGCCTCGACGAGAGGGGATACGAGCAGGAGAACGAGGGCAATGTGGAGCGGCCCAAGGGGCTGCCGTACTTCGCCATTGACGCGAGCGGCACGGGTTTCGCGGGCGCGAGCAAGAACTCGGCCGTCCGCGCTGCCGAGTCCGACAAGGGGGAGGGCAAGGACGAGGTGACGGGAAGCTGGGGCGATCCCCGCGCCACTGGGTCTGCCCTTGACACCTTTGACGCGGGCGTGTTCGCGACCGCGCGCGCGTTGACGGACTGGAACGGGCGGAACCGCCACTGCGCGGCTTGTGGAGCCAAAACCTACTCTCTGTGGGGCGGGTGGAAGCGCGCATGCACCACTGCGCTCGAGGATCCCTCCAAGTGTTTCTCCAACACTGGGTTGCACAATTTTGCCTATCCCCGCACCGACCCCGTGACTATCATGGGCGTGTTGGACCCGGCGGGAGACAGGATGTTGCTCGGAAGACAGAGGGCGTGGCCTAAGGGCTTCTACTCGTGTCTTGCTGGGTTCATTGAGCCGGGCGAGAGCTTTGAGGACGCCGTTCGCAGGGAGGTGTTCGAAGAGGCTGGCGTCAAAGTCGGGCCGGTCAGGTATAGTAGCTCCCAGCCGTGGCCCTTCCCGGCCAACATCATGGTGGGATGCTATGCGCGAGCTGAGAGTGATGAGATCCGCCTCGATCTCGATAACGAGCTCGAGGACGCGCAGTGGTTCCCTCGTTCTGTTGTCGCGAGGCTGTTCGAGAAGGAAGGGTCGACGCACTTCTCCGTCAAGGACTACTCGGCCATCGACCGCGCGCTGACTGCTGGCGAGGAGGACGGATGCGCCGTGCACGGCGACCTGGCGAGCAGGCTCACCAAGATCCCGCCCGAGACCGCTATCGCCGGCAAGCTTATCAGGCAGTGGGCCCTCGGACCCCACGCGCTCGACCTCGTCTCGAGACTGTAGAAAGCAGACAAATCACATAACAGAGCTCCCTCTAATGTTACAGTTTATTTACAACAGACACTATTTCGTGAGGCATTTTGGCTGGGTGCGCTGCGAGACCCCCGTGAGTGGAAGGGCAACGCCCCCGGAACGAGTTGGCGTCTCGCCGATCGAGGACGACGAAGCAGACTCGCTCCACGAGCTCGTGTTGCATGCTTTGACGGTCGTGCCGAGCTGCACGATGCTGCTGTGCGCCGTCCTGAACGAGACCTTTTCGGCGAAGCCGAGGCCAAGCCCGCTGTACGTTCCGCGCTTGCAATTGCGCCGCGGAGAAGGCGAGGGATCCTCGGCCAGCGGTCGGCCCAGCACATTCTCGGAGCGCCGGCGCATGCGCTCGCGCAGTTTGGTCGGCGAGTTGAGGTCGGACCCGAACGACGGCACGCCGTCCAGCTGCCACGACCCGAAGGCGCGAATGTCGGCCAGGCTGACGGGCTCACGACGCTTTGGCTGCGGTGGCGTCATGACGAGGTCCTGCAGATACTCGTTAGAGGCGTCCGAGAAGTCAGAGTACGTTGACGTGGGCGAGTCGAGTAGGTCGAGTTCGCGAGGGCGGCCCTGCTCTCCCAAGAACCAATTATAAGACGTTGGCTCCGAGTCCGAACCCGAGGCTGTCCCACGAGCCGGCGTCGGCGCCTGGGGCCGTTCTGGCGGGACTGAGTCTGCATATGACGATGCAGGCAGAAGGTGCGCGCCGAGCAACTCGTCTGGCGGCGGGGCGATGTGGCCAAACTCCCACAAGTCCCAATCGACATTCAGGCCGACAGCCTTGCGCGCAAGCCACGAGGCGTGCGCGCTCCAGATCGCGACCTGGACGAGGCTCAGACCGGATCGCGCCTCGAACTCGCGGCGGTTCACCCCCAGCGAACTGAACGGGTTGCTGTCAAGGAAGTGCGTCTTGGGGGTGAAGGTCTTGTCGCTGCGGCCGATGATCTGCACCGTGGGCAGCAGCTTACTGGGCACCGGACGGGGAATGAGCATGAGGGCCTGGGATTAGCTCCTTGCAGCGAGGTGGAGCTCACAAAGCTGTTGGCCATGGGACCATCACGTAGACGGTACTGGAGCGCGGCGAGCGTCCAGAGCTTGCCGCAGACGCCACTGACATTAGACACGATGGTACTGCATACTCACAAGGGGTGCGGCTCGCCCGTGTAGCCCAGAACCTGGGAGACAACCATACGCAGGTTGAGCAGCCGGAGCGGATCAGTGATGAAGTTGCCCGCTGTGGCGTAGAACACCTCGCACTGGGGTCAGCAACCATGGGATAGCCAGGTGGGCAAGGAAGGGCAGCTGCGCGCATTCACTTTGGGCTGAATGGCAATGAGATCTCTGTGATCCGCCAGAGCGACAGGGAAGGCCTTGGGGATCTCATCACAGAGAGGGCAGGACAGATCTGTGTCTCGGAGCGGCGGACTCACATGCCCCCGCCAATCGAGGGGACCTCATGACTCACCTTGTACGCGTGCTCTTGTGGTCCGGGCTGGCCAGCCTTGAACCAACGACATCCCCAACCCGAACGGCGGGGACAGGCGCACGACTCGGCCCTGCTACCTTTGCCGTCAGCGCCGCGCCGGAGGATGCACGAGCGGGTGCGGCGGGGGCGGCGTTGCGGCGGCATCGGGAGGGAAGGAAGGTACTTGGTAGTTGGAGAGCAGGGCAGCGGCAAGAAGATGAAGGAGCGTCTGCTGTGGGGCTTAGGAGAGGCGTGAGGTGCGGAAGGAGGAGGTTTGAGGTGGGAGGAGACTGGAGTCAGAAGGCTGAAAGAAACTGGAAGCTGCAAGAGGTGAAGAGTGAAGAGTCGAGAAGAGGAACAGCAAGTCAGTCCATTAGCAGTCTACGACGCAGCTAGCGCGGTTCGAGCCATGGGTGGCGACGAGGAAGACTCTTCGCGTGGTGTAGGGCGCACGCAGCCGTGGCAGTGGTCAGTGGCTGCGGGTTCTGTCACCCGATCAGTACACACGACGCTCTGAATATATGCATACAACAACGTAGACACACTGGAACACAACCGTTAATCACTTGCTTGATGGCTGCAAAGCTCAAGAGGATGGACCCTCCCCGCCCACCCACTCAGCGCACCACTGCGCCATCTCTGCAACGCGTCTGACGCCAATGTCAGAGCGCGCCAGCGTCCCGAGGTCTGGGCGGAGAGCCCTGTCTTCTGGCCGCATCTCCTCTTGCGGCTGGGCACCACGCGCACCAGGACGGTAGACATAGTCGTCCGCGACCGCGTCGCGCCGAGGCAGTGTACGGAAGAGCTCGGTAGGCTGTGGCGGCGACGCGCCGTTCTTCGGACTCAACACAAGCTGCGCCTCGCGTGGAGGGTCCGAGTTCGGTGTTGCTGGCTGGAATTCCGCGTCTGCAAGAAGAGCGTTAGCTGGGTCCTTTGCGCTAGTTGGGTCACATGCCAAGACCGAGGTGCGAGGAACGCTGGTGGGCAATCCCAGAGTCCCAAAGGACGTCCACTGCCCCTTTGCGGCCTCTTGCTGCCCGAGGTATTTGGTGCTCGCGCTACCCGCTGCGCGAGTGTTTTTGCTTTTCGGAAATCGCATCAAGGGGACAGCAAACCCACATGCCCGAAGCTACGTCCAAACTTACCTTGGAGGAGCACGACGTCGCCGCGGCGCACGGCGCCGCCCCAGTCGCGCGCACACGACTCGTACAGCGTAACTGTGCAGCTGGCCGGGTCCGCCACCCCAGCAGCCGGTGCAAGCACCTTCCAGGACGCAATCCAGAGCTCGTCGGTCTGCCCGGGAGCCCTGGACTGGAATCGCCGCTGCCGCGGAATGGGAGGGTTGACGGTTATGACGCAGCAAATCAGAGACACACGTTTGCGCGGAGCACTTCTGCGAGACGTCCTTTCTGGCGGGACGAGCAGATCGCATAGTGGGGTCAGCTTCGATGGGGGCGGCAGCGTCCAGCGAGGCAGGTTTGAGACCGACGATGGCCAGCCCGATGCACGAGCTGATTGCGGCAGTGACATCTCCGAGCCCAGCGACGATGAGAGGCGACTGTAGCTGTGCGCGTTCAGGCTGTTCCGGTCCAGACTCTCCACACCTGCATGTCAGTCACTGCACGCAATTGAAAGCTAGTAAACGACATGCCCCTTGCCATGAGAGAGTACGCAGTGCCAAGCGACATGTTGCGCCAGGCACCACCCAGGAGTGATCCAGGAGGGGCTAGGAAGCGAGGTGCGGAATTTGCATTTCTGCAGAACCTGGGTCTGCAATCTGCAACATTGCAAGGTCTCGTCTCCCATGGGGCCTGGGATGAAGGGTCGTTAAGACTCACCGGACGCGTGCACGGAGGAACGCAGACGGCGCGACCGCCGAAGAGGCACGGAATCAGAGCTTTCCTGCCAGCTCTCGTCATCGACTGGTTTCGTAACAACTGTCTTGCTGTTGTCTGCATGCATCGAGACTTGTGCTTCATCCGTGATAGCGACTCCGGCAGCTTCGGCACCGCTGTTATCTCCACGGCGCCGCGCGATCCGGGGTGCAGTGGTAGTCACCTCATCGTGATTGCGTGCGTGTGCATGCGCGGGCTCTCTTGGTTCTGCCGAGCGTGCCGGCTCGGCATCTACCTGGTCGACTTGATCTGGCAGCGAGATGACATGCAGACTATGCTCTGTTGGCTGAAAAGTCCGTGGGTCGTTCAGGGGCAAGAGTGAGCGCGGGGGAATGAAGGCGTGGTAATGCACGCCGCCCATGCTGATGCTCCGACGCGGCAGGCCAATGGATGCACGGTTGGAAGCTTTTGATGGCGGCCGTCGGGTCGGAGGAAAAGCGATGGAAGAAGAAAAGAACAGGGGTGTCGGATGTCGGGATGCAGAAGAATAGGACGGACCGCGCTAAGAACGTCAAAGGCTGCTGCGCATGAAGTGTCTGGACTCTTGTCGTTGTTCGATGCGGGGCAACGGGGTGACTGTATCTGAGGTGTGCGGACGCGTGTAGGCGGGTGGAGGGTCGCCGATCGACTATTCAGTGGGACGGAGCTCGGAGTCGCAGTGTCAGTGTCCCTCCCCTGCACCCAGCCCTAGCACAAGTCACCACCCTGGCCCTCGGCCCTCAGTCGCACGACACGCGCGGCATCCGACGCCCGACGTCCGAATCATGCATGGCCGATCCTCACGTGTTTCAACTGCGCAAGGCGTTAGTCACATCCTTCATGCATCGTGTTTCGAAGCGGTGCGAAGCTGCACCGCGATCGTCGCATGCGGCGCAATTCTGAATCATGTATGCGTCGGCGGCGTTGCAAACGTCGAACAAGCAAGTGCGAGGTCGGAGGCATGGGCAAGCACGGCGAAATAGTCGATCGGGATGATGGGCATGACGTCAACGGCTTCGGCGCCGCGGGACGGTGTTTGGGGCTTAGGACAGAGGTGTGACATGACGCTTAGCGTTGGGTGAGTGCGGCTCGGTGGTGCGGCGGCGAAAAGTTGGTAACAGAAGGATCGGGAGTCGGACCCAGGGCCCAGGAAAGCAGGCTAAGCTGATCACTGTGATGTCAGGCTGTGGGAATGTCAGACATCCTCCGCTGGGTATGCAACCTTGTTCCCCCCTCCGTGTTTTTGGTTGAGACGATGGGAGGTGGGAGTATATTCGCAAATTCGCATGCAAAACAAGCTGCACCCATGCACCCGAGTGAAGGGTTGTATCACGGCACCGTGCAACTCATCGTATAGCTCAGCTGACCATGGCAAGCGGATGGAGTGGGCAAGCGAGCAACTTCGCGACAAGTCAACCTGCAGACCACGCGCGACAGGCGTTCAGTTCGAAAAGCTAATCAAATCAGGAGATCAGGGTGGCAGAGGTCTACCCTGGCTTCCTTTTTGCGTGTAATCGTTTAATCGCTCCTGAGGCTCATTGCGTCTCAAACGGGTTCCGCGTCCTTGCTGCTTGCCCCATTCCCCAACCTAGCTTCGCGCTCTGGAACCTCGCTTAGCTTGCACATCACTCCATCTGACACTGGCATCAGTCACATGCACCCCATCTCGCGTCCCGTCCTGACCGCCGCTTGCTATCGCCGTCTCTCCGTCGCAACAGATGTCCGCCCTCCGCGCCGTAGGGTTAAACCAGATCCCCAGCCTTGTTGTTGTCACCGCTGATGAGCGAATAACCGGACAGAGGTCCGAAGTTCTGCCGCTCCGTGTTTGAGGCTGCAGCCACCCAAGCACGCAGTCTGGAATGCGGCTCGACTTGGATCTGCCTCCCCCACTCTGCCACATTCGGACCGGATGGTCGCGGGGCTCTCGGCGGCGGAGTTCTGCTGACGTTATGAGAGGTGGTATCAAGCATGTGAGACGGATTGCAGACGTCCGAGGAGAGATTCGGAGTAGTAGAGCAGATGGCAAGCACAGCCGGCCGCCCCGCTGTGCTGACTGAGGTCGAGGTCTTTGTAGTCGAGACTGCCACTCCTTGGGACATTGGCCAGGCACGAGTTCAACCCCTGAGCTTTCGGGCTTACGGTGAGCGCGTAGGCGGGAGCCTCTGGTGGGATGCCTGTGGATCGGCCCGATGCGGCCGCGCTCCCTGCTGGATGTTAGGTGTCATGACGAGGGATGCCCTGGGGCCTGGGGAGGAAGCCGCATGAGGGCAGGCGCTAAGGCGGGGCGGCCAGACTGCCGCACATCATGAGCTGCAAATTGGCGCAAGCCCGTAGGGTGAGAATCGTCCGAACCCAATGACGGCCTGGTGCAAGTGGATGATCCATGGTGCAGAGTCAGAGTCAGAGCCAAAGCCATTGCCGATTGTCACCAAACTCAGTCAGGAACTGCTGCCCTCCTCCCCTCCTGACCTTCCCTGCTCCCTGGCCCCCGCCTGCCCCGTGCCAGCCAGACTGCCCTTCCCCTCTCGAGCCTGGCTCAGACGCCTGCGCACCGCTACCGAACTACTGATCACTGATCACCATCTGATCACTGCGATCACCCTCCCACCCCAGCCAAGCACACCCGGTCCAACCACTCGAGTACGCCGTTCACCGTCTCTTACCTCCGACACGACTCTGCACATCTCTTATCCAGCGACACATTCAACGTTCTGCTCTGCCTCGCTTGTATCTTGCTTTTGTTCCGTCGGCTCCATCTTGCCTGTACTGTCATCTTCAACCCTGCACCTTCCCTTCCGGCCCCCGTTAGCCTAGGCTGTCAACACGTTCACCTCTTGCTCCTGCCGCTCCGTCCACTTCGTCAACGTCGACCCGAAGCAACCGCGGCCCTTCTCACCACCCCCAGACCTCGCTCCGCATTGTCTGCAGCATTGTTATCATATCGCTGCTCCACCACTCCGACATACAAAGCTTCCGATAGGCGAACTTGCATCAGTGGCCACAGAGTAGACGCCGCTCTGTCTGGTGTCGAATCGACGTTCTCCACCTTCGCGTATCACCTTCCCTAACCGATTCCCAGTCTCTTGTTTTTATCTTCCGCAAGCGGCCGCCACCCGCCCCGGCACCATGCCCTTCGAATCTGCGGGCGAATCCAGCACTAACAACCACCGGCCACGACCGCAACCGACGCCGCACCAGCACCGCGCCCGGCGACGACACGAGGAAGAAGATGAGGAAGATGAACTCTCTATTTTGAGCTCTAGGCTCGTGTCTGAGTCGCATGTCGACATGTCGTCGATCCCGCGAGAGTTCCTGCAGGTGCGCCCGCTTTTGCTCTGTGTATCTGCCAAGCTGACATGCAGTCGTACCCGTACCCCGCGCTCGCGATCATTTGCAGTGGAGCGCCAGACCTTAACGGCGTGCCACCGACACACCTACCGATAGCGTGCGCTCCACTTGCGAAACATGCGATCCCCGTGTGGACGAACCGGAGTTGGAAGGAGCTGTCGAGTGATGGACAGCCGCTGCAGTTCCTCTCTGTCGAGGGTGGGCGGCGGCTACGCAACTGGTTGACAGCTCCTCGGAGATTCGCACGAGAACCATCGTTTACGAAGGACGCTGCCGAGAGTTCGACGTCCGGAAAAGCTGGGCACCGACAGGGCTCTGTCGAGAACGGCGACGCGGCGCTGACGATAAGTGAGCGGGGCCACGGCGGACTGGAGAGCTCGAGCATCCTGCTCGACTTTGCGTTTCCCTCCGGAGCGCAGCAGTTCGAGCTCACCAAGACGCTCACGCCGATCTACATTGTGCACCGCGGACATCGGCAGATTGTCGACAGCTACAACTTTGCCGTGATCACGACTGTGCCGCGCGACCGCCTGCCGCCGAGCCCGAGGACGGAGAAGATGACCCGCCCCTCGTCGATCCCCGACATGAAGCGCACGGCTATGGACAACCGGAGACGAGACCGTGAGGTGCCCCTCGTGTCCGACCGACCACTAAGCACGCCAGCACTCGCCCCCCCACGAGCACTGCACTTCTCACGAGACGGTTCCGTCACTCAGATGACAAGACCATCACTGGACGCAACGGCGAACGGCATTCCGCTAAGCGTCGAGGCCCTTCTGGAGATGACGGACTGGAGCAAGACGTCTTTCGGTCCGAAAGAAGACTGGCCAGCAACTTTGCAGGTCATGGTCAACTTTGTCATGTTCTTCCCGCACGCAGCTAGTATCTGGTGGGGAAAGGAGCGCTGCGTCATTTACAACCAGCGATACGCCGATGTAAGCTACTGAGGTGGACCAGCGAGCTGACACCAGTTTATCCCGAGTCACCCATACGCGTTCGGACGGTCCGGCACACAACTCTGGCCAGGTGTGTTTACTTGTTTACCGTGTGAACTTGGCTGACGCGACAGAACTCTGGTCGTCCCTGGGACCTCTCGCGGACATTGTCGGCGGCGGCACGCCCATCGCCAAGGATGACGGTGCGTACCTGTTGTGTTTGCAAGGCTGACATCAGATCTCGTTAACAAGTTCCGCGATGTGCAGGGCAACCTGCGCGAGACGTACCGGTGTCAAGTGTTTGTCCCGCTCAAGGGTGAGAACGGAGCCTTCGGCGGCGTCTTCCACGGCACAATGGACACGACAAAGAAGGTCATCATGGAGCGGCGGAGTGCGCTCCTGCGCGAGATAGCGGAGCGTATCGGCCCCACGCGGACGAAAGACGACTTTACGGCGAACCTTCTCGATACGTTACGCGCTCACCCGAAGGATGCGCCGTTTGCGCTCGTGTTCAACGTTGAGCAGCTGTCTGAGCCACCGAAACCGCAACGGCGGTATGTCGGCACGCTCGTGGACGATCAGAGCTCGGAGACGTCGACGCCGAATCTGATTGTGCGAATGCGATACGCCGGCGGTGTCGGTGTTCCGAAAGGTCACCCCACAGCGCAGTCCTTCTCCCTCGACCTCCCGTCGACAATGACCGACCCAAGCGAGGCGATGATCACCGAAGCGTTTTCCAACCTCCCTTCGTCTGCGGCGCCGGCGTCGTATTCGCGCCAGCCCTCGGCTGCACCGACCTCGACAACGCAGACAAAAGACAGCGCGCTCTCTGCGTCCATGGCGTCTCTGACTATGAACTCGGAGACGGCACAGCCACTGTCCTGGCCGCTGCAGGAGGTGCTCCGAACACAGCGCCCGTTGCTCCTCGAGGACTGCTCGCAGTACATCAAGGGCTACAGCATTCGTGTCTGGAACGAGCTCCCGCAGAGCGCCATTCTGATTCCTCTGTCGCGCAACTCCGCCCGCCTCCCGCCGTCCATTCTTGTGCTCGGTATCTCCTCGCGTCTGTCGTGGGACAAGGACTACGAGGCGTTCATCGTGAGTCACATGCGGAAGCTCATGATCATCGCAGTTAAGCTGACCTTGCAGAGCTCCCTCCGTTTGCAACTGGCCCTCGCATGCCACAACGTGTCGTCTTACCAGAACGACGTGCGCCGCCTCGAGGAGCTCGCCGCGCTCGACCGCGCCAAGAACCTCCTGTTCAACAATGTGTCACACGAGCTGCTCACGCCACTAAGTCTTGTGAACGGACCACTGGATGATCTTGCGTCCGACGTCGAGCTCGACGGCCCGCGACTGCAGCTGATCAAGCTAGCCCGACGAAATGTCCGCAACGTGACCCGCCTCGTGACGATGCTGCTGGATCTGAGCAACCTGGAGGCATCGCAGCTGAAGGGTGCCTTCCGCTCTGTCAACCTGGGCGCGGTGACGCGCGATGTCGCCAACCTCTTCCGCTCATCAGCGGAGAAGGGCAACCTCAGCCTCACGATCGACATTGACGAGACGCCGCGCGACACGTTCGTGATTCGGGAGAAGTGGGAGAAGATCCTGTTCTCCATCATTGCGAATGCGATCAAGCACACGCGAGCGGGCTCTGTGCACATCTCGCTCAAGTACGAGGGTGCCGAGGCCGTGTTCGCCGTCAAGGACACGGGCAGCGGCATTGCCGCCGCGAACCTGGAGGAGATGAACGAGAACTTCTTCAGCAACGCCGGTGGCGGCAAGTACGCCCCCGGTACGGGTATTACGCTCATGTTCATCAACAAGTTCATCGAGATCCACCGTGGCCAGCTTGATGTCACGAGCACGACGGCCGCGGAGAGCGGAGGCGAGCACGGGAGCACGTTCACCGTGCGCATTCCGCTCGGCAATGCGCATCTGCCGCCTGGTGCTGTCGATGTCGCCTACAGCATCAGCCCGATGGACAATTTCCGCCGCGGCGTCGTGGAGCAGGTTCGGCAGTGGCACCGACAATGGGAGGCGAGTCTCTTCGCGGACGAACTGTTCGATGACGAAGCTGCATCCATCCCGCGCGTTCGGTCGCTCAACCCCGGCGTCATGCTGTTCAAGAAGGACGACGTCGTGCTTGTTGTTGACTCGAACGCCGAAAGCCGCGCGTTCCTCCGCTCCGTCTTCGCACCATACTGCAAGGTTGTCGAGGCTACCGATGGCAAAGATGCTCTCGAGCGCGTGGACGGCATTGCTCCCGACCTAATTGTGATTGATGCCCTCCTGCCGCAAGTGTCGGGGCACGACTTTGTTCGTGCCATGCGCACTGGCCAGGTCATGCGGAAGACGACGCCGATCATGGTCCTCACTGTCAACGATGACAGGCATAGCAACCAGGAAGGCGCTGATGACTATCTCGCGAAGCCGTTTAACCCGCAAGAGCTCATCGCACGAGCGAGCTTACAGTGAGTTTCGCCGACCCGACTGTGGTAGTCTCCAAACTGACGTCCAGGATGCAGCTTGGCAAGAAGCGCCGAGAGCTCGAGTCGCTCTTCGATGAGCGCCTGCAGGAGCTCCGCCTTCTCACCGACCACTCGCCCGTTGGCATTTTCCGGTGCACGCCGGAGGGCTTCGTGTCCTACGTGAACCAATCGTGGTGCGACATCTCGGGGTACCCGACAAATCGCGACGTGACGAACTGGGGCGACTACATCATCCCTGAGCACCAGCGCATGGTGATGCAGATCTGGGAGGGCTTCGTGTCCTCCGGCCATGACATGGCGACAGCCGAGTGGCAGTGGAACAACGGCCGTTGGGTGTCGACCAAGGTCGTGCGTCTGGAGAACATTGCGCCGAACGCGCCGCCGGGCTTCATCGGCTGCGTCATCGATATCACGGAGCGCAAGCTCAACGAGGAGCTGCAGCGGCAGCGCGTCGTCGAGGCTGAGCAACGGCGTGTCGAGGCCGAAGAGGCGAAGCACCAACAGGAGCTGCTCATCGACATTACCTCGCACGAGATCCGCAACCCTATCAGCAGCCTGATGCAGTGCTCGTCGCTCGTCAAGACCAACCTGCAGGTGCTGCAGGAGGAGGTCAAGAGCGCACTCGAGGAGGGCCGTCCCCTGATGCCCACGCCGCAGTTGCTGGTCACGATGAACGAGGATCTCGACGCCCTCGACTCGATCTACCAGTGCGGCTTGACGCAGGAACGTATCTCGAACGACGTGCTTTCACTCGGCAAGATTCAGCTCGACGCGCTGCAAATGTTCGACACGGAAACCATCGTGCGCAAGGAGGCCAAGGCTGTCCTGTCCATCTTCCAGAACGAGGCGCGCATCAAGCGTATGGAGCTGAACCTCAACATGTCGCCTGCGTTTGAGGAGCTCGGCATTACGGCCGTCATGACCGATCCCGTCCGCCTCGGACAGGTCATGACGAACCTCATGTCGAATGCGGTCCGTTTCACGTCCAAGAGCCGGAACCGTCGTGTCGACCTATCGGTCGATGTGGGACTTGACCCCCCGCCTCTGGGCACCTGTGCGAAGCCGACGCCGTCGCGGGACACTGGAACCGTCAAGATTGGCCCTGAGACGCCCGTCTACCTCTACATCAGCGTGAAGGACACTGGTCCCGGTCTGACTGCCGCCGAGCTCGAGCTGCTGTTCCAGCGGTTCTCGCAGGCGTCAGCCAAGACGCACACAGTGTATGGCGGCAGCGGTCTCGGTCTCTTCGTCTGTCGCAAGATCACCGAGAGGCTGAATGGCCGCATCGAGGTTGTCTCCGAGCTCGGACAGGGCAGCGAGTTCCGCTTTTTCATCAAGACCCGGCCCTGCATCAAGGTCGAGGACCCGGCACCAGCGAAGCGGGAGACGATCCACTCTCAGCTGCGCGTCCTCATCGTGGAAGACAACCACATCAACCTGCGCGTTCTGTCCCGGCAGCTGAAGCACGTTGGCATGGACGTGGACAATGCGCCCAACGGCCTGGCCGCACTCAACATGATCCGGCAAGCGATGGCCAAGCCCGGCATCGACTTTGCGACCTTCTCGCCCCAATTCAGCGCGAACAACATCCCCCTCTCCTCGCCTTTACCGGCCACCGATCTACCGCCGGGAGGCTACGTCTTCGGCGGCCCCGAACCGGGCCCTAGGCGCCAGCATCCTCTCCAGTCTCCGCTCGGCGGTCTGCCCTCTTCTCCGCCCGAATCACCCCCCATGGCCCGCTCAGAGCCCTACGACTGTATCCTGATGGACCTCGAGATGCCCGTCATGGACGGGTATACTGCGGCGTCGCACGTGCGCGCAGACCAGGCGAGCGGGAAGATTGGCCGCGTGCCCATCGTCGCGCTGACAGGTAACGCGCGACAGGCGCAGATCGACGGCCAGATGGCGGACTTTGACGATGTCGTCGTCAAGCCGTATCGTCTCGACGATCTCTTGCGGAAGATTGAGAAGAACGCGAGGATCGTGCGGGAGGAGAACGAGAGTGAGGAGGAGAGGAGGTCAATGGAGTCGGGGAGCGTCGGGTAATTTAGCTGCGAGCGCAGCGAGCTGCACACGCCCCACCCAACCAGCAACATCTTGAATATCAACAACTATTGTAGTAGTATGTGCCCTTATAACTCGTAAAAGTAGCCCCAGGTAGTGGGCAGAGCCCTCATAGGTTAATCAGAAACAATGTATCGAGTAGACCATACACCTCTGCTCAGCTCGTCTTCACCCGCAGCCGTGCCACCGTGCCTGAGACCTGGAGAATATGGAGATTTGAGGGTTGCCCGTGCGCGGTGGAGGTGGAGGGGAAAGTGGAGGCCGATTGCCTCAACTTCCTTTCGCCTGACTCAGCTTTAGACATACGGCCGATCTCCACCTCAACCTCGCCTTGACAAGCTAGAAGCTAGAGCTAGACCAATGGACCGACACAATGGGCAAGGAAAACGGTGACGCCGCGGCGAAGACGGACGAGCGCTACGTGCTTCTCGGCAGCCTCCCTCTGCGCCTTCCTCTCCGCGGACCAGTACGATGGACACGAGCCAGCGAGGGATTCAAGGACGCCTTGAAGCCGAGAATAGAGCGTCTAGAAGCTGAAGAGGCGCAGAAGGTATTGCTAGAAGGAGCAACGAAGAGGAGGGGGAGAACGAAGGAGACCACTGAGCTCGATGTGGTCCGCGGCCTGCTGTGGATTATCGGGGATAAGGACACGATGGCGCGGGTTGAGTGGCGATCGGAAACAGGGGAGGGTGAAGATCTTGAGGAGCAGGAGGGAACGGAGGGACAGACGATTGATCCGACCATCGACGCTCTCCGACTCCCGGAACGTAAGGAAGAGCCAGCCCACGAGGACATCGACGCTTGCTCGGACAGCGATCTCTCAACGCCCCCTTCTTCACCGCCACTGTCACCTTCACTGCATCCCGTTGTTGTTCCGTCTTCACCTTCGATCCACCTTCCTCCGTCACTACCTCATCCTCCTCCCCCTCCGGAGCCAGCTCCCGAGCCAGCGCAACCACCACCTCCGACTCCGCTGTTCGAATCGCGCGTGAGGATATCTTTGCTACCGGCCGACTACGGCTGGAGGATCAGCCAGCGCCGGGCACATGCGCTGCGAGCACTCTTCAGTGTGCTGGATAAGGGCTGGGAGGGCGCTGAGGGGGCACTGCTTGAAGTTTCCGTGAGTCACCTCTTTCTGTCACCCCAGAAGCTGGGATATTGTGCTTGACAAGCTGACTCCAGACTGCCGACATCACGGACATGCAATCGCTGTACTCGCTGATCGAGTCGCCACCTGAACCAAGTGTCCCTGCCGATGCGCAGGGAGACGAGGCATTTGCGACGCTCGCGGCGTATGAGGATCCGGTGGGAGTCAAGACGCCCTTGTACAAGTACCAAATTGTGAGTTGTCCCGCTCTGGCTTGATCGCCTCTCGCCTCCACCAAATGCTCATATCAGCGCTCCGTTTCTCGTATGCTCCAAATGGAGACATACCCCGGGACGATGGTTGATCCACGGTACTCTCGTCTACTCGACGCCTCCAGACGTTCCTACTACCTCGACCTGTCATCCATGACGATCCGCCGGTCGCCTGCCCGTTTCGCGCTCTCTCGCGGCGGCATACTCTGCGAACAGATGGGCGTCGGCAAGACGCTTATGTGTCTTGCCCTGATCCTGGCCAGCCGGCACCAGCCCGTCCGCCCGCCTCAAGGCTTCGGCATCTCGGACGTCACGAGCGACGTGGCGCTGACGTGGCCGACGGCGGACTCGGCGTCACTCCGTGCAGCCCTCAGTTTGCATGGGCAGGAGTTCCCTCCTGAGATGCTGGCCAAAGGAACCCCGAGCCTCGCCTCATTGTGCGCCGAGGTACTGGCACGTGAGGCACCACATGCTGCTCGAGTTCACCAAGTGCCCGAGGGGAGTCGAAGATTGCTCGACAGACAGTGCGTGTATTACCGCTTCCCGCCGCCTGTGCGGTTGCCCCGTGGCGCGAAGAGAGTGCCCTTCGTTCCCGCCGAGCGCACACTGCTCGCGAACACGACGCTGGTTGTCGTGCCCCAGATTCTCGTTGGACAGTGGGTTCAGCAGATTGAGGAACACGTTGAGCCCGGCGCGCTCGAATTCCTTGTGCTTCAGGACGCAAAGGACGCGATGCCACCTGTAGAGGCTTTAGCGAAGTACGACGTGAGTTAGCTGGGTCGTCGATTTTCACGAAAGCTGATGCCAGATCGTGCTGCTTTGCTTGGACAGATTTCGGCGCGAGGCGCGCGTGGACCCCATCGATATGAGTCTCAGCACCGAGTTGCTGAGAGCCAGGTGGAAGCGGATCATTCTCGGTAAGCTCCGTGCCGCGCTTCATAGCTGACATCAGACGAGGGCAACATTGCGAACAACACCAAGAGCGACGCCATGATCCTCGCCGAGGCGCTCAGTATCGAGCGACGATGGATCGTCAGTGGAAGTATGTTTTGTGATTGGGGCCAAGCTGACAGCAGCACCGACGACGAACTTGAAGCAAGGGACCGAGACGGCGACCAAGTCGCTCGCCACGTCCGAGGGCATGATGCGCGTTCACTCGGCGGCTGAATCGAGGGCCGGCTCTCGCTCCGAATCTCGAGCGGTGTCGCAGGCTCGCGACGAGCCTTCTGCCGAGGAACTTCAGAGTGCTCCACCAACCCCACGCTCGTCGACCCGCTGGTCAAAGGCTGATCTCGACGATGTCATCCGCCTGGGAAACATGTTGAAGGGTTTCCTCGCCGCCGAGGTGTTCCAGGCCGACGAGTTCCGTCGCCTGGTGACGCGGCCGCTGCGAGCGGCCAGCGGGCCAGCATTCGGCGCCGTTGAGCGGATACGTTCTATCATGTCCCGCGTCATGGTGAAGCACCGGCCCGGCGTCATCGACGAGGAAGTCACGCTCCCGCCTTCGCAGCTCGGCGCCGAACTCGTCCCCTTCACCTCTTGGCAGCGCAAGACGTATAACGCCTTGACGGCCCTCGTTGCGTCCAACGTCTACACCTCGGCGGGAGAGGACGTCGACTTCTTCCTGCATCCCCGCAACGTCGAGGCGTTCAACCAAGTCGTCGCAAACCTGCATCTCGCGTGCACATGGTTCTCGTCTGCGGACATGGGTATTGAGGCGGCCCTCGGGCGCACGCAGAAGTATCTTGATGGCGACAAGCTGAACGACGCCCAGCGGGCGGGCTGCGAGCAAGCCGTCAAGCACATGTAGGAGGCACTTGCCGATGACGGGTGGCGGCAGTGGATGGCCAGCGGCGAGGCTTCATTGCCCTACGACTCAGATTTGCCCGAAGCTGTCATCCGCGCATGGGGACATACCGCCGCCGCGGCTGTTCTCGATGCTCGGGCGATGATGCACGTGAGGACCACGAACCGGCGTGCGGCCACGATAACTTCTGTCGAGAAGGAAGGCCACGACGACCGGGCGCGCCGCATCAAGCTCGAGCAGAAGGCGGAGCAGCGAGACGCCAAATCCACCGCAAAGTCTCCAGCATCGCCAGTCAAGGCGGACAAGGGCAAAGCGGCCGCCGAGCGTCCCAAAGCTCCGCGCATCCGCCGTCTCTCCACCGCCACGCACTCAGATCACGCTTCAACTGACCCGAGCAACGTGGACTCAGCCCTGGACGAGGCAGCAGCCAACGCGGCAGCGAACGCAGCCGCAGCGGCCGAGATCAGCGACGCGCCCCGGCCTCTCCCTAGCGTCGTCAAGACCCAGTCCCGCAGCGCCAAGATCAACTACGCCGTGCGCTGCGTCCTCGCCTCAGAGCCTGAAGACCGCTTCGTCATCTTCGGTGCTTGGGAGGAACTCGCACACCTGACCGAGGCGCTGGACCTCGTCAAGGTCAAGAGCGTGTATGCAGGTGCTCGTGTCTCGGCCGATAAGCGCCAGCGCGCCCTCGCTGAGTTCAAAGAGGGCGGTCCGAAAGTCGTCATTCTCGAACTGAAACATGCGGCGCGAGGTCTGTAAGTGTACCCGCCCTATTCTGACAGCTGTGATTTCGAGCCGGCCAGCTAACGGCAGGAACCTGACAGATGCGAACCGGATGGTCTTCCTCTCCCCCGTCTGGTCGCTCGACGTGCAGGCTCAAGCGATCAAGCGTATCCACCGAATCGGGCAGACACGCCCTACCCGCATCGACATCCTAGTCACAGAGGGGACGTTTGAGGAGGACATCGTGCGGCGCGAAAAGGCAGCAAGGGGCAGCGAGGACGAGAAGCGCTACTCGCGCGCTTTGATTGAGGTAAGCACAACTCGCAGTTGGCAGCCATGTCTTCATTAACTGACAGACAGACACCGCGATTTGTCGATGATCGACCGGACGAGAGACCGGCATTCTTCCCCGTTCCCCTCGTTCCTGGACAGATGGATCTGGAGGAGGAACGGATCTATGCCGCAGCCCTGGCCGAGGTCACTGCGCCGGGAGCCGTGGCGCTCGAGGAGCTGACTGATCGCCGCCCCGAGGAGCCTTTCTCTCCGTCTGGATCAGCCACACCAGCGGACGCGGACCCCGTCAAGATGGAGCTGGACTCCCCCGCTCCAGCCGTGATCGAGGTTGAGGCTGCCGCGCCGAAACGTGCTCTGCGCTTTGCTGATGAGGACGATGAGATTAAGCCGGCCAAGAAGGCGAGGTTTGTGCCCCCGAGTCCTGGCCCCTTCTCCGGGGCCGGACCATCCAGGCGAGCCAGGTTCGCCTCTCCGGACACAGCAGAGCCGCCGAAGCGAGCGCGGTTCGCGTCCCCTCCCCCAGTCCCCACTTTTGACTCTGAACCAGACACTCCGACAGCGAGGCGTGTGCGGATCACCACCCCTCCGCCCGTCAAGCAAGAGTCGGTCGGCGGCGCCAACGACACCCAACCAGCGCTGGGCAGCCCACGCCCACCGCCCTCAGCATCCGATGGGCCAGAAGCAGTGCACCAGCACGAGGGCGCCCGTTTCGAATAGTTGTAGAGTTGTACAGACATATGCATAGACCTATTTCCTATGCCTTGATTGCCTCTTTCTCCTTCACTTCTTCCTTCTTCCCCTTCGGCAGAGCGACAGGCGGTGGGCGGGGCATGACCCCCCTGCGCTCCCACTTGGCCTCCATGCCCTCAATTTCGTGCCGGACAATCTCCCGCCCATGCAGCCGCCACAATCTCTTGCGCATGTTCTTCTTCTCCCGTTCCCAGGCCTGGGGTGCTTTGTCGACCCGCCCGCCCAGGCGGCCCATGTCACTGAACCACCTCAGGATGATGTGCAGAGCAGCGTCGTTTGTAGCGATCTGGCGCAGGACGCGGAATCCGAGATCCCACCTCAGTCTGATCGCGCACTTCTGGAGGAGGGCAGAGGCGGTGGGGAGGAGCATGGGATGAGACGGGACTGAGAGACTGGATTGAGGGGAGGAAGGCGACGCAGGCGAGGAGGGGGAGACACACGCGTGCTCGAACCACTTGACCGCGGAAGCCAGTCGGCCGGCACGCGCGCGCACGAGTGAGACGACGAAGGGCGCCTCGGCCTCCGTCGGGGCATACTTTGCCTCGACCTCGCCCTCCGCCTTGTCGTTGCCGTCGGCAGGCTGAGTGGAGGGAGGAGCAGCGCTCCTGTCAAGGATGAACAGCGTCCCGTCCCGTTCAAGGACGGAGGGTAGCTGCACATCATTGAGTGCCTTCCACTTTGCGTTGGCGCAGGCGGCGGCAAAGGCGGCACCGGAGGGAGGGAGGACGAACCATGGCCGCGCCATGACAGTCAGCCGACGCGCGAGGAAGGGCTCGTCCTCTGCCATCTGGACCAGATGCTTAAAGGCAGCCTCTTCGCCGATCAGGGAAGTGAGCGCGGCGACGCTCTCCGCTCCGTCCCCGGGTTGCATTCCGGTCTCAGCCGCCATCCTCTGCTCAGCGGCACTCTCGGCAGCGGCGGCGCCGGCGCCGGATTCAGATGCGTTAGCGGGCGACCGCAGAATGTCGGTCTGGAGCTGGATGTTCGCCAGAGGACCCGAGTCCACGGGGGAAGGCGGCTCAAGCACGACAGGGTTCAGTGGCACCACCTTCTCCTGTGGACGGCCAATGAGTGCGTCGCTGCGCACTCGGAACAGGGCGCGTTTCGTCTCGTCGCCTGGCCCAGTAGCGAGATACTCCCTTGCTACCCTCTTCGCGAAGGCCGTGCGCTGCGCGCTCCTGTGACCTCTCGTGAAGGCGCGAATGAGGGCCAGCGCTGTACGCTCATCAATGGCTGATGACCTGTAGTAGATCGCCTCGGCGACAGCGAGAAGCCCGGCATCCGCGAGCGTGCGGAGGAACTCTGGCGGCATTGGCTGGCTCCGCGCATCGTACGCGAGTCGTCGCAGAGCAGTTGGTGGCGGATTCGCGAGCGCCAAGCGGGTGATTTGCCTCGCACTTGGCGGGTTGTACCTCCGCACAGACTCTTGACCGGGGCCTGGGACCGGATTCGGCAGCGCCAGATAGAAGTCGAGAGCGTTGCTGAGGCTTAGACCTTCCATATGCAGATTGATTGCGCTGGTGGGAAGAGGAGGGAATCGGCTGTCGTTCGCCATCAGAAGAAGCTTCTCGTGCGCCCAGGCGCTGAGGTTGTCGTCACCTGGTGCCACATCTGCCGTACGGATCGCTTCGAGGATGAGCTCGACTGCCGCAGGGTCGATCTTGCTCGAGCGCAGCGTGTCGAGGAGATCGTCGATTGCTCGGGTGGCGCGGACATGCTTCTTCCATTGGAGCGCAGCACGAGCAACTGTGATCTGCACCACAAGAGAGGCTGCACGCGGGTGCTCCGCAATGCTACCATCGATGTGCCCTGGCAACTTCCCGAGGGCGAGCGGGTAATGCAGCAGCTTCACTGCGGCTTGCGGGTCGGTCCGCGCCAGGTGCAGCGCAATCTCGAGCAACGGCCAGTCGCGCCTATCCCACTTAGCAGTCGCTGAGAGCTCATAGAACACTGAAGTCAGGAGGTCGTTTGCGTCCTCTTCTCGTAGAGCTCTGGAAACTCCGACAAGCGCCGGTCGGCTTAGCCGAGCAAGCACCTTGCGCTTGATACTTGGCGCGATAACACGATACGCCTGCGCCACGAGGGATAGGCGGAGCCGTTCCTTCTCCGTCTGCGGGTGTTCGCTGTCCGCCTCCTCGTTAAGAATCTCGCGGAGCACTCGGTGATTCGGCGCACGCAGCAGCAAGTCACTGAGGAGCTCCTCGTGACACCCCGCGGCTCGGAGATTGGCGTACAGCGTGCGTATGCGAGGGAAGAGGGAGACGAGGTGATGCGAGAAGAGCGGCGACTGGCGGAGCTGCTTGTAAGCTGAAGCTGGGTCGATCCAGCGCTTCTCAGAGCCAGTGGCGAGACACGCCTCCATGAGCTCCTCATCCTTCGCGAACGACTGCTGCGGCAGGTCGACATCCGGGTCGAGAAACGCTTCGAGCGTTATCCGTGAGCTGGTCGCAACTGGCGAAGCGCGGGGCCAGTACTGCGCCGCACTCAGTTCGGGGGCTGTATCCGTCGCATTGTCGCCAGAAGGAAGGCCGAGGGCAGTCCGCTGCGCCTGGTCCGAAAAGCGCCGCCGCCCGACGGCGGGGACTAGCCGAACCGGAGGCGGGTATGCCAGCGCCGCGCGACGGACGCGCAGGAGCGCGCGGTTGCCGAAGCTGCCGTCAGCTCAGAGCCTTCTCTAAGCTTTACCTGGGCATGTCCGTAACTCTTGACTGTCGCGGACAAAAACAACGGTCGTAAGCCAAGGGTTGAGATTGAGGAAGGAGTTGGTCGGAAGACCGCCCGAAATTCAAGATACGGCGAGAGAAGACAGCCGTGCCTGAGCTAGTACAGCCACGTGGGATCCGTCATGTGAAGACCTCCACCAGACGACCAAAATCTTGCCACTGCGCAGCAGCGGTGCTCGATCGCCTCCACCTCTGAGCTCAACTTTTGGGAGCGCTGACGTTTGTTGACTCAACAGAAGGAAGACACAATGGTGAGCTTAAATATCCAGTAGGAGCTGACATACAGCCCCGAGCTTCCAGGACCGGAACGAGGAAACACGCCCAGGCCGTGCCGCTTCGTGCGGCGCAGAGCGCCGAGAAGGTCCTGCCTGGCAGCGACCTCGATGCGACTGTGAGTAGTGTCGGGAGCGCAGCGAGCAAGAACTCTACCTCCAGTCACCGCTGTGATCGGTCCTTGACGCATTAGCTAACGCCAGATCGCAACGATGGTTGCCAAGTCGGTCGACTCACAGCCGAAGCAGCTCCGACACAAGCCATTCCACGCGCAGCTCGTGGCCCAGTCCCAGCCGTACTCAAAGTCGCACATGAAGCGCGAGAAGCGCAAGGCGAAGCAGCAGCTTGCTGGAGGAATGGGCTCTGTGGCTGCCGCCCTCGTGGACTTGGCTCCTGAGCTCGCGCCTGAGCCGGAGGTGGAGACGAAGACGCCAAAGGAGAAGCAGCAGGCGGCCGACGACGCCAAGCGACGAAAGGAGGAAGACGGCAAGATTGGGCAGGGCAGCAAGAGGACGATGCGCGAGAAGCAGAGGCGGAAACAGATGTGAGTGCAACCGAGGAGCGACCAAACGCACCACCCATGTCTCTTAGAGAGCTAGGTGGCGACACCCTAGATCACAGCTATCGACGTTGGAGTTGTAGCTAACAACCAGCTCCGCCGCGGCCGTCCGCATCCCCGCCGTGATGCAGCACCCCTCCTTCCGCGCGAACCCCTGGGCGACGATCCGCGAGCACGCGGGCAACACGCTCGCGGCCGCCGAGAGCGTGAAGGACATGGAGGAGCGGGCAAGGCAGAAGCGCACGCCCAAGGCGAACATTACGGTTGGCGGCGTCAAGAGCGCGGGTGGCATGGAGGGAATTGAGTAGGCGAGCACCGAGCGGAGTGAGGCAGCGAGCCTCTAGCTCCCGGTGTTGACGAGGGATGGAACCGGATAGAGCGATTGTAACATTATGCTAGACTGGGATTACAGGAATTCTCTACAGGTACGGACTGACTACAGACTCGGACTTCGATTACTCACACGATCTCACAACTCACCAACAGATGACAGCAATCGCACATAAACCGAGGAAGTCACTTCCAGAACTGCGGCACCCACTTCTTAGGTCGCACCTCCTCCAGCTCCCTGCCCTCGATCCAAGCGAGGTTCTCTGCACTCCACGGCCCCTCCGTGCCGAACAGGAAGGGCGAACGTGCCGGCCGGCCGACGAACAGCCTATGTGCTGGAAGGACGAAGTTCAGCTCGTCCGTCTGCTGCTTGAGCTTCTTGAGGACCGGGGTGGTAGGGAACGGGGAGGGGGTGGCGGCGGCATGTGGAGAGGTGAGCGGAGAGAGGGGTGGGGGCGAGGAGAGCGGAGACGGACTAGCCTCTCGCGTCTTGCGGAGCATCCTCTTCCCTCCCTTTACTCCCTTCACAGCCTTGGGCTTCGGGGTCTTGATCTTGGGCGGTGGCTTCGGTTTGCTCCTGGCCGCTGCCTGGGCCTTCGTCGTCACCTTCGGCTTAGGCGGGGCACGTGCCCTTCCCCTCCCCTTGCCCTCCGTACGGCGCCGCTTTCCCAACCTTTCGGTCTCCAGCTCTGGCTCAGGAGCACTGTCAGAATCAATGACGATCATCTCGGCGATGCCCGCTCGGACTGGTGGAGGCGTTGGGAGGCGACCCTGGACGACACGGTTCACGCCGTCAGGAGCGCCGAGGAAATGCCGGTCGGAGATCTCGACTTCCTGGGTCGCCGAGAAGCCTGCTTTAGTCCGAGCTGCCGGATGCCGCTCGGTCTTTTGCCGCTGGTCGTGTGCGCGACCACGCTGCCCATGTGACGACGCTGCTGGCTGTGAAGGCCCTGCTTCTGCGCTCTTCACCGGTGCTGCCGTTGCAGCAGTAGCAGTGCTGGGCTTGATACGACCCCTCCCGGCCGGTTTGGCCGCGGGTGCTCGGCGGGGCGGAGGCGGCTTGCACTTTGGCGGGACCGCGGGTCGCTTCCTCTTCTTCTTTGGAGGCTTTGCCCCATCATCGGGAACTTGTAGCGGTGCGAGCTCTTCGAGCCAGCTGAGATCGAGGTTCATTGTGGTCAGAGTGCATGATGGTCTGGTGGTGTTGTTCAGAGTCAGGTCTCTAGCCGTGGAGAACGCCCTATACACACAGGAGGACGTCCTCGACGTCCGTTGCATTGCCTTCGCATACCGCCGCCCCCTTCATTGCAAGCGCCCTCTGTGCGGTCAACGCTATCGCTGCCACCATGACATTGGTTGTGGGCGCATCAGCCTCGTCCCTATTTTTACCATCAGTCCTCGGAGCGTCATCCACTCCCTTGCGAGATATTTATCTTTCCTGGCGATTTGCAGCATGCTACAGCCGCACGCTGCCAAGCCCCACTGTGACACGGGGGTGCATTGATTCGGCTGCGGCTGCGGCATCCTGCGATTACGAGGAGAGCAGGAGTGAATGGATACTCGGGAATATCCCGAGCACGGTCGGCGACCATGATTAGCGAGTGAGGATTGTCGAATAAGCCGGGCCCGGAGCTGGGAGGGCCGCTCCAAAGGAGCTTTCCACCCCCACTCATCGGATCGGAGACTGCGCCCAGAGATAGGGACAAACCAACCGCGGGGCGAGCGGCCTGAGGGGATTGTGGGGATATCCAGAGGCCCAGCCAAGGTCACGTGTTTCGACCCGAGGGACCCGAGCTCGGTTCGCCTATGTCCGACTGGCGGTGTGGTGGACGGCGCCCGGCGCGTACTCTGCCGGTAGAGTTGGGGCCTGGCTTCGTTACTGGTGGGTGGGCACCTGGTGCTCGCGCCATTACCTTCACCACCTTTCTTGCACAATCTCACAACCACACACTCTACACTCCCTCAGCAACACTCCCACCATGTCCAAGACCGAGTCCCAGATCGAGAAGTTCCTCAGCAAGGCGTCGACCGTCCTCGCGACCCAGCAGGGCCTCGACGCCGGCCTCCACCTCATGGCCTACTCGAGCCCTCTCGTCGCCGCTGCCATGCTCAAGATTGTCCAGAAGCGCGCCCAGCACGGCGTCAAGAGCCCCACCCTCATCAACTCGGCCGCCGGTGTCGTTCGTGCCGGTACCGCCGTCGGCGAGGCGAGGACGATCATGCGTGCTTTCGGTGAGTAGAGCGGTCGATGGCCGTCAGGCCGGAACGTGGCCGGAGCACGGCAGGAGCCAGCTGGGACCGTGGAGTGCAAAAAGCACAGAAATGCCGAACACGGGATTCCTCTGGGTCGAACGTGCCCACTGCTTGCGCTGCTGCGTCGGACGGTATGCGTGCAGAGCGACGCATGCGATGCAGCTCGGAGAAGAGCGCAATGCATTGCTGCAAAAGTGGTGCGGCGGCGATGTCCACCGGGCCCCCGGCTGCGCCCAACCGGCTCCCTCGGCGCCACTCGAGCACATCTCATCGTACACAGCTAACCCCAGGTCTTGTGCCCATGATCGACTGGCTGCTGAAGCTGCACCCTCGTCCTCTTGACGCCCTGCTCTCGCTGATCCGCCGTCCCCTGCAGGCGCTCAACCTCGGCGACGCGCGCGTGTTCAGCACCTACCGCGTGCTCCTCCTCATCGTCTTCTACGTCGGCGAGCACCTCTCCTGGCTCGGCAACAAGGGCGTCCTCCCCCTTGCGCCCGAGACGATCGGCCGCGTCGCCACCATCTCGATCCGCTCCTGGGCGATCGACGTCTTCCTCACCGCCGTCAAGCTGCTCACGCAGTACTCGTCGCTCCGCGCGCGCAAGGCCGAGCTCAAGCGCCTCCGCGCCACCGGCGGCGGCGACAAGGAGAAGATTGCCGAGAAGGCCCAGGCCCTCCAGCAGGAGTACAAGACGTGGCAGACCCAGGCCGCCGTTACCTTTGGCTGGCTCCCGCTCACCTGGCAGTGGAGCTCGGGCGGCGCCCTCTGGACCAACCCCCTCATCACCTCTGTCATTGGCCTGTACGTCGGTTGCGCCAAGGTCAACGCGGCTTGGAACAAGTAAGCCGCTGCAGCAACCGACGGGGCCGAAGGCCCCGGAGGGTGCGGAGGTCGTGGAGGCAAAGACTCGTCGGTTAGCAACGGGACGCGGAGCGTCACGAGTCGCTCGGCCGGCGAGGCATTCCCCAGGCAGATTGAGGACGAAGGATAGAGGTAGGCGAAGAAGAGCAGACGAGCAAAAGAAGACGGGCGGCTCCAGCAGCCCGTGCTAGATACCCGCGAAGTTAAAGACGTTCCTTCCCATTCATTTTGTAGTGATCAGTTAGTAGTACGAGGAGCAGCAGCCGTGATTTTAGAAATCTTGGTGTATGCAGAAGTCGAGCGATAGTCGAGGACGAGTGCGAGCGCAGCGAGCGCGAGTGAGAGTGGGTGTGTGTGTTGAGGGGTAAGTGTGGGGAGCTTGCAGTGGAGCAGAGCACGTATCGTCCTTATGATGACGAGTTGCTCACTAGCGCTTGCCCCTCGTCGCTTTCCGTTATTGCATCGAGATCAAGTGTAGGTTCATCGCCCGGATATCGACAAGTCAGCCACGTACAATGAACCAGTAACAATCAGCCTGTTTCAGAAGATCGAGACGCACAGTCCTCACAGTCTCACAGTCCAGACTGGGGTCGTGCACGGTGAGGATGCACGCCCGCCACCGGCGTGTCTATGCATGCCGACCTTAATCTGCTCCTCAAAGCATCACCGGACCATCCTTCGAGCAAGCAGTATGTATGCGAACGCGGTGCAGTGACTCGGTGCATGAACAAGTACCTAGGTGCATTTCCAATGCCTCTGGTTGGGCGAGGCAGCAGAGATTCCCGGCCCGCCGGCATCCACCGGCCGGCACTCACTGCAGGCGGAATGCGGAGGCTGGCCAAACGCGGGGCTCAAACCTGTCACCATACAGGGTCAAGGGGGGCGCGGCTACCTTGCCGAAAGCCCAGCAGGGCCATTTTCCAAGCCTGGCGGCCTGGTTGGATATTTCTGATAACGACTTCCGACTCCGACACCGAGTCGCGCTTCTTTCGCTGATATACTTGATCCTCGCGCCCACCACTCCTCTTCTGCTCCTCTCATTTTCTACTTCGTCTCACTCGCCTCGTTTGGAAAACGGCTTCGCTTCGCTTAGCTCAGCTTCAGCTCGCTAGCACAATGGGCCTCACGCAGACCCAGAAGGACCTCGTTGGTGGAAGTGTCGGAGGAGTCGCGCAGGTGCTCGTTGGCCAGGTGAGTGTCCCCGACAGTCTGGCTGGATTAGATGGTGCGACGGTGTGCGAGGAGTGCCCATGGGGCCGCCGACGGCGACGTCGTCTCTGCGCGAGAAGAGGAGAGGGGCGGATGCACGTGCTCTGCGCGTGCTTATCTCTCCTCTCGCCCTCGTGATAACGAGCAGAGGACGAGCAGCGGTCCCAGCAATCCTCTACCGACCTCTCGCTACGGAGCCACCCTCTGCTTTAGTAGCGCATTCTCCGAGTTCCTCTGCCCATTTTCCGACGCTCCCATACTCCCATACTCCCCGAGAGCCCAGCTAACGACCCAGCCCTTCGACATTGTCAAGGTCCGCATCCAAACCAACCCCTCCGCGTACACCTCGCCGCTCGACTGTGCCTCTAAGATCCTGAAGGCCGACGGTCCCCTGGGATTCTACAAGGGCACGCTGACCCCCTTGTTGGGTATTGGCGCGTGTGTGTCCATCCAGTTCGGCGCACTCGAGTGGGCCAAGCGTCTCCTGTCCAACAATGGCGAGAAGACCCTGGGGCTTGGCGAACTCTATGCCGCGGGCGCCGTTGCCGGCGTCGCCAACACGGCCGTCGCGGGGCCCGTCGAGCATATCCGTATCCGCCTCCAGACGCAGCCGGCCGGTGCGGAGAAACTGTACAATGGCCCCCTCGACTGTGTTCGCAAGCTGTATGGACAGGGAGGTTTGCCGGGTGTCTTCAAGGGACAGGCGGCGACTATGCTCCGTGACGGTGTTGGATATGGGTGAGTCACTCGAGCTCAGAGCCGTCAGGCTCAGGCTCTGGGCAGCGCTGGATTGTGCTCCTCTGTCCTTCCCAGCCCCGACTGGCGGCAGTGGACAGCGTCAGCGCGCCCCGAGAAAGGTCTCCGGGCCTCCGCTCCGCTTCGGCCCTTCGCTAACGCGGCGCAGAATGTACTTCCTCGTGTACGAATACCTGGTCCAGTCGCACTGCGCGCGCAACAACTGTTCGCGCGAGGACATCTCGCCCCTCTGGGCGCTGACCTACGGCGCGACAGCGGGGTATGGGCTCTGGGGCTCCATCTACCCCGTGGACGTGGTCAAGTCCAAGATCCAGACCGACTCGCTGGACCCTTCCAAGCAAAAGTACAGGGGCATGCTCGACTGCGCGAGGCAGACGTGGCGCGCCCAGGGGGTTAAGGGCTTCACTGGCGGTCTGACGCCGACGCTCGTCAGGTCGCCCTTCGCCAATGGCGCTACTTTTGTTGCGTTCGAGCTCGCTATGCGCGCTATGGGAAGTCCGGAGAAGGGCGCGCCCGAGCATGAGCTCCCGGACCCCATCTACTAGACTGAAGGAGAGACGTAGCTTGCAATACCCATAGAACTCAGACCCAGACTCAGACTAAGACTCAGACTCGGACTCAACTCGGACCTAATTGTAATGAATCAGTATCATCGCATGGACACTCGCAGACGCAACGGATTATGCTAAAATGTACATGTGCTGCCGCTGCTACCGAAAGTGAAAGTGGAAAGTGGAAAGTGGGAAATTATGACAGGTATGAACATGGGATAACGGGTATTCCTTTGTGATTGAGAGAACCATAGAGCCATCATGAACCGAGTCGTACCGCCCTACTTGCCCACGCGCAGCTTGATCTTGGGCCCGCCGTTCGCGCTGTCCTTGCTCGGCGTCGCGTCCTTGGCGGCAGCAGCGCCCTTGGCCGCCTGCGCGCCGAGCGAGCCCTTCTTCCCCGCCGCTGCGCCGTTGCGCTTGACGGGCATCTGCCCCGGTTTGGCGGGAGGCGGCTGCGGGGCGAGCGGCGTGTATCCCTTGGACGGGGACCCGTCGACGTCGCTGGACGCCGGGCCGTTGAACTTGATGCCGAGGAGGAGCTCGGCGGCGTCGAGGTCCTGGCGCGTCGCGCGGCGCACGTTCTGGTACGCCTTCTTGACCTTGTGCTCCTTCATTGCTGGGGCCTCCATCGGGCCGCGCTTGCGCTTGCGCCGCGCCTCGAGCCGGTTCCAGAAGTCGAGCTGGATCACCTTCTCCGGCACGCGGTAGCGGCGGTTGTTGATGACCATGTCCTCGTGCGGGATCGCGCTCTTTGGCTCCTCCTCTGACTCGACGACTGTGATGTTGCCGTTGTTGTACTCGCCGGGCTTCTCGACGTCGACCGTCTCCAGACCGTGTCGCACGGTCCGGCGGCGAGGGAGAACGTGGTCCGCATGCGCGGGGCAGATCCACTTACGCGCGGCAGACGGCATGGACGCAAGCGGCGGGTCGAGGCAGTCCAGATGCCAGTGCAGCGGGCAAATGTCGCACGACACAATGTGTCGCCACTGCGCACCAGGCTCGCTCGCCGGCGTGCGCGAGGGCAGAGACGTGCCACCGCACTTGTAGCAGGCAACGGGACGATGCTTGCCGTCGCGCAAACGCAGCGGATCACGCTCCTCCATCATTCCCTTGCGGCTGGTAGTTAGCACCTATAAGCAGCAGTGAACCCACTCGTACTTGTTGCGCGCACTCTCGGTGTCGAGGTACTCGCCCTTGGCACCCGTGCCGACGCCGTTGAAGTACTGCCGGATCTCCTGCGGCAGACGGAACTGCTGCGGGTTGTCCTGGTCCAGCTTGGCTGCCATCGTCTTAAAGATGGTAGTGATCGGCTTGTCCTTGGCGCGAATGACGTCTACTCCCTTGGTCCCCGCCTGATTGTTAGCTCGGACCCCAGACGCGAAGCTAGAGGGCTCGTATGCGTCCGCCACAGGAGGGTGGGGCGGTGTGGATCGGCGTGCGAATCCTCAACCACACACGTCAACCGCCAGTCATACAGCGGAGACGCTCCCCCACCCAGGGCTCAGCATCCACAGCCCAGTCCCACTCACCCGGTCAGCCTTGCACTTGCGGCAGTACCACACCTCCTCCTTTGGCAGCTCGTCGATGCGGAGGGGCGGCTCGAGACACATAAAGTGGAAGCTGCGCGGGCACCCGTCGCAGCACAGGAAGCGACCAATGCCGCGGCACACGGAGCAAAAGTCCTGGTTGACAAAGTTCTCGGATGCGGGGGCCGCTTTGCCCTTACCCTTGCCGCTGTTGTTCTGCTGCTGCGTGCCCTTGTTCGCCACGCGGGCCGATCCCCCGACCCGCCTTCCTCTACCAGAAGCGCTTACGCCTGAGCGCTCCAGTCCGTCGCGGCCGCGCGAGGACGAAGGGGTCGTGTTGCGCTCGCGCTCGCGGAGGACGCGGCCGGCACTCGGGCCGACGATTGTCTGGACCTCGGCGGCGACTTCGTTCGAGGTCTTGTCGTTGAAGATGGATAGCGCATGGCCCGCTGGTGCGCCAGAGGCGGGCTGTGGCGTGTTGCGCGACGAGGGGACGGAGCTTCCATCACGACTGGCGGGCGTCGAGGTCGCACCAGGCGAGCTGTTGCGGGCGCTGACGCCGCGCCGGGGTCGGGTGCTCGGTGTCGGCGGCGCGGGCCTGGTAACGTAGTTAGCGTGTCTCCAGATGGAGGGCATGGATGATGGTGAAGAAGGAAAGAGTGCAAAGGGACAAGAATCTGGGTGATTGGCACATTGGCACAAAGCACGTTGCCACGCCCCTCTGGACGGCGAGGATGGGGGGGATGCACGCTCGCATCTGGTCCCCTTCGTTACATCCGGCGTCGCTACACATGTGGCACACCTGGGGATACACTCACTCTGAACGTCGCTTGCGCTTGCCAGCACTACTGGCAGGGGAGGATTGGCGGGCGCTGGCGGGGATGCGAAGAATGACACTCGGGGGAGGCTGGGTCACGTTGGGCGTCCCTGCACCGGGCGTGTCGGCCATGTTGCCGTCGGACAGCGGGTCCTCCTTGTACGAGACGGAGGCCGACGCGCGCGTGCTCGGGGTGTCGATGTCCATTGGGAACGAGGTGGGTGTGTCGGTGGAAACTTGTTGGTCAAGTTGGGACATTGGTGGCGGTTGGTTCTGGCGACTGAGGGAAGAGGGGGCAGAGCCGGGTGGCGGCGTGTCAAAAGCGGCCGTGGACTCGGCCAGGCGGTCGACCGTGGGACCGTTCGGGGTGCCGGCGAGACTGGCGGGGTCGGGCTTGATGTCGATCGGGGCGTGAGATGGAGTGAGCAGGGCAGACGGCAGTCGTTCGTCGTCAGGCATTCTCGTCGCGCCGATGAGTCACGCTAAAGAGGATGGGGGACGTGTGGGGCTTGATTGCACGATGGGCCTGTCGTGATGGTCGATGCCGCCCGAACAATAGCGAGCACGGGGGCTGCCTCGGGTGTGCGCTGCGTGCAGGTGGTCGTGGGAGGTGCGGGAGTGGGATGGAGGAGTGTCTCTGGATGGATATCGGGGATGGATGGATTAGGTGAGGGGGCGGCGTTGGGTGAGAGATGGACTCACAGATGGCCACTGCCACTACAGTTCGCTGGCCGCTGGCTGGCTGGCTGGCTGACTGGGGGGGCAGGGGTCATGGTGCCAAATGGTGCCAACCACAACCGCCGGCCGTACGGCGATTTCTCGTTTCGTGCGCGCCACTGTGGGCCCTCCCCAGTCCAGTCCCCAGCTGCATGCGTACAGCCGGCCCTCCCCTCTGCATGCTGGGTACTCCTAGGCTGCGTGCGTCCCAGGGCGCTCCATGCCGTAGTCGCGATCCAATTCTTGTGCAGAAGTACATGGAACATGGCTTTCCTCATCCCCGTGCCCCCCAATCACCCCTCATCGCCGCTACAGTCTAGCCACTGGCCACTGACCCCCGCCGCATGCTTGCCTGCGCACCAGCACACCACCTGCACTTGTCACATGACCTAGAACCTCATTGCATGTCCGTGCAAACTACGTAGATACAAAGACTTGGAAATGTGTGCCCCTCTTCGACCCACCTCTCCACGAGAAGAAGAGGCGGGAGATACGTGAGCCTCGCTCAACCAGCGCCCGGCCCTCGGGCGATCCCTCTCGGGTTCAAGCCTCTGGACCATACGGGCACTAGCTGGTTCATCTACCTCCCAATTAGCACGTTGATGGGCCACGGAGCACTGGGCCGCACAACGGAATAGGAGAGGTGTAGAGAAAAGAGAACTCCTCCATGCACAGATTTTTCTCGCTTTATCCCCCCCTTGCCTGGCGGCTACGAAGGGGCGAGCGCCCCTTGCTTCGCCCTGACCCAATCAACCGGCTATTCGGTCCCCCCACCTATCAACCCAGCTCAAGAGGCGATGCTGTCCAGTTCGTCTCCTGAACGCGGCTGCGAGGTAAAGGTTCACTTGCTGCTAGCTCTCAAGTACATGACAATGATTTGATAGATCCGTACTGCACATACATAAGCTTCTCTATGAAGGGATCACCAGGCTCTGTCTAAGTAGTCGGTACTGAATACGTCAAACACTTCGTTAACGACCGGAGCGCTCACGGCGGGGTCCGGGACAGATTGTCTGCTCGACGAAGACGGCGTGTGCTGCAGCGGGGGCGGCACAGGAACATTCGGCACGGGAGCAGGCTCAACCGCACCCGGCGCAACAGCGTCCCCGACCGCTTGCTGCCTCGCTTGCTGGTTCAGCAGGGCCTGCAGGATACGGTCAACATCGGTAGGGTTGAGCGGCTTTGACAAGTCGATGATGTCCGGGTTGGCAGGCATGCCCTGGTGCTGCTGTTGCTGCTGCTGCTGGTTGCCAGCGGCAACGGCCGCGACGGCAGACGCAAGGCTCTGCTGCGTGATCTGGGGCAGCTGCTGGCCGTGGCTGCCGCCCTGTGACGGCTGCATAATCTGCACATTGGGAGGATAGCCGGCGCCATAGTTGGGGTAGTAGATGTTCGCGTCCGGCTTGAAGTACGCCTGAGGGTTCTGGCTGGACGGATCCGAGGCATGAGAGGGCTGCGGGACCGGCATACCGCCGAGGGCGTTCGCCTGGTGGCTAGGACCGGCCGCTCCAGTGTTGAAATTGAAGTACAGGTTGCTCGCGTCGCCGGCGTTCGGAGCGGGCTGCTGCATCTGCTGTTGGTTGGCGCCGCCTTGTATATTGAACAAGTAGCCATAGTCGGGAACTTGCTGCTCTCCGTGCGTGTCCGGACGAGGGATCATACCCTGCTGTGCGAGAGCGCCAGCGATCATGGACTGGATGTCACCAATGGAATGCTGCTCCATGTTCGACCCGCGCGGGGACGGGTGACTAAACATCGTGATGTCCGTGGGCGAGGTCATGTGCGAGCTGCCGGTCGCTTCCGTCGATGTCGTCGGATGGGAAGACTCATGATCGGAGCTCTGGTGCTGCTGCGGCTGTTGCTGTTGCTGCTGGTCGCTTCCGTCATTCGCAGCAGGCAGTAACGAGTTTAAGTACGACATAAAGTCGACGTCAGACGCAGCTAAGGCGTTTGCGATCTCGTTCACGCCAACCGACATGCCGCCGGATGGGTCGTCACCGAGAGCGTCGTCAGTCGACGTAGCCGCAGGTGGGAGAGGTGAGACGTCATTGGGAGTTTGCAGGTTGGCAGGGCCAGTCGCCGGACTGCAGCAGCCCGACGACTGCGACGACGAGAACGATCCGCGGTGCACCGGGGAAGGCTGCCGGCTGCCTCCGGAACAGGATCTCGGTGGTGCGAGACGATCAGCACCGCCTTTGCCACACGATCCGGAAGAGGAAGGTTTGGGTAAGATCGGCCTGGGATGCAACGTTTGCGAGAGAGCCATCGGCGTCTTCGCGGCAGTCTTCGAACCCAAAGAGGTGGAACGCTGGACGGCTGCCCCTGAGCGATCGCCGATGGACGAGCGGCGGCCCTCAGCGACTTCCTTGGCACGCGAGACAGATGAGGTGCGGCGAATGTTGGTGTGACAGCCAGGCGCGGGTGACGGAATACGGTGGGAGAACGAACTTGACGCCGAAGCGTTTGACGGCGAGTTGGCGACAGAGGAAGTGACAGTCTCGGTGGCGCCACTTCCACAGCAGCCTCCGGATGGGGCTGAGCTGTCTCCCATGACAGTGTCACCATCGTCACCACAGTTGCAGCTCTCGCAGCATCCGCAACAGTCGCTCTCGCACTTGCACTCGCCAGGCTTGCACTGGCAGCGCCCGTTGCAGCACTCCAGAGGGCGCAACTGAACAATGCCGAATGCCTGAGCGGCATCCTCCGACATGTGGGCAGCCGAGGGAAGCACACCCGTATCGAGGGGGTTGAGATCGCGGCGAGTGGAGCGGGAAGGGTTGGGTGGAACATTGGCGGCAGCGATTTGGATGAGATGTTCGATCGAGGTAACACCAGAAGGAATCGACAGGTGGTTCGCACAGTCGAACCCACTCGTGCACTTGGAACCGCAGCCGTCGTGGTGGTGATGATCTCCATTCGGCGGCGAAGTTGACGATCGGTTGCCGTGCGTTGCGCAGTTAGCACACTCGCACCCGTCACCACAAGTACAGGCGCCGATAACGACATCTTCTGAGGTGGGGAAAGAGACAGGCTGATCGGTGTCCATCGCCATGGATTCGACCTTGACGCCGCCGTTCATCGCCGCCTTGTCGAACGAGGCGATGCCAGGAAGACCCAGGGCGGAACGAGGAATCTCAGACGCGACCGAGCCATCCTCCTTGAACACTGCGCCCAGGAAGGTGTTCATGTCAGACAGCGGGCGGATGCGAGGCGGAGGAGGTCGGACACCACCCCTGCTAGATTGCGACGAGATGGACTCGCTGCGCTGCTTGCCGGGACGGGGAGACGAGCTTCCGTTGGAATATGGCGAGTACAGGCGTACCTTGTGGACGTGGGGTGAGGTGTGGGCAGGGTGGTGCCTGTTGTCCGGGGAAGCCAGCGAGGCCGAGGTCATGGACAGGTTGACGAGGCGATTAAACCCAGAGGTCGGCGTCGTCGACCCCGAGCTGTTGCTTCCTCCGTCCGAACGGGTTGTCGCCTTGGCCTTGAACATCTCGATAAGACTGTCCGTGACCTGATTACTGTCTCCGTTGGGCGACTTGGTACGAGCATGTTCCTGGAGGAGGTCGCGGCCGCTGCGTTTGGGCGCACAGCAGCGGCACCTGCCCGTCGTCTGGCAGTTGCAGGGGTTAAGCAAGCTCGACACTGCAAGTGGCGATCAGTTTCTGTCCCAGACAACGCCGGTCTTGCGTAAGACTTTAGGACTCACGTTTGCGTTCTGCGGCCTGGTTTGTCTCTCCGCCCAAACCAGTCAAGGCCTCGGCGGCGGCGGCCATTTCGTGCACATCGCGCAGGCCGTTCGGGTACGTAGCGTGCGAGCCAGGCTGACCCTTCCTCGTCTCAACTATTTCTGGGTTCGGAGTCGAGCCGGGTGTGTCCTTGGCAGCCTGCTGCTGTGGCGGTTGTGACTTTTGCGGGACAGGGGGCGAACCTTTCGGTGCTGTCCCAGACGGACCCGCCTGCCCCGGCATGATGGTCGTTGGGGTTTGGTTCTTCAGCTCGCCGCACGCGCACTGAAGAGCGTCAGCACACACACGCCCAACCCCATTTCTCCAATCAGTCACCCCGTACCGACTTACCTTTGTGTGCACGCTGCCGCTGCTTTGACCACCCTTACGTTTCTCGCGACAGTACTGGCATTGCGTGGCCGGTCGACCCTTCTTCTTCACCTCGAACAGGGGCCTATCCGTGTGGGTGCACCCGGAAACGCGGTGCCCCTTGATACAAGTGGCGCATGCGAACTTCTTGTCGTTGATGAGGACCATGACGGGCAGTCGACCTCGGATCGGGCGCTGGGTGAGAAGAAGCGAGGAGGACCAGAGATTTGAGGATTGTGGTAGGGCTCAGACTCGGCTGAAAGTCGGGCAAGGACTGCTTCGGAAGCGCTGCTTTTTGCGAGTAGTCAGAGGGTTGAGGGGAAGGACAGGGGGCGGGGAGTAATTATCGATAAAACCGAGAGGGGATCTCGCGATACTCGGGTGGATGTGAGCGGGTGGCGGCTTGAGAGTAGAGTGTGTGTCTTGGGCTTGATGAGTCACTGAGGAATAGGTGTAGCGGGATAGGAGGGCTCGACGGTGACCCCGAGGGGGTCGTTGCCGGCCAAGAGTTGAATGTTACTGCCTTTGCAGCAAGCAAGGCATTTGATCTGGCCAGAGGCGGGAAGGTGGTGTGTGGGTGGGCGGTGGTGGTGAGGAGGTAAGAAGGGAGGTGGATGAGAATGGGTTGCCAGAGCCGAGGGGGGAGTGCGCCCCGTGTGTGGAGGTATGGTACAGGTACCGAGTAGAATGGTAGTGGTGTGGGTGTGTGGGTGGACTAAATTCGTCTCTTTCGACCTGATCGGTGGGCTGGCGGTCTGGCGGGCCACGGGGCTGCTATGGCTTTACTTTGTACCTGTCGAGGCGTATGCTGACGCTGGGACACAAATGCATGGCTGCATGGTTCATCGTGCTCGTGCTCGGTGGGCGACCGGCTGGCTGCAAAGCCTGAGGGTTGGGTAATCAGGTCAAAATGCTCTGCACAATCCTCGCGGCTGGTGCTGATGCAGTGGCCAAGTCGCCTTTACACCTAAGAGAGCCAGCCCAAAGTATGCATCCGAATCACTTTCCTGCAGGTACACCGGTACACCCGGCAGCCCGTCGACGGCTCCCATGGACTAAAAGTCCCCCTTGCACACCGCCGTGTGACAACGCTACCGACGAAGCTCGAAGCTCCCTCTAGCTCAGCGCACCCCGTGCATTCTGGTGCGCCTGGGGACGGAGATCTGATGCGTAGGGACACGGTGATCGATCAAACACTGCTCTCCCCTCCCCTCTCTGTTCCTTCCGCTGCGCTTCGCTAGGCCTTCTGCAGCATTGGAGACTTTGACTCCTGACCTCCTGCCTGCTAATTGTTTAACCGCGGGCCGCCGTGTGCAAACTCTCACACCGAGAGCCCCAGTACGTGCAGCGTGACGGCGTAGCGTCGTCTCGGATGAGCTCATCAGCGTGGACATCCATGAGTGCATTGTGCTGGGTTCATGCCAAGGACCGCTGCCATGCTGGCTGACTGTTACATCCGGCCTTCGCCTTACTTCTTCTTGTTCGCTTTCATCTGTTCAGCCTGTTTTACATGTTTGCGTGGATTCTGCGCCGTTCTGCGTGTGTTTTGCGCCGTTCCGTATTCTCCAACCCTGTGTACCCTGTCCCAGGTGTCTGCTCTGTTGCCGTTCAAATTCCTCTCCTCTCCTGTCGTACCCAATTCAGAGGGCCAGAGGGCAGACTCGGCGCCAGGCGGCAAGCTCTTCTGCCTCAGGCATCGGCACCTCAGGACGCCGCACGCAGCGGGTATCTCACCAACGCCGCCCGCCGCCCTCGAAAGCCCATGTACCTATGTGCGCGTGGCTCGTTGTCTCGCATACAGCGCGTCCGCGTCCGGAGGTCACGGGCTCGGCGGCGCCGCAGGACGCAAGACACCGTGGGTGGCCAGACTTTCGGAGCCAAGTAGCACTGACCCGGTCGTCCCTAATCCGTGCGGTGTCCGCGGCGTTCAAGCTTTCGCCCGCCGCCAGGCCCCCGTCGCATGCGTCGCACTGCACAAGCCAAGAATCCAGGTACCACCGGTACCAGCGGCGACACGGAGACATGAGACTTGGCACACCTGACATGCTGACATGCTGACATGCTGGCACACGGCACGGGGTTTCGGGTTCGGTTTTGCCAACGAGCTAATCCGTACTGCACTAAACTTTGTCGGTGGCACTTCATGTCAACTCCCGGTTCCCGTTCCTCGACTGCGGCCTGCGGTCGATGCTGGGTTGGGGCGCTTGTACGCTTGTACCACAGGATCAGAAGCACACCCGTACGTCAGCCAAAGCTTAGCACAGGATCCTCGATCCCTCGCTTGACTGATAGATTACGCGCCGAAGGCTTAAGATTGAGCACAGCTTGCACGGCTCCGATCGCGACTACCGTGATGGCAGCCGAGGGCGTCCGGTATGCTTTCTGACTGGTGCAAAGGCAGATCCGCACGTTCCTGTATGGCACAGAAATAGCACGCTTGCTACACCTTAGCGACACAACTGTCCGAGAGCCCTACCTGCTAGCGCGCTAACGATCCAGCAAGCACGTAATCATAGTCCCTCCAATACATGCCTATTAAACGATGATACGCACGCCATGGCCATGCATGTCGAGCCGCGTGCCTAGCCATCCGACGATGCGCGCAAAGTCCCACTCGCTCAACTTCTGCTTCCACTCCTCTCCAGACCCGGCAGAGCCGGCACCGGCACGTGCCCGCTCCTTCAGGTCGCGGCACGCGACGACGCTAGCCGTACTGAGCGCGTCAAGCAGAGAGCTGCTGACCTTGATGATCTTCGGCTTGCGCACAGGCGTGAAATCCTTCGGGTCCCGGTCCTGGTACAAGTCCTGCTCTGCGTGCTTGCCAGACCACCACTCTGACGTCGAGGCGGACAGCTCCTTACCCGCGTCTCCCTCCGGTACCAGGATACCAGAGTGGAGGAGAATGTCGAGGGGTAGGGGAAGAGGGGAGACATTGGCCAGCGCCGAGGCTGGGGGAAGCTTGATCGTGTCGCTGTTCGGGAACTGGAAGGCGAGGTCTTGCACGAGCCGCAATGGCCCGGCGGGAAGGACTGAATGTCAGCTAACACCGCAGCTTGCCAGCTCACCTTGTCCGGGCGGGTCGGGGTACGGGTCCTTCAGATTCGGGATCAGTGATGTCGCCTGCACGTCAGTTACCGGAAACCGACGTTCAACTCACGTTGTCACAGAACTCCTTTGCAAACGCATACCCGGCGTCAGATTGCCCCTCAGCCTTCTGCGAAGCCACCTGCGAAAGGTTCACCACCTCGTCACCGAGACAGGGGCCAGATAAGCTCGAGCCAATGGCGCGGAAGAGCGTAGCAAGTTCTCCAACGAGGTCGATCGCGGGCTGATACTTCTCCCCTACTCGAATCCCAGGCATGGACTCGTGATCACGCTCGTGGTGCGTCTCGATACCGAAGAACTCGGCGACCTGGGCCTCCCCGAGCTCGCCCGCCACCCATGCCTGCGCCGAAAGGAGGTTCTTCTTGTCCCACCCTTGATCGGACGCAAGGAACATGCCGAGGATACCGCGGAGGGCGGTCTCGCCGACATCCTGATTCTGCTCGGCAAAGTAGACGCGGTGTTTCGGCTGCGCAAAGGTGTTTGCCACCAGATGCAGGGCGGAGAGGAAGTTGATGTGATGCAGCTCGGTCGGGAACGCGAGCGGCAGGGATGTCGGGAGGTTGGTCGGCGGCGCCTTCTCCAGCGCCGATGCAGGCAGCGCTGCCAACAGCTTCTCGATCGCGGGTTCTGAGATCTGGACGGTCGCCATGGTTGATGTGACACAGGGAAGACACGACATATGGCCAGCTGAATTGCGATCACCATCGTCGTCGTTGGAAGCTCAACGATGACGCACTTGGCCGGTGGAGGTCCGAAATATCTACTTCCGCTTTTTGCGGCCACCAAAATCCTGGGCGTGCCAAGCACCGAGTCCGAAACGAGTCGCGTGCCGCCGGTCGGGTGTCGGGTGAACGAGGGAGAAGGTCATGATATTATGAGAAGTGCATGCAATGGGTGACTTGTACAAGATTGGTTGCTAGTTGACAGACATGTTGTTGATCCAATGGGTAAAGTCCCTCACCTCCTCTCTCCTCCTTCTGACAATTCCCCGTCGTCCGCTCGTCGTGATACCCTTCGTTTTGAATGCCGCGGAAAAGAAAAAGCGGCTTTTACGACGTTCTCCTCGATCGATCTTCGGCAGTGCTGTCACACCGCTTACTCCATCTGGACGACACCGACCTCAGCGGGGCGAAGGGTGCGGTCCTTGATGAGCCATCCGAGCTTCTGGACCTCGATGATCTCTCCGGGCTGGCGGTCAGAGCCGTCCGGGCGCTTGGGGGCAACAGCGGCGGGGACCTGGAAGATAGCCTCGTGGTTGTTGGGGTCGAACTGCTCGCCGACAAGGTCGCCCATGGGCGTGATGCCGTGGAGGTTGAAGGTCTGGTTCAGAGCCTTCTGGGTGAGCTCAACACCGGTGACGAGGTCGGCGAGGGGCGTTCCCTTGTCGACGGGCTGCGGGACGTGCTTAAGAGCCTGGGAGAGAACGTCCGACGTAGAGAGAAGGGCACGAGCGAACTTGGCAATGGCAAAGTCGGCGGCCTTGGCCTTCTCCTCCTGGCCACGGCGAACGACGGTCTGGTAGTCGGCGCGGAGGTACTGCATCTCCTTCTGATCTTGTCAGCCAACACGCTAGACACAGCTGCTTACGGTGGACTCCTTGAGCTTCTCCTCGAGCTCAGCAATCTTCTTGGCCTCGTCGGACTGTCCCTCCTCAGCCTTCTTCTCGTCCTTAGCCTCAGCGGCGTCCGAGTAGCCGCGGACAGCGACGGCACGGGCGACAGCCGGGCGGGCCATGACGGCGGGGCGAGCAGCGGCCTGGCGGAAAGAGCCGACAATCGAGCGGGAGAACATGGTGAGGGTGAGGATCGTAGTAGACAAAGAAGTCAACGGTGGTGTGTGGAAGGAAAAAAGAGGCCAAGAGCCGAACATCCTGGCCGATCCGACGCCGACGAAGTTATACCGGTGCACCAAATTAAGTCCGGCGCATTTAGCCGATTACGTCCTACTTTGATTTCTGGCCAGCGCCACGTGGGGTTTCTAATCGCATCTGATTAGGAGATAATCGGCACCCAAACCGGCAATGCTCGGTCACTTCGATCACCGTCGCCACGATTCCAGCTTGGACTCACCAGACGCGACGTCACCTTGCAACATACGCATCACCGCCATGAGCACCGACGACATCAAGGAGGTCACCAAGTCGCTGGGTGACGTCGTTCTGGACGCCTCAGAGCACCAGAGTGAGTACGCTTAGTGCTGTTCGTCGCTCGTGACGCTAACTGTCCATCAGACCAGGACCCCGTTAAGCTTTCCGCGGTCCTCGAGGGCTTTACGCAAGCCGCTCTCAAGTCCCCCGACCCCTTGGTCCGTGAGGCTTACATTGAGTCCGTTGTCGAAGTCCTCAAGCCTCGCGGAGATGAGCTCGACTCTGGCAGGGTGAGTTACAGCCTTAGCGCATGGCTGATTTACAGACGGCTGTCCTTAAGGACGCAGCCTTGATGTGCGTCCCGCCGCTGCTGCCGCACATCAACCGTTTGCCCGGCCCAACAAAGGAGTTCCTCAACCTGATCGCTCAGTACTCTGATCCTCGCGAGGTCACTATCGTGCTGAACGAGGAAATTGGTCGCCTCACGGAGCAGTCGGACCCGTTCGTTGTCAGTGATGGAGAGGGCGACGAGGAGTCAGCTGAACTGGACTGGACAAAGGCATTCCCCGAGTTGGAGCAGATCCTCGACATGTATACCACCGGTGAGTCCACGTCACACGTGCTAGGCTGACAGAAGCTATCCCGAGGCTCAAGAACCAGCGCAGCACCCCTACGCTCCTTGCCCTCCAGGACACTCTTGTGCCCCTCTTCAAGGCCATTCCCAACACTGCGCCCCAGGAGATGGCCATGGACATGTCACGCTCTCTGCTGAAACAAGTCTCCAAGCTGGTCGATGCTGCGTGGAAATGGTCTCAGACCACGTCTGACTACAACGGAGAGCCGAAGGTGATTTCCTACCTAAGGCGCCCCAAGCTGATGATTAGGCCATGTTGATCGAGCTCATTCAGACCGCCATCATGATCTTCGGAGCCAGCGTTGGAGCTGATCTGACCGCTCGCTGGTACCTGACTATGAACCCGCGCTATGCTGGGCTTCACCAGGATGAAGCTGCTAACGGTCTGGAAGGCCAGAAGGCGCTGGACGCTGCTACTGTGAGTCCACTGTTCGCGACTGAGCTGACATCAGGCCACCTGTCTCAGCCTTGGTGTCGACGACGTTGATCTCTGCGAGCGCGTCACCAATGCTTCGAGTGTGAAGCCCTACTCTTCCCTCGCATCCCTCATCATTCTTGCTGCCAACCTTCCGCCATTACACGGCAAGGTGGAGGACTTTGCTCCGAACAAAGACTTCTTCGAGGACGCGATGCCGGTGCTCAACAACGCCATCAATGGAAGTGCCGTCGACGCCGGAACTGCAGTGACCTGGGCCCTCGTCGATTCGGCGCAGAAGGGGCTGGTCACGCTCGAGAATGACCAGTCGTTCTTCCTCCTCGAGGTATGCTGCTACTGAGTTCGAAGACTGACGTTTAGCTCATCATGCCGCACGTCCAGACGAACTCGTCTCCGTCAACTCGTCTCGCCCTGATGAAGCTCTTGGGTGGAGTCATTGCTGCGACGCCGGGCACCGACAATCAGATTGAATTGTGGAAGCAGCTGCTCGAATCCTTCAACCCCTTTGAGGCTGTCCGCGTCCAATCAGTCAGCCTGCTCCGAGAGCAGCTCGCATCCCCGCCCCAGCCCTCGCCCCTGTTTTGCGCCGAATTCAGGCAACAACTCGGACCCATCCTCTTCGAGATTTCGACTATTCCTGAGAACCCTCTTGCACTGTCTTTCCAAGACTTCGTGTCATCCATGTATGCTGCATGGTTCACGGAGTGCTGCAACCTGCTGTACTTCATCGTCGAACGCGACACGGCCAACACATCGGGAATCCGCGACAAGGCTTATCTGTCCGAGGTGAAGGCTAAGTTCTTGGCGCCGATCTCTAGCCGTATGACCGAGTTCAAGGCCGATATCACACCCGAGCTTCGCGAGCAGGAACCCGAGGTTGAGCTGGTGATTGACCGCGTGGCCGCTGCTGCTGAACGTGCGTCGGAGGGTATTGACAAGGTGATTGCTTGATAGATTTGTGATAACGACCGTGTAGTATACCCTAATGCATCGACTATCTCTTCTATGCCGGAACTCCGTGTCGGGGGAGATAGGGGATGACGCCGCGCACGCTGTGCATGTTCAAGGAACGGTGCCACAAGGGTGGGGCGCCACACAGATCACCTGCCTGCACGATGGGCGCGTGACTTCGACAAAACCTTCGCCTTCAGCCTCCAGATTGCACCTGAATCTCGTACTTCCACTAGATAAGCCTCCAGCACAGCAACCAGACGGTCCGGTCCTTCCTTCGCACCTCAGCACCCACGCACATCGTCTTCTCGACCTCTCCTTTCGTCTTGATCGAGTGCTCTTTGCAACGCATACCCATCACCTAGCTCATATTCCCACAACACACCTCCACCAACCCTTCCCGCAAATTTCCACGATGCTGAACGCCTCTGCCCTCGCTACCGCTGGTTCGCCCTCGAACTCGGCTCACCCCGAGAACCTCATCGTCCTCCCCCCTACCGCTCAGCTCCAGGCGCTGCTGACGCTGATCCGTGACGAGAAGACCGGCCGGTATGTTATGCAAATCAATGAACGTTCTTGACTAACAAACAAGTGGCGACTTCGTCTTGTGAGCACTGCCTTGGCGCCGCTCCTGCGTGGACCGCGAGCTGGATACGCCCCATGCGCTCTGCCCAGCATGCGGAGTTGCGCTCTTGATCGATAACTGACGCGTCAGCTACTCCGACCGCATCATCCGTCTGCTTGTTGAGGAGGGTGAGTGTTCGGACTTGGCCGGAATGCTAGCTTCGCTGGATCCTTCCGTCACGTCATAGTGTGCTCGCAATCAACGTTCGCCAAAGGATGCTTGATTACGTCGACGATATGCTTCCAAGCACAGAGAACGCAGAGAAGTCGTTCGACTTGATGCTTCTGCGGGCTGACGACTCCCTTCTCTCTTCGGACCCCAAAATCTGGTGGAACACGACTGACACACAGGCCTCAACCACCTGCCCGTCGTGCCTAAGACTGTGCGCACCCCGACTGGTGTCGACTTCGATGGCGTCTCGTTCCAGGGACGGATCTGTGGTGTCTCGATTATGCGTGGTGAGTAAGAACTGCAGCTAGACCAGCGACTTGGGATGGAGCTGACAGGCAGCCGGCGAGGTGAGCACGAATCTGGGCGCCTGCGGTTCCTGAGAACTGCCGGCGGCATGTCTCTGGGACAATCACTAACGACTAAACAGGCCATGGAGGCTGGTCTCCGCGACTGCTGCCGCTCTGGTGAGTCCTCAATCTTGCATACATGACGTGTCGCTGACTTGCAGTCCGCATTGGCAAGGTGTGTCTGGACACTGTGCGGTTTGAATGGATACTGACCTCTCGGGTACCCCCCGTTACAGATTCTGATCCAGCGTGTGAGCAACGATATATAAGGTCCGGGACGGTCGAGCGACGACTGTTCCCCGGTCTTCTGACCCCACCCTCCCGACATGCACTAACATAAAGGACGAGGAGACCACGCTCCCGAAGCTCTTCGTGAGTTGAGGTTTTGATTGATTGTCGAGACTGACCGCAGTACGCCAAGCTCCCCGAGGACATCTCTGAGCGTTATGTTCTTCTTCTCGACCCCATGCTCGGTGAGTCGTGAGACATGGTCGTGGCTGACAATCAGCCACTGGTGGCTCGTGCATCAAGGCTATCGAGGTCCTTCTCGAGCAGGGCTGCAAGGAGGAGAAGATTCTGTTCATCAACCTGGTGAGTACACTTAGCTGAGATCTGGTGTCGTAACTAACTTCAGATCGCCTCCCCCAAGGGTGTTGAGGTCGTCTGCAAGAAGTTCCCCAAGATGCGTGTGGTGAGTACCGATGTCTGTGCACCTGGGCAGATGTCTACAGGTGTCTCGATCGAGTGTGGCGCTGACACGCTTCTTTCTGTTCCGCCGGCACCCGCTACCTCCGTCGCTGTTTCTGCCGACTGCGTACCCCTGAACAGATCACCGCATGGGTCGACGAGGGTCTCGACGAGCACTCGTACATCACCCCCGGTCTTGGTGACTTCGGTGACCGGTGAGTTACCCCGGTGCCTCTGTGATAACTGACAATACAGCTACTTCCTTTAAGCGAGCTAGCCGTCCACCACATCCACATTTCCACGTTGACCACTCTTCATCGCAATAGACGTTTTCTCCTCTTCTCCTCTTTGGCATTGATAGCATTACTTTCACCTTCACCATGCGAATGATGATGCGCTGAACCAACCAGACCACAGCTGCCTGCCATGCTCGCTTCATTACGCTCACCCTCGCAGGCTCACGTCGATCACTCTCACGCATTCAAGCAAGGAGCGCCACCCGCGGCAATATAACGTCTAACCCCGTGGATTGACGACTATGATAAAATTTGGTTCCGTCAGGTTGTAATTGCACGCCTGGGTGGGCCCTGGTCCTGATGCGGGCGCAAGTCTGTGTCAAGGGGGGAGGTCTGGGGGCTGATGCAGTCGCTGACCGACCGAGGGCGAGGCGAGGCGCAGGGCTAGGGCTGCGTAAGGCTCTGGGCTGCAGACCTGCCTGGCCTGCCTAACCACACACAGCGGCTCCTTTTTCAAGCGAGGGGGCTAGGCAGCCCTGCCTTACTACTTGTCACTTCCAAGTCGTCTTTCTCTCTTCTCCACCCACACCTCCTTTACCCCCTTTTCCACCCCCAACTTTCCACCAGGTGAGCTTACCAGCGTCCCCAGCGCACCCGACGGCGAGACTCGACCAAGCGACGACCCCGACCATCGATGGCGGCCTGGTTGGCCTGGAACGAAAAAATGACCAGACGCACGCGACGGCTTCGTCAATTTATCAGTCATCCATTCGCCCGGTCTCAATCTCGCCACCATCTGCGCTGAACTTTGCGAACAACAAGCTGACCAGCACTAGATCCATCAAAATGTACGGCGGCGGCGCTCCTCGTTCCGGAAACTGCTTCAACTGTGGCCAGCGTGCGTGTCAAGAAGGTCGAGGGAGGTAGTTGAGTACGGTTTGTGTGTCTGTTGTGGCTTGCGGGTTGCGGTGTCAGTTCAGGCATGAGTTGGGGACGTGGATCCGTCCCCTCGCACTCGATGCGACGGCTCGTCAGACAGTGGAGGGCATTGCACCGCCCGTCACTACTCTGATAGAGTTTGTGAGTGGATCTCCAGATCTTCTCGCAACAAGGGGATGAGTGGGTCAAAGGCAGGGCGTTGAGTCGGGCACCATGTGATGATGATTCATCACATGACCTACTCCCCTTCTTGCAAGACGTCACAACGTCTTTGGTCCCTCGTTTCACTCTCTTGGTGTCGGTGTTCTCTGTGTACGGGGGTCGGGTGTGCGAGCGAACGCGATGCGTTGGAGCGAGCTGTTGGCCTCTCGTACATAGATGTTCCCCCTCGTCTCTGCCGCTGGCCGAACGAGGGCGGTTCATGCATTTACCACTTTTGCTACTACCTCTTTATCATCGGCCAAGGATCCATCCTTCCCTTGGACTTGGACCGGAACACACCTCGGAACACTGTCTACATTGCACTTTGCACCCTGTTTACTCGGACTTTGGACAAGACCTGCAAAAACCTACCGCACAGCACATCACCGCAAAAACCATGACTCAGCTATCTTATCCTTCGACCCTGTTCAACTCCTCCCTTTCGTGATTACTAACCCTCGTAGCCGGCCACATCGCTCAGGTCTGCCCTGACGCCGGTGTCCCCACCTGCTACTCGTGTGGCCAGGCTGGTCACCTCTCTCGCGAGTGCCCCCAGCCCAAGCCTAAGGCCTGCTACACCTGCGGCCAGGAGGGCCACCTCTCGTCTGCCTGCCCCCAGGGCCCCGCTGCCGGCGGCTTCGGCGGCTCCGGCGGCGAGTGCTACCGCTGCGGCAAGCCCGGCCACATTGTGAGTATACGTGCTTGGTAGCTGTACCTTCGCCTTTCAGCTCCAGCTTCAATCTCCGTGATGTCAGAGCTAACAGTACAGGCCCGTCTCTGCCCCGAGTCCGGTGACGGCCAGGGCTACCAGGGCGGCGGCTTCGGTGGCGGCTTCGGCGGCGGCGGCTTCGGCAACAAGTCGTGCTACACCTGCGGCGGTGTCGGCCACATCTCGCGTGACTGCCCCTCGAACGGCGGCGGCCGCTCCGGCTTCGGCGGTGGTGGCTTCGGCGGCTCGCGCAAGTGCTACAACTGCGGACAGGACGGCCACATCTCGCGCGACTGCCCCCAGGAGCAGGGCCGCACCTGCTACCAGTGTGGCCAGGTCGGCCACATCTCGGCCAACTGCCCCGGCACCGGCGCTGCTGCTCCCCAGGCCTAAGCGTGTCGCTCTAGCGACCGCCTAAACCTGCCTCCCACTCCCCTACCCCTCCCCATCCCACATTACATTTCCCACTGTTCCCAACCTTATCCCTCCGGATCTCGTCTCGATCTCAAACCAAAATCTGAACTTCTTCCCTTTCTCCTTCAACCTCCCAATCTACTCGTTCAAAAAGTTCACGAAATCTCTGTTTAACACATTTGTATTCAAACCAAACACAAACTTGAGTTTAGTGGTAGGATAGCAAAGGCGCGATGAAGCAGTGAACGAGATGCGGTGTCGTCTTCCGAGTATTGAGCCGCGAGGCTCGGTACTCTGGGGCGGCAAGTTGAGTTGATGAGACGATGGCTGATAACGACGGTGTATTGACGAAGTGCGACGAGAGATGACGCCAGGTGTATCAAGGACCGAGCTGAAAGTGTATCCAACTCTTGCGAGATGAATCTAGAGTCTAGAGTCTACACAATGCATGTTGTACCAGTACTGCGAACTCGTCTTCCGCCTTCACAAACGACCCCGAGAAAGCGAGCTCGCTTCGCTCGCTGCTGGCGAGGTCTAGTCCGTGTCCATCTTATCATCGTCCTTCTTGTCCTCCTTATCCTCCTTCGTGTGGCCCTTGCGCAGCGCATCGACGAATCCCTTGACGCCGCTCTTCTCGCTCTGGATCCAGGGCATGATGCTCTGAGGCGTCATGCCGTTACGCAGCGCCATCTCGAGGCTCTGGACCGCGTCGCGGAACTGCGGTGTGCCCACGACCTGCATCAGGCCGTGCTTCGTCTTCGGGTCCGCGCCGTCGGGCAGCTTCAGGTCGGGCGGCAGGTGCTGCGCGAGCCTGGGCGCGAGGGTTGCGTCAGAGTCAAGCAGCTTGCCCACCGTCGCGGGGGAGAGGATGTCGACGAGCGAGGCGTCCTCGGACAGAGGCAGGTGCGCGTCGGCCCAGTTCGCAAGCAGGGCCGCCATCGACTCGTTCTTGTCGCCCGACTTGGCGTCCTTCGAGCTCGAGGCCGCGGCGGAGGAAGAACCAGCGGCAGCGGAGGAGCCCTCGGCAGCGGAGGACTTCTCGGCAGCGGGGGCGGCCTTCTCACCACCACCGGGCTTGGGGAAGATGCCCTCGGGGACAGGAGCAGAGCCGGGGCGGTAATTGCCGTCCTTGAGCAGCTCCGAGATGTCGGTCACGGCGCGCGCGTCAGGGGCGCCGAGGGTACCGCGCTGGAGCCAGAACTGCGAGTCAGCTCCTGTCTAGCGATCTACGCAGCTGATGCCTGCTCGAGCCATGCCCGCCCAGCACTCACGAAATGGGTCTGCTTGCTCTCAACAAAACGGAGAACCCACGAGCGTCCACTCGGGTCCTGCTTCACACGCTCAAACACGGCCTCTCCGGGGAAGATGAGGAGCTCGTCCTCGGCGCGGTCCGTCTCCTTGTTGCGCCAGACGAGCGAGACCATGCCCGAGTCGGGGATCACCTCGATGATGCCCTTCTCCGGGGACGCGTCCACAAACTTGGTGTTCGGGCGGCGGTAGCTGCGCCCAGCGGGGATGCGGACAGTCGACATTGTTGTTTGCAGTCGCTTGTTGATACTGGTGGTCGATGACGATGCTGGACACTGCAGTCGCGGTTGATGGAAGCACAGGCGGAGGCCAGACGCTGACGACAGGGCGGAGGCTTCTGTCACGTGATCTCCACCACGCGAGTGACTTCAGCGAGACGTATGACGTCCTCGAGGTTGACGTCGTAACGTTACTCTTGCACTGATATGCTTCACATCACAGGGTGCAAAACCCTCTCTGACTGCTTGGTAAGTTCAGCGGGACGGAGGTGACCTGAAGAACTCATGTTACGTACCAGCAGGGAGCAAACTGACACAATACTGACAGTGCAACCTCTGGATACTGAAAACAAACTGCATCGCATCAAGCGGTATGGGTTTGTAGCTATAACACTAAAGACAGGATGGAAAGCATAGCTTCCCGGAGAAGAGAGGTGCGCGAGAGCAGACTCGCTTAGGCCTTGCCGACGTTCTCGGCGTAGCTAGGGTCGGCGCCCGAGTTGACAGTGACGACGTTTCCGTACGGGTCAAAGTGGCAGACGATGTAGAGCGACTCGTCGCCGGTGAGCTTTCCAGCCGCACAGCGGTTGTAAGCGCAGCCGACCTTGGCCGAGTTCTTCCACACGATCTGGGTCCAGTGGCCAACGGCGGCGTCCTTGGGCGCAGTCGAGATGGGGTTGGGTCCGGGCTCGGCCCAATTGTACCACTGCACCTCGTCGGTCCACATCTTGAACATGTCCGCGCCGGTGTAGTAGCCGAAGGTGCCCATGGCCAGGTTCTCGCCGGGGCCGGAGTGCTGCCAGACACACTGCGAGGCCCACTCGGCCGCGCTCGCCGCAAGGCCGTCGTCCCACTCAAGAGCAGAGGCGCCGTACTTGGCACGCTCGTCGTTGTGCAGCTGGAGAAGCTCGCGGGCGGGCTCAGTGACGGGCTCGCCAACCTTCATGTCGTTCATGGAGAAGTTGGACTCGGTGGGCTGAGGGTCGGCGGGAGCAGGCTCGGTGGGAGCAGCCTCAGTGGGGGAGGGCTCGGCAGAGGACTCGACGGGAGTGGCCTCGGAAGAGGAGGCCTCAGCGGGAGCGGACTCGGCGAGAGCAGACGAGGCAGGAGCGGACGAGGCAGGGGCGGACGAGGTGAAGGACTGCGAAACAGCCGGCTCGGTCTCGGAGGGGGTCTCCGAGGCGGCGGAGCTCTCGGCAGCCTCAGAAGAGGAAGGAACCTCAGTCACGGCAGGCTCAGTGACAGCAGGCTCAGTGACAGCAGGCTCGGTGGCGGAAGGAGAGACGGCGCTCTCAGAGGGAGCCTGCGACACCTGGGGCTGCTCGGACTGGGTGGGCTTGGGCTGCTTGGGCTTGCACTTCCTGCCGTGGCCCTTGCCGTTTCCGTGGCCGTTGTGGTTTCCGTTCTGGAGACCATTGGCGTAGGCGTTGCCGTTGCCGTTGTCGGACGGGAAGTCGTCGCCGGGCATGGCCGACACGAGGCCCGCGAGGAGGGTAAAGATGAGAGCAGCGCGCATTGTGATGGTGTTGTCGTGAAGGTTAAACGAGTGTGGGTCTGGTAGAGTTAGGAGTAGGAGATGCGTAGAGTCGTCGTTAAGGAGAGGAGGGTATGGGAGCTGCTACCAGAGTCAGCGTTGAATGAAAGGCGGGACAGGAGAAGAAGAGGTGGAAGAGGAGATGCAGAGTGGAAGAAGAGTCAGACGTGCACACACGTCTCCAGCTTATAACAGGAGATGCCCCGCAAAGCACGAGCCAGCAATACTGCAGGGTTGCCAGAGCCGTGACACCTGACCGCAGCCGCCGGTGCCGGGGCTGTCGGACACCGAACGGTCGATAATCAGTGGTGTGAGGACATGAAGGTCTGTCTGATGAGATGGATCCATCCAGGGTGTGCATCCGGTGGCGCCGTGGCGTTCGATATGCCTGCCTGTATTGGGTGTGTCGGAACCCACAGATCTTCACTTCAGTACCCTCGGCTTTCAGCGGGCACGCGTCGCCTAGCGCGCTTGCTTGTGAATTCCCCTCTTTGTTTGCATCGTTTCACGCTCATCCGGTGACCCAAGATTGCAGGCCGTACGCGCACGGGCAACTCCATACGCACGACAAACATCCAGAGCAGATGATCCTGGGTCTTGGCCAGAACACTCGGACGCCTGCGTGACGGGCCCCCGCGTACTGTCTTGGTACATTCTGCGGGGTGCGAGCCAGTGCCGCCGCAGTCTTGTCCGTCCCAAGAGCTTGCAGTATCATGACTCACCCACAGTGTCCGCAAGCTGGTCGCTCATGTTACCCAGTAAGCATAACGGCACCCTCCCTCTGAAACGAGGGGGGACATGTAGGCGAGGCTCGCCCCAGATCCTTAGGGCGAGAACTACTGACGTAACTCGTGGGATTTGCAGATACACCACGCCGAATAAGGACTGAAAGGACAATACCTGGCGACGACCCAGCCGATGTTGAATCGCAGGTTTGGTCCGTTGACGCCAGGGTCCGGTGTCCAGGGTGCCTCCTGCATGTGGATATAGGGAGATCAGCCTCAAACTGCCGGGCAAGACGGCGCTCATGCCCGCAGCCGGCGTGCTCGGGCGTTTTCCATGCCGAATGTGGGAATGGGATGCGAAATTGCTAACTACCCTCAGGTGGTCGCTCACCCCACGGACTTCGGGCGACTTGGCGAAGCACCGTTGCTCAGTCGGCTGGGTACGGCGCGCCTTGGCTCGCCGTGCCACTGCGCTCACTGCTAACCGCCATTGAACGGCTTCGTGTGCACTTACGAGACTCGGAAGTTGCCCCTTCAGCCGACTCAGAATAAAGCGATACATCTGTTGTACATCTATAAGGTAGGGAAGGTATATGAGTGGGTATGGTGCCCCTCCTATGCCTCGTCCGTTCTGCGTCCCCAGTGCGACCAGTCCGAGTGACCTCCGTCGCTCGGGCTCCACATCTGGCTGAGTGGGTTCGACACGCGGTCGCCCGGCGCGTTGGGCATCGAATATGGATGCTCCAGGAATGAGAACGTGTTGGGGAAGGAACGGGCGATGTCGTTATCGGAGTCGTTACGGTGTTGCTGCTTCAGATTATTCATGGTTTTCTGAATGTGCGCCGTCGTCGTCGAGGCCGTCTCGCCGGAACTCTCGCTGTCCTCGCGAGCGTGCCCCGCCCCCGCCTCCGAGGAGGCGGGCTCAGGAGCGCCACTACCAGTCTGCGCCCGTGCGTGATCGGGTGACCGTGGTTTGGGACGTAACGGTGCGGTAGGGCCAGCAAGCAGGCGCGGGGCCGAGCTCTCCGGTACCGGCGAGCTGGGAGTGTAGGACTCATCGCTGAGAGGTTTGCAGGCGGAAGCTGACGGGGTCTGCGGGACCCAGGCAGGGTTCTCTGGTCGGCTGCTCCTCTCCATGTGGCTATAGCCACCGCCCGTCGAGTCAATGCCGCCGTAGGCCGAGTTAATGTCGAGCATGTCGACAGTATCTCCTGTGTTATCGGGCGACACGGGGAGGACGGGTGGCTCTCGGTCTCCAGCAGTGGCCATTGACGAGACCGCCGACATAGCTACCGATCGCACACCCGCTCGCACCTCCATGATCGAGGGCGGCATGCGGTCTTGGAACGAGCCAGCAGTAGCCGCGATAGAGTGGGCAGTCGCCGCAATCGAGTGGCCCGTGACTGTCGGTTGAAGCATCGACCCGCCCATGAAGGATCTATTGCCTGAGTGAATCGACGCCGGCGGCCAGTGTGACGTTCCCGTATGAGTACTGAGGTCTCTGCTGAACCGCCGATCGGACGTCGCTATCGTGTCACTGTCCCAGGGGCTGTCGGCCCGCGGCGTTGTAGGAGGAAGGTCGGGGAGCGGTGGACGAAGTGGTCGGAAGGTGTGGCTAGGGAGCGGCGGCGTGTTACCGGCATAGTAGTGCGAGCCCTTCTCGTTCAGTTCATACTGTGCCGATGCGGGATCGTTCCAATACGCTTCCCGTGGTGACTTCGGTACCCGGAAACTGCGCCCACCGGCCCCGAGATTACCAAAGCTCTCCACAGAGTGGTTGCTGTGGACTCTCCAGAACTCTCCGTGTCCATGACCCTGCCTGTGGCCGCTAGATCGCCTTCTCCGCCGAAGGACGTAGAAGATGGCTCCGAGAATCGACAGACCGGCGATCAAACCGACAACGAGGCCGGCGATCGCTCCTGCGCTGAGACCAGTCGGAAGATCGCCCCAGTCCGCAGCAGTCATGCAGGAGGTGCCACCGTCGACGACTTCGAAGATGTGGCTGTTGCTCATGATTCCCGTCTGCGTATCATACGCAGCCAGCCGATAGTTGCCAGTCGGTACGTTGACAGTCCAGTTGTACGTGTCGCCGGTGAAGTCTTCGATCACAGTCTTATTGATGTTCGGAAGCTGAGGTGCCCGCGGCTCGAGACGCTTCCAGTGGATACCGCCGTTGTGATCAATGCCGTATGTCTTTCCGCCGATCTCGACACCGAGACCGCCGCTGTGCTCAATACCATCAGTGCCAAAGCTGAGACCGCCGTAGCCACCAATTCCGAAGGGGTTTCCATGAGACGTCGTCGGCGGCGGCGGCGGAGGTTTAGGTGTTGTGTTTTGATTGTTGCTGCCGTTGTTGGTCGGTTTGGGAGGAGGACCCTGGGTGGTGGTCTGAGGTTTAGGCTGTTCGGTCGTTTGAGCCGGTTTCGGCATGGGTAGCCGATGAACGGCAGGGGTCGGTGAGGAACTGCTGGTCGAGGATGGTTCCCATGTTGAGGACGGAGCTTCCGAAGAGGACGAGGGCTCTGGAGAGGCTGAGCTGGAAGGCTCGATCCAATCGTCTTCGGAAGACGATGACGGTTCTTCGGAAGAAGAGGAAGATGATGACGATGAAGATGAAGATGAGGACGATAACGGCAATGTTGAGGTGGAGGAGGTGGAGGAGTATTTTGTCTTCAATGTTGTTTTCAATGGCAGCTCTGTTGCGAGTGAGGAGTGTGGCGTGCTGATCGACGCCGTAAGCGCTGGTCCTACCGCTCCCTTGTCCTGGGGAACGCCGATGTTATACACCCGAATGCTCCAGCGATGCTGCATTACAGCGCCTGTTGTGTCATCGCTGCGTTTGCTTTTCATCGACTCTGGCAGGTTGAGTCCAATCGTGCCTTGGGAGCATTGGGTGTAAGTGGCCTCGGCGACCCATTGAACGGTGGGAGATGGAGACGCCGCCCTTGCGACGGCTGGTAATAGCAAAGCGCACGCCGCTAGGCGACGCGGGCGCCATTCCATGGTCTCACCGTCCTCCCACGAGGTCTGAAGAAAGTATGGTGTCGAGCTCGTCGTGGGGTAGGGGAGGGAAGAGGGTGTGGCGCGAGACTGAAAGGACCGCCAGTGTGCCTTTCTCGTCGGACAGTTATCGAAGTTGAGTCGTTGTCCTGTCAGAAGAGTTACGGTGGAGGAGTATAACGGGGGTTTGTGATTATATCGAGGAGTCGAGGGGCCGAGAAAAAGGAGTGTGGTCGACAGGACCGAGGTTGTCGCTGTCGAAGGAAAGGAGTGTGGGTCGCTCAAACGATTGTCGTACGTAGGTACAGTCAAAGATGGAGAAGAGGGGAATGAGGAAACATGCTTGTTTGCCTGTGCTGTCAGAAGAACATGTTACATGAGCGTTCCGTGTGCTGCAGCTTCAGAGTCTGCGGAGCGTGTTCGGCAGGCGTACCGGGAGCTGGGAGCTGTACTAACTGGAACACTGGCGATGTTCTCGCGCTGCTTGTCCGGCGTCCGGATCCTGAGTCCTGGCCCCTGCGGCGGCGGGGAACCCTTTGGGCCTATAGCCCGATAGCCCTAGATAAACCAGGCGCTGGTCAGCCTCGGAGAGCGCGGCAGGTGGTAGAGGGTGCACACGACTGGGAGGATGGCAGTAACGAGAGAGCATCGCGCTAGCAGAGCGCGCAAGGGTCAGGACATCAGAATGGTGAGTACACGGTCGCGTCGGAAGGTCTCGAGGCAGGGACAAGAATACCGGACTAAAAATGTAGAATGAGAAGGCAGAGGAAGCAGGAGAAGAAAGGGTACCAAGGGTCGCGGTACGCGGTTCGTCATCCTACCACTGATTGACTCCGCGGGCACGGCACCTGGCGTCCCTGCCTTCCCTTTGCTGTCCCTGCCACCAAGACCCACCCGCGGGACGAAAGTAATTGCCATCCCCCTCCAGTTTCGTTTCTCGAATGCCTTGACGAACTTGCCTCTGCTCGCGAGCTCAGCCAGTAGCGGAAGGAGCTACTGACCACGCGCATCGGCGCGAAGACCTTCGCCCCGAGTCTCAGCCACGCAATAGCTTCAAGCTCGAGAGCATCCACTCACATCAGCGCCCATCAAGGTTTACCCAGGACCGCCAGGTTTGGTCTGACTCTCAGACTACCCTGCCGGCGCGCGTCGTACTCTGATCCATGCTTCATCTTGTCGGTGTCGTGGCGTCGCAGATCCTCGCACTTCCTACCCCTTGTCATCTGGGCAGACGATAGGTTGGCCAGGCCGGCCTGCCCCCCTTTTAGAGGTTGTCGCCCGTGGATTTTGCAGGATACTAAAGACAGCATATGCCCGAGAATACGGTCCTGGAACGGCCTTCGTCTAACGAGGACTGTAGCCCATAATATCAGCAGGCAGGGCAGAGGTTCCTTGGTGCCATTGGTGCTCAAGAAGCCCTCTGCTATTCCTTGACCTGGAGTGTCGCTATTACTGTCTGCCCCACTAAGCCCTGTCGCCGCCGCGCTCGCCGCACAATGCTCGTATCTCCATGCCGAACAATTGCCTTTGCCCCCAGAACGCCCAGGACCCCGAGGAATCCGTCATATCCGGCCGGGGTCTCTAACCCTTCCTGTGTGTCGAACTCTATGCTGCCGGACGCAATGTATGAGGGCAATACGGCCCGGGCCGGATCGACCGGGGCCACCGGAAGCTGTGACTGATTCAGAACGGCACACGCTACAGTGTACTAAAGGCGCCACCCCGGCCCCAATCTGCAGACGATGAACCACGCAACAGTCATGTGGCCTGTCCAACCTTGGGTCCACCTCGTAATGTGGAGATGTGGAGCTGATGATGAGCGGCCCGATCCTTCCGGCGCAGATATTGTGTAGGTGGCGCTCTGCGGGGCTTGCGGAGATTGCACGGATCAGCGCACAGATACCAGTAGTGGGTAGCGATATCGAGGCGTGTTCAACGGGCGTACGGCATCGCGAACCGTCCGACGCCCTCCGGTTCATTGAACGCCATCTCAACGCCACACCATTAAGAGCTGCTATTCAGCAATTGAACTAAGAGCTTCATTTCGTCCTGTTCCAGCGAGCGCATACGCGGAGCGACTAACCCACCCCATCACCTCTTGTCCCTTCGCTGTGCCTGTCTAGGTGGCTTGCGACCACAAACTTGCACCGCCGACAAAAATGTCGATACGCGCGACGATAGGACCTGGCAGCTAGTGCTAGCTTTATCGAGGTCGCACACGAATGCTTAGAGTGAAATGCGCAAGCGCGCAATGCGAACGCGCCACTCGCTTCGCCGCGCCTGGCCGCTTTCACACGATGAAAGGCGATAACGTACAGCGCCTTCGACCGTGCCATCCTCAATGGTCCCGAATGAGAATGGAGTGCACACAATCCTCGGAAGAAGCGAATGCAATGCACACCGCAGTCCGTCCAGTATGCAGAACTGAACAACGTCGCGTCGCGTCCGACTGAGCGCAGGATTGGGTTTCAGGGAAGGCAAGCCGCCCGGCCCGTCAGGCACCGTTGAAGCGTTGTAAGACCGATGGCATGAAGGGAGTACGTACTCCCATCGATCAGGTCCGAGAACAGCTGCCGGACGCGCCGGCACTATCCTGTGGTACCACGCGCTCGACGCGCGAGTCCATCGAGGCTGGTGGATAATGCGCGCCCACGGAGCAATGTTAACGGCATGCAGGCCACATCCGAGCTACCGAGCTTGGACCTGCTTCCGAGACGACCAAAAGAGGCATGTTATCTCGAACTTATTTCGAGGGTGCTCACGAAAGTCACAATCATGTTGAGCTTGACACCGGATGCGAACGTCTCTGCACGACCTCGCTTGATCCACGACGTGTACACGATGGAACGTCTGCGGGATTCCCAGAAACGTAGGAAATAGGGATAGCACACCCACAGGCAATCGGCAACAGGGCGAAACACGGGACACAACGCTCGTCCCTACATTACATTCTAGATACAGGATGCTGCTTCCCTCGCTGCTGGCTCCGCACCTCCGCACGCCACCGCACCGCCGCCTCTCTGCTGACTTCGACCCATCCCAACACCATCCCTATCTCTCTAGGCTTCCCTCTGCATTACATGAGGTACCGTGCCTAAATCCGCGGTCCCCGATTCCTTGGCTTCGGCTTCGGCGTCTTCTCCTCTGCCTGAACAGGCTGGATCGGTTTCGGCGGGATGTTGACCGAGCTATGCCTTTGGCTGGTCTGAAAGACACTACGAATCTCCTCGACAAGCCTCGCTGTCTAATCCGTGTCGTTGCGGAGTTCCTCGCGTGACCCATTCTTCTCGAGGAAGCTCGGCGCTGGGCTGGGGCTTCTAGGAACTCCCGCAGGAGGAGCCTCGAGCATACGCCGGACTTGCGCCTCAATATGGGTCGCGCGCTTCGGACTGGGTGCATCGAAGAGTTTCAGAAGGTCGGCCCTTAGGTCGGCTGTCGGTGTGTCACACAAGGCTAGGATTTCACGCTCTAGTGGCGTTGGGTCGCGTGCCGGGATCACAGGCAGGTCTTTCTCGATGTCGGCGGCCAGATACTTGGATGCTGCCTCGCGTGCCGCCGAGTCCCGCGATGAGGCACGACTGTGCGCCTTCTCGGCGTGAATTGGGACTGGCGTCGGGAGCGGCTCCGCCTCCATATGCTTGGCAAGTGCGTCCGTCGACTTGGACACATCGCGGCCCACCATCGTGGCTGCCGAGGGGCGTGTGTCGTTGTTTCCCAGCGTGTCGTAGAAGTCCGCATCATTTGGCAGCGCCTCGAAGCTTGCACTTCTAGATGTGCACACAGAGGCATTGTCGGCCGGTTGCCGGCGGTAGTACCACCGTACGAGGAGTGAGACTGCGATAATGGCGGCCGCAACGACCCCCACGACGATGCCCGCCGTCGCTCCAGCAGACAGGCCGTCCGACGTGGGCCGCACTACCTCGTCGCAGCCCGGGCCACACGCTGTCGGCGCGGCATAGGATGGAGTGACGACCACGAGCAGAGTGAGGGTCTCGTTCCTCCCCCATCTCGGTCGCCTGCGCAAGCCCGGGGTCGGTGTCGGAACCGTCTCCGCTGGCGTAATCATGCTGCCCTTCCGTGCTCGCTCGGGCTATTCTGTCACTGCCGAAGCGCCTTTGATGTCTCGGACTGCCGGGGATCAGTCAATGTTGCGTCGGATGAGACGGGAGGCGTGTCGTCCTACGGGATGCTGCTCTTTCACTTCGGGAGGTCGTGGCTTTCGTGTGCTGGGTGTGTAGGTGCGTCGCGTGCTGTCAGACGAAGAGGGGGCGATTGGTGCGTGCGCGGTGTCCTTGGGCTAGTCATAGCTTTGGCAAGGTCATTGTCTCTTCGTGCTATATTAAGTTGCACATAGCCTGCTCGCAGCCTGGCATGCATGCCAGGCCAGTGTGGTAGTTTCCCGCAGCCCACGATCGCACACAGCCTGTGAACCTGCGATTCAGTGAACAGGCTGCAGGCAACCCACATGGGCCCAACGGTAATTTAGCCCCCTAGTGCGCGGCTCTGGTTGGCCCCTCCTGAACTTGTTGGAGCGATACGAAGCACGCGGCCCATATGCGCACAGGTCCATATCACCGAGCCAAGCGCAGGAGCCTTTCGGGGCCAATATCCCGCGTAAATAGTAAACAATCGAGCAGAATCACGCGGACGCAGGTCAGAGACAGAGGTCGGCGAAGGCTAATCACGTTATACGATAAGATCGGCCCTTGTGGCCGCACCTGCTCCCAGCTCTGCGGCAGACAGGTGCGGCCCAGATGCCAGCGGCACCTGCCGGACCTGATGAAAGAGGACCGTGCGCAGAGCTTCCATTGCCTGGATATTGGTTGCCCAAGGTGCGGAATCCCGTGACCCCGCGCCTCTTCCTGGATGGCTGAGGGATGCCCTGCCAAAACTTCCTGAGTCCCCAGTTTGCAGAGCTGATTTTGATTTTTCCTAGTGCCTGGGTGAGTGTAAACAGCCCTGCGGAAGAGGTTGTTGATTGTGGGAATGGAGACCCATAGTGTGAGTCTGAGACGTAGGACGCGGTCTCCCCTCGACATTGCATTCACCATGAGGCGACCGTCCGCACCTGACACGTACATGAGGAGTTCTGAATCTGTCATGAAATGATGAATGCCCCTCGCGAGGGTCAAAAGACGGCCCGACTGCCATAACGTGATGTCGATACATGGAGTCCTAGATACAATGTCAACATTCAGCCTCCCAGTCCTTCCATCCGAGCTTCCGAAGGCCTCGGATCGATCCGAGACCCGACCCAAGCGCCCAAAGCGCTCCACTCCCAGGCGCTGCCGTACACCGCTCGTAAACATTCAAGGTGCGACACCTTTAAGCATAACTGTCGTCATGGCCGTGGCGTTTGGCGTCTGTGTTTTGCGGACCGGCGCGGCAGGAGATAGGGACAGAGGAAGACGCTAACGGACGGCTGGGACGGCTGATCGCGGCTGAAGCGCGGCTGATCGAGCATTTCTTCAGGCATCGTCGGGTCCGAGCGCGCCCAAAACGCGTCCAACCTCTCCCAATGCGGCCAAGCGCGCGTTCCAGTGACCTCGACCGCCTCCAGTGCCTGCCCAGTACCTTGCGCGGCCTCATTTGGGGCTCGCTTGAATCTCGCCAGTGCCACGGGGGTTGGAAGGATGCCCGCAACGAGGTCCCAGAGGCAAGGTACCCCGCAAACACCGGATTCCGCTGCTGACTACACCCCCCGCAATGTCGGCTTGGCACCAGCTTTCCGTCGGATCGAGCCGATCGCTTGATCACCTCGGTCTCGACGATTGTCGGGTTCGGACTATCTCATGCGGAGATTAGAGGACGTAATGCGCACGGCGGAGACGTAATGAGGCGCTTCTCTGAAGACGCAGCCGCGTCATGTTGCGTCATGAACTCGTTCCGGCGGTCCGGAAGCTCGGCGGAAGCCTCTCATGAATGGGGGCTGAATGCGGGGTCGTCATGATTGGGGCACTTTGTAAGAGTGGAGATGGTGAGAGGCAAAGTGGGGATGAGGATGTCGCGTGGTAGTCGTGGGGTGCGTGGTACAGGCGAGGTGGTGTATATCGTACAGTCGTGATGTCGTGTGTTGCGGGACAGCTCAGTAGTTGTTGTAGTTGAGGTGGTGGTAGACCCTCTGCTCCTTCTCCCCATCCGGGCTCCGCATAACCTCGGCGCGCATGACCTCCTGCTGCTGCGACCTCCTCCAGCCGATCCTACCCAGGAGTGTATTGGCGCTGGCGGCAGGGCTGAGATGGGCGGGCAGCTGGACTTGCGGTCCAAGCTCTTCAGGCAACTGCGAGCTCGCCGGCCTCGCGGGTCGGACAGGCGCCGGTCTCTGCGTCCTCAGCGTATCCAGCGACTCTCTCGCTGTAAAGCCGGAGTAAGCAGAACTAGCCCGGCGACCAAGCACGCTTTCGTAGAGCGCCTTGATCTCCGGTCCGAGAGGTTTCTCCCCTGGCTGGTCAAGGAGTTTCATGACCGCAGCCTCGAGGTCGGAGTAGTGTTCCTTCTGGTTTGCGCGGAAGAGACCGCGCAGCTCCTGCTCGAGCGCTACGTCGTTCTTGCTTCCCTCCACTAACGCCTGTACCTGTCGCTCGAGAGGGGTCGTGCCGGGTCCGTACGCGTTGTACGTCACATGGATCGCACTGTCGAGGTCCATCTTCTCGCTCGGCGACTGGTTGGGTTTGCTCCGAAGGCTCCGCAGCGAGCGGATACTACGCGCCCCACCGCCAGAGCCAGAAGACGGGAGCACGGGCGGCTTGAAGGACCCCGCGCTGCCGCTGCCGGAGAAGGAGCCGTTGCCTTGGCCATAGTAGCTGTAATCCGGCATAGGGAACGGCGGGAGACTCGGATTCGGGCTCGCAATGCGGGTGGGGTAGTACATGTGCCAGAAGTTGTCGTCGAGGGGCTTGCTACGTTTCTTCTTGCACCGGCGCATCAGCCACCAAATCAGCAGTCCGACCAGGATGATCCCAACGACACCACCGACGACGATGCCGACGACGGCACGCCAGTCGAGCGCCGACTCCTTCTTCGGCAGGAACGACTGGGGTACGCACGCGCTTCCATTCCCGGGCTTCACCTCGAAAGCCTCAGAGGCTATACGGCTCGAGGCGTTTGTCGTCGAGATGGCACCGAGGCGATACAGACCCGGAGGCACGTTGACCTGCCACTGGAGCTCGCCGCCGCCAAACGCCTCGATCAGCGTCATGTTGATGAGTGCGCGGGAATGGAGCCGTCGCCTCTCCTGCGAGGACTGAGTTGGTTGCGGCTCTGAGCTCGCCTCGCCTTCGCCTCCCGGCTGCTCGGCCTGCTGCGAGGCACCCCCGTCGAGCCTCGGCCTGTCCGATGGCTGAGGCTGTGCTTGCGTCTGGGGTGCCTGTGCATCGACGGGTCTGCCGCCGTTCAGTGTCGCTGTCGGCGTCACTCCCGTATCGACGTTGACAGTGGGCGTCGGGGCGCCACTTGTCTGCATCTTGAGCTCGGAGCCGATGGAGTAGGACGCCGTGTCGACGCCAACGGACGACCACTGCGGCACGCCCATGTTGTACACGTAGATGTCCCAGCGCTCTTCCTCGCGCTTGCGCCGGTCGTGGTCGTCGGGGTGCTCGATCTCGGGCGGGGGCGCCGTGTCCGGGTTTCGTGTCGTCTGTGCCGTCTGCAGTTGAGCGTTGTCGGAGCCAGTGGGCGCCGGACCTAGGTGCAGTGTCGCAGTCGCGCACACGGTGTACGTCGGCGAGACGGTCCACTGCAACTGCGCGCTCGCCGTCAGCGCGGTGGCGACTGCGACTAGCCACCGCATGTTCGTTGAGAGGTAGAGTACGATGCCAAGAGGGTCAGAGTGCTCCCATGAACATGAGTCAAGACGGCAGACGGAGCATACGAGGCCGCCGATGCCCGCACCTCGCCGCATGAGCGTGCATGAGCGTGGACGAGAGCCGGAGGAGGGTGAGGTAGGAAGCCTGGCAGGCAGAAGACCAAGGATTACGGTTTGGCGCACATCATGGTTTTGGCGAAAAACGCAAACTCTGCATCCTCCGTAGCCTCCAGACGCCTTGCTGGCTCTGCAGCTCTGTGTCAGCGAGCCAGCTTGTGAAATTAGGCATTAGGCGTTTCCCGCTGAGACGCAACGAAGGGTTGGCGAAGAAGGGATGGTGGTCGTCGTACGCCTGCACCTCTGTTGCTGGAGATCACCCCCGGAGGTGGCTAGGCACGCTCGAAACTCTAATGTCAGTTCGACTCTCACCTTGCGAATGATGTCTCACTCCCACGTTACTCAGTTTGACGTACAGCTGCAGCGTACACTGTACCAGCAAACCCGTCCGTACCCCCTTTTCTGTGCGTTCCTAGGAAGCTGAGGACTCACTTTTCGCTTCCCAGACAGTGTGCGACGACGATGCAGATGTTCTTTTCGCCAGCTCTAACGAGAACAACAAGCGCACCCGAATGCTAATCTGGCAGAAGCAGCGGAGCATTAGCTTTGTGCTTGCTGCTGTACGTGCTCTCGCCTCCCTTGATGGACACCTTGCCATTGAATTGTCAGCTTTTGGGCTCGCTCTAGATGGAACAAGAGGGGTTCGCCGACGTCCACGCACGACAGTGGAGCGATGAAACGCGCCAAGGACATGCCATCCACACCCTTGCAGACGTACATGTCTTTACAACTGATGCATCGTACACGCTTCTTCTACTCGTACACTGTACACTGAGGACGGCAGACTCCGGCTTTGCTTCCCATGAAGCGACGGTCGACACGAGGCACGTAAAACGTCCAGTCCGTACCTCGAAGCACTCCCGTGCCTCTTTTCAGCGTGTCACAGCAAGATGTCACTCGTCACGCTCTCGGATCACCATCGACCGGTTTCCGGGAAAGTTCTCGCCCATGATCGTCCGGAGGCCGGAAGCCAGGGGCCTCGCCCGACCATCGTGGGCCGATGGGAGACAGCCGTTGTCCTCGTGCATCTCGAGAATTGCTGGAACTTTGGTTCAAGCCCATCGTGAGAACATTACTCGAGTTCTCATGACCATAGCCTTGTCCTCTCCAAACCCAATGTCACCAGCTTATCGCTGTCCAGCTGATAAGCTCGGCAGTCTGGTGAGGATAGAGATCCGTGGACTGGGGGCACTAGTTGAGACGCTCCCAAGCTCGTCTAGCTGACCGGCTACCCTCTCGCCTCATGGCAGCCTGGAATGCCTCCCGATCGCTCTTCTTCTGGCTCCGTTGCCGCGCATAAGGCGTAGTGTCCGAGAACGATACCATCTTGGCGTGCGCGGCCTGCTGCTGGGCCAACTTCACGGCGATGCGCGCCTTCTCCTGCGCTGCTAGGTGTGCCAAGCTCGCCTGCTGCGGCGGCGGAGGTCCACGGATCGCGGGGGGCCCTCGCGATCTCGGCGGTGCCGGTTTCGGTGTGCTCTGGAGCTGCGGTAGCCGCAGGGGTTTCGGTACCGGGGCAGAAGTCGCTGGCGCTCCGGGTGCGGGAGGCAGTCTCGTCGGTCCTGACGATGGATCGGAAATGGATGGACCTGAGGGGGGGGGAAGTGCTGAGGGCGGATGGCGGGCCTTGTGGCGTCACGATTCCCGTCCTTTCCAACTGCGCGTAGTCTTTATCATAGATGACAGGTTCGGCCGTCGGGGCGAGTGGCGCTGGCTCGACAATGCTCATCTTCTTCGGGAACATGGCCGCGGTCGGCGACTGGGCAAAGTCCGTGAGCTCGGTGTAATCGTTCGTCCAGGCTTGGTGCGGGTCCATCTGATCTGGTTCCTCGTACTGCTGCTCCGCATACATCGGATCAGAGTACACCCCCTGCGCATAGTCGGCTCCCGCCGGGTCCGGCTCGGCGTACGAAGCAACATAAATCGGGGGCATCTTCCGCCTGCCCTTGCTCTGAGAGTTTGGCGGCGTGAGGATCTCGGGGCTGCTCGAAGCATCGGAAGACGTGGGCGGGTAGGAGGGGCGCTTGGAAAGCTGCGTATCGTGCGTTGGCCGAGGCGGAGGGTAGGATGAACTCGCAGTTATCATGGGGCGCGGGTAGGGCGCGTCCGAGACGCTGCGCCTCGTCATGGGCTTGGAGAGCGTGCACAGCTCGTCACTGTGCTGTCGCCGCTTGTAGTGATAGCCCTTGCTCGGATCGTTCAGTGATGTCGTCGAGCCGCTAAAGTATGCCGCGTCCGGCTGGGCCAGGCTCGTCTTGGATGCGAACGCGCTCGGCGCACTTGCGTCATTTGCGACACTCAACTGGCTCCGCGACGCGTACTGCGAGCCGGGGTTCAGGCTCAACTGCGAACGCGAGGCGTATTGCTGGGACCTCGGGTCGAGACTGAGCTGAGAATGGGAGGCGTAGTGCGGCCCTTGTGGCTGGGGTTGGGGCTTATCGTCCCCGCCGAAGATGTCCGAGATCGCGCGCGTCAGGTCGTGGTACATTGTCGACGGCTGCTGTCCTCCTGCTCGTCCTCGCGGCGCAGAGTTGAACTGAGCTGCCAGCTGGGGCGACTCCATTTGTCCGTACGGGTTGTTCGTGTGCCGGTGCCGAGAGGGCTTGCGCGCGCGGCGTCGCCTAACACACACAACGACGGCGCCGACGACGAAGAGCACAGCAACGACGCCGGCTACTACGCACACGGCGATGATCGTCGTGTTTGCCGAGGGGCCGGACGATCCTTCCTCCTGGGCGAGGGCCATAGGCAGGAGCGCGGGCACCAAGACCCAGCATGGCGTTCGTCTCCTCATTTCCACGGTCTATCGAGCTGCTCGTCAAGTTGGAAGTGAGTGATGTTGCAACAACACCTTGTCAGAGCGACCTGTTGTGAGTCCAGCCTCGAGAGCAAGAGCGACCCCCTTCCTACCGATGGGTCCAAGTCGTGAAGTCACGTCAGCCCCTACATTGCGAGGTGCGCTCGCAAGAAACAAGCTTTCATTTAGAGGCCGGGGGCATCCGTATTGAGGGGAATGAGGAAAAAGAGGCCGGACAGGCACTGAGGAACGATTGTAAGCGAGGGTGTTTTCTTGGGCGCGGCCAGCCCTTGAGAATGGGGTGCGTCGGTATATGGTGGGGCCTCGCTGGCCGGGGTAAGATTGGTTCCACAGGGAGCTGGTGGTACCGGATGGCAGGGCCGGGTCAAACTCGACCTCTGCTCGTCGTCATGCAGGCGTCGCATGTCGCGATGGCAGGGTGAATGGAGGGGTTTCGTGAAAGAAAGGAGACTGGAGCGACGCGCGCAGGCAGCGATGTGACAGGGAGTCCTGACCATGCCCGGCTTGGGCGGCAGGCACCAGGGTCAACGACCAGCACGCGTCCGTACAGTTACGTAACGCATCCCGAGCCCTCAGTTGCATCTGCCAGATGCCCGTGAAACAGCCTCTCACTCTTCGGGCTGGATTGGCTGGAGCGGGCTGGGCATACCGGAATTTGGGTGCATGTGAAAGGCTGACCGCAGGTGAACATGACGCTGCGTTCTTGACACCTGTCAGCTGTCTGGGAAATCTGCAGAGATCAGTCTGCTCGTCAACACAGATCTTGGACATCTTGGGCCGCGCCGTGTACATCTGTCTCCAGAAGACTTGGCGAGATGATAACTCCGCTGGCCAGAAATCCGAGCCCCGACAACGTTCTCCGAGAATTGAGGCCGAAAGGCGGCGAAGGGCCCGACGTTTGGAGTGGGCATATGGGCGAGATGGGCACACGACAGGCTGAAGGTTTTGGCCAGGAAAGGCGAACGTGGCGGCGAGGGGCAGGTCGCAGGGGCTGGAAGGATTGGCTGGATCGTCACTCTGGGCCATCATTAAATTGTCGCGCGTGTCGCATCGACAGGCCTGCCAGGCCCTGGGATCCACCCGATGCGCACAATCACTCAGGCTGTGGAGCGCCGATCCCATCTGCGTTTCGTTGACTGGTACTGATCCAGTTTCGGGTCATCTTCATTACGTGCTGATCAATGCGAAAGTGAGCGACCGGCAGCGAGGCGGGACACTCCGCCGGTCGTCGGAGCGCGCGGCGCCATGCGGTTGCGTTTCAGCCGAGCGCCGAGCATGTGGGCCGCAGCCTCGATCGCGACGCTGTTCGTCTATAAGTCGCGACGAGGAGACGAATGTCCCCGAGCGTCCAACGACCTATGGTAGTGCCGGACAGAGCCTCCGCACGACGCCTTGACAGCGCCATCGCTCACATTCTCGTGTACAATGACGACGTTTGGTGCCGCTGTACCCCCGCGGTATGGGGCAGAGGCCGGGTGCCCCGAGGCATGGAAGCGATGGACATGAGGAAGTGTTCCGACCGAGAGAGCCGCCTATCCGCGCTTCCTGCCCGCGGCCCGCGGATGATGGGCAGAATGACGATGGGAGGCGCAATGACTACCATGCCCGGTGCGACGTGTGTGCTCGTTGCCGTTGGATCTGGAGTCGGCAATGCGGGACAGAATTCTTGCGCGATTGACGGAGGCGCAGCAACGAATGACGCCTGTCTCCGCGCAGTGTTCGCTGTGCAGTGGAGTCGACGACGACGGGGGGGCAATCGGGCCCTATCAAAGGCTTCTTAATATACGCCCTGCCTACGCCTTTACTGCGCCCTCGAGCGAGCATTGCTTCGTGCCGATCCCCTTCGCACGGTCGCCCTCGTCCGGGGAGAGTTTCACTCTGCGTGCTGCGCCGCTTCCCCCGTATGCTCGTCAACACCTCGTTCCACAGAAATTTCGACAGCCAACATGCCCACAGCCCACTTATCTCGACCACAGCATTCACTCTCGCCCGTAGCCAACACACCCTCGACACATGCCCGCCGAACCCGGCCCCAGCAATCCGGGCGACGTACATCGTGTCCATCCGGAGCATGCTTCACACAGCACATCGAGGCGCGACTCACTATGCCCGCTTTAAAGGAAGGCCAACTCCTTATCCATCTCCATCTTCCCTCCGATCGCATCCGGCACAGCCACACATGTCGCCGCCGACGCAGGTTACGTACCGGTCCACCTTTGAGCCCTTCACCACCGATGGTGAGTTAGCAGCCCCTTCGTTGAAGCTGAAAGCAGAGTACATGTACCCTGAGGCGGAGAGCTGGCGCCTGTCGTGAGTTGAGAGTGGTCTTTCGACTGACTCCAGCGAGCTCGAGGAGTTTCAAGTGGACAACCTCATCCTTGAAGTGAGTTAGCATTGGACACCATTGACACCAGGACATCCGGATTGCAGAGACAATGTGAGCTCCGATGCTTGGTCGCAAGCTGATCCCAGGCTAAACCCGACGCTTATGGGCTCTTCACAACACTTTTGGTTCACCACGTTCCTGCCCCGCATTGCCTTCGTAAGTACTCATAAGGGCTGCCAAAGCCTCGAGCTGACCTCAGGAATGGTGCTTCTGGTTTGACCGGTACTTGAAACTTTAGAGTCCAGCTAACTCACAGAAGGGTAACCAGCGAGGAAGTCGACGGACGGCTCGGCCAGCTCATCACCAACATGCTCTACATGTTCCACGTGCACGTCACCGACCCACAAACGGGGAGTCGCTACGCGGTAGGCCAAGAGATCCTTGAGGCTGTGAGGGCTATCCGGGATGTAAGTACTGCTAAAAGCGGAGGGCGAGCTAACACACAGCGCCTGCATCCGCAGACCCGCGCAATCCCGTGGTCAGACGAGCACCCATGATCCATCTTTCACAGCATCGCCATCGACTACATTCAATAGGAGCATAGGTGTCATAGGGAAAATTGCATGTCATAGTTCATTCCAGCTACAGCGTGTCGTCGAGGTGATCACTGATCATGGCCGTCACACAACGTCTCACACATCTCTCAATCTCGATCGCAGCGGCGTGCTCCATGCCACTGGTTGCCTTGTCTGTGCTCGATTGCCACCCGCCTCCACCTCATCGGAACCAAACAAGCGGACAGTCCAGTCACCTCCACCTCCACCTCCACTTGCCTGTCGCCCTCTTCCTCGCTTTGTGTCCAGGTGACTCACGTCCACACCATCCACCATCGACAGCCCCGGTGTCGACTCGCGGCCCGGGGTCGACAAGAGAATGCACCACAAAACACTCTCCGCGTACTATCCTCGCCTGTGCACACTGGAAGAGTACCTCTCGTCATACGAAGGGCTAGTCTACCACTCTGATCCCGAAGGCTACCGCGCTCTTGTAAAGGGCGTGCTGTGTGCTGAACGCCACCACAAGCTGGGTCCTTTCCCTTCCCTCGGACCCGTAGAAGGATCGCAGCAGGAGGCGATCGATAGCCTACTTCGCGCGCTGGGTCACGATGTGCTCGTGCTCGGTAATAGGGTGTGTTGAGCGCAAGCTCGGAACTGCTCTCGTGTGAAGCTAACTGCCCAGGCAAAAGGTTGGAACAACCAGCAGACTCAAGCAGCCCAGGAGACACAGTATGTCGGTGAACCTGCTGATGCACTCCGTGCCCGGCCATGGCGCATCCTGCGCAGCCGGATCGGCGATGCAGGGTTCCGCCATCTCTTTCTCACCGCCAACGTCTTCCTCCCCCTTGGCAACAACTGCTACCTACAACTGAGTGGGCCGCCAATGCACGAGCTCTACAACTCCCGTACTGCAGAGGAAGCTGTCCAGAGAGGGAAGAAGCGCAAACGCGACGAGTCTCCTGCGAAGAAGTCAAAATCGAGCAGAGGGTAAGCTCCATACATCCGCTCACAGCTGATAGCAGCGCCGCCAGTGTGAACCTTCGTAGAGAGCGCATCTTCTACGGCAGGCCACCTCGCACTGCCCGCGGCAAGATTCACTACGGGCTACCGCTAGACCGTGAGTTAAGTTTTCCGCTGCGGAGCTAACGACAGACGTCCTCAATTCCAGGCCCGGACCTGAGAAGCTTCTGGCGGCGATCTTCCCCGACATGATCGACCGCAGGGGCGACCTCAAGGGCAGTGCGGCCAGAGTCACGACTATGAAATCCGCCATGACAGAGTTGCAAACAGACCATGATCGGACGAACTATGGTCTGCTTCTTCACAGAGCACTGAGCCGAACAGTGAGTAGCTGACCCGACATACCAGAGCTGACCGTCAGAAAGACGTCGACCTCGTGAGCTAGATGGGCCTACTGTTGAAGCTGACCACAGAGCGCGTATCCTCCACTGCCTAGGAAGCTCGAGGAGATTGATCAACTACCGTCAAAGGAAACCCTTGAGCCCATCAGCCAAAGCCAAGTATGCCGTTTCACTACTGCCGCGGTCCGTAGCCTTGTCGGCGAAGTGGTCGGCAGTCAGCACAACCTCGACGTGATCTGTCGCAGTGAGCTTATCGTTCGCATCTCCAGCTAATACCAGATGCACGCCGAATTGTCACTGCCAAGATGTTCGAGCCGATATCACTGCACACTGTGATGCAAGACATGCGGGTAAACGACCTGGACTGGCTGTGCGTCGGCGAAGGACGGGTGTCGCCTCAAGAAGCAACCAAACGCCGACAGCTAGCTGAAGCTTTCATCCTTTGGCTGTTTGATGACGCCATTATCCCCCTTCTCCGTGTAAGCTAGAAGGCTTACACCTTAGCTGACAGCAGGCCTGCTTCTATGCGACAGAAACTGCCACGACTCGTTACGAGACGGTTTACTACAACCATGCAGCGTGGATGGCGCATTCGCGGCCGCACCTGCGCTCGCTGGCGAACTCCTTACTCGAGGAGCTGAAGGAGGAGGACGTCGAAGCAGCACTGCGCAGCACGCACGGCGCCAGTGCTGTTCGTTTGATCCCGAAGGCGACCGGTTTCCGCCCGATCGTGAACTTGGGGCGCCGAATTGTGGGTGGAACTCGGGAGGACGTTCTGACCCTCCAGAAAGCAGCTGGCGCAGCTCGCCCACAGAGTGCCAACGAGGCACTAAGAGGTTTGCACGAGATCTTGACGCTCGAGAAGAACCGTCACCGCGCTGAGATGGGCGCCTGTCTATTCGGCACGAACGAGATCTTCGCCCCCGTACAAGCACTGAAACGCGAGTTGACCGAGGACCATGGACGAGTGTAAGCCACGAATATGTCTTCAGCTAACATCAGACCGAAGCTCTACTTTGTCAAGATGGATGTGGCCGCCGCGTTCGACACGATCAAGCAGGACAAGCTGATGGAAGTGATCGGCGAGCTGCTGGAACAGGTTGTGGTCATTTCCCCAGGATGCAACTGACTTCAGGAAAGCGACTACAGCCTCATCGCCTACGTGCTCATGCTTCCGCCAGCAAGCCAGGCATCGCAGAGTACACCGCGGCGGCTCTTCAAGACCCGTGCCGCTGTCGCTGACTCCTCCCTCAGCCAATGGGGCGAACATGCGCGCTCCGTTGCCGAGCCCATGCGTAATGCCGTTCTCGTCGATCTCGTGAGAAGTGGCCTCATGGTGAACGCTAATGCCAGGTCCGACGCAAAAGCACGACGCGCGCTGAATGTCTTGCTCAACTGCGAGCTCACGTTGCTCAGAACGTGTGGCAGCTCGGCAGCAAGCTGTACCGCCAGAAGACAGGCATCCCTCAAGGCTCGAAGATCTCGAGTCTGCTGTGTTCTCTGTTCTATGCTGACCTTGAGCGCAAACACCTCAGCTTTACACAGCGCCGCGGCACGGTGGGTCCTAGCTGATCCTGCCTCCGATATCGCTTAGCTAACGTCAGCGACTTCTTCGGTACATCGATGACTTTCTGCTCATCACATCAGAACTCGCCGTCGCGCGGCGCTTCGTGTCAACCATGTCCCGCGGCTTTCCCGAGTATGGCGCACGGATCTCGCCAGGCAAGACGCTGGCGAACTTCGAGCTCGACGGCGCGACAGATGTCGCTACGCTGAACGAGGGTGGGCGCTGTCTCTTCCCGTACTGCGGGTTCCGGCTGGACACGGCGTCGCTCGATTTCAGCATTGACATCGAGCGGCTCCTTGGCGGTGAGCTTTGAGATGATACTTCCAGCTGACGTCAGACACACGGCAGAGCTTTGCACTGCGCAGCTCTCGACGGCGCGGTGCAGCGTTCGTCGGATGGCTCTCGCGCCAGTTGGAGAACCGCAACCACGTCGCATACGTGAGCTGGGCGCCGTGATACGCAGCTGACACCAGCTCGACACGCAACACAACGCGCAGGACACTGTGCTCACCAACGTCTATGTCAATTTCGCGCAGACCGCGATGAAGATCCCGCACTACTTTGGCCAGCCGCTGGATCGTCACTTCGCGCAGCTGGTGTACCGTAAGTCCCCAGCTAAGTATACTATCCATGTGATGAGCTGACGGCAGGCTGGATCTGCATGGCGATCGAGTACTCGTTCACTTCTGGCCGGGCACGGGTACACCACGCTGCGCGCGGAGACGAGCCCGAACGACACTACGCCACACCCAAGAAGGACTTTACACAGTGAGCTTAGCCAGCCCACGGTGGAAGCTGATAGCAGTATAGCGAAGAGCGCCGTTGCACGAGTGCTTGGGCGGAAGCCTGGGTTCCGCTTCGTCGTAGATCGATTGCAGAGGGACTTGCGCCCGCGACCGAAGCTGCAGTCGGTCATTAACAGGGGGTGGGACTCGGTCAGATCTGCGAAGTATTAGTTGTACCTTGCGATGTAACCATATGCGTTCGAAGAGCGGCACCGGGCCCTGAGTCTGCGTTCAGTTGCGTGCTCCAGAATCCACAGCTGCAGCGTGGCTTCAGCCTGTAGTCAGCCGGCGGTGTGGCGGAAAATCCACTAGTCAGTCGCACGATGCCACAACAGCCTTAATGCGTGTAGAGATCCATCTCTGCAAAGTACAAGTACCCAAGCCAACACCTCTCTGCGCTCCGTTTAGATAGTGGTCTCGTAGGGGAGGGCGGCGAGGGTCTGGGGGGTGTTGTTCTTGGTGGAGACGGTGCGGGCCTCGCGGGGCTGGGCGGGGAGACGCTTGAGGACGACAACCTCGCCCTTGGCCTTGGCCTCCTTCTTGGCGGCGGCGTTCGACTTGACGCGGTCGAGGAACTCCTGACGGCACTTGGAGTGCTTGACGTGCTCGATGCGGACGTTGACGCGCTTCTCCATGTAGCGGCCGTTAACGACCTTGTAGCAGATAACACCGACAGCACGGGGGGCAACCTGTTTTTTGGTCAGTTTCTTCGATCTTTCGATTTCTCCAAGTCGCCCGCATGCATCGAGCACGCTCAAAAAAACGCACGTTGAACACAATTCCGGTTTTGCCATGGTAGACTGAGCGTTAGAACTGCAGAAGAAGAAGAAAGAAGAAGAGGAAACGTGAAGAAGAAGTCCGGAGGTGGTTTGGTGGGTGGTTGGTTGGGTGGTGGGATGATACTCACACTTGTGGGGCATACCCTTCTGCTGGTACGAGTTGGCGACAATGTCGACAATGTCACCGACCTTGTAGGTGGTGAGGTAGACGTTCAGCGAGGGAGCACCGTGCTCTGAGAAGAGTCAGCTGGAATCCTTGTTCAGGACAGCTCGACGAGACAACAAGACGACGGACGTTTCCTCCACCCTGCCACCATCCAGCCACCAAATTCGCTAAACTGCCTGCAAACTGCTATGCACGCATCGTTCCGAACTCTGTGCGCATGCAAGCGAACGCATGCAGCAGAATTCCGGGACAATTTTGTGCGAAGCAAAGCCTGCAGACGAGTCGTCGACGCTCCGATGGTGCTGGTCTTTGGGCCGCTCAGATCTTCAATCCAACTCCCGACGGCCCAACCATCCAACCCTTTCCGTCTTTCCAGCCCTCTCTCTCCTCCTCTACGCATTCCTCGTCATACTGTCCATCGTCTCCGTCCGTCGTCTGTGTCTCGTCGCTGTCTGAAGTCTTCGATACGCACGGCGGAACTGGCGCTTGAACATGTGACGCGTGCGCGCCCTGGTACCGAACGAGTGAGGCATTTTTGGCGGGTTTTCTGGTGTCCTGTCAGCTTCTAGTTGCCTTCGATGTCGTGGTCGATGTTGCCGATGTCGTCGATGTCGAGGGGAGCGCTGAGATCGACGTCGGGGGTGTCACTCACTTGGCTTGAACGGCTAAGAGAACCTCAAAAGCGCACTCTGAGCACAATTCGAGTACCGACCTGCCAGCCAGCGCCAGGGCGCGGGACCACTGAAAGCCTGCAAGCGGCTGCCGTGGGAAAGCTATTTCGATCCAAAAGTCGGACATTAGCCACGTGGCGTCTTAGCGCCGATAGACTCGGCCCGATGTCTCATGGACCCTGAACTGTGTCCACTTGCGAGTTTTGCATGCTTGCGAAGTCTGGACTTCGATCATTTACGCTCGCTTCTGCCTGCATCGCACACACCCAGCTGACACTCGCAATCATGTCTCGATGAGCTGCATGACTCCACCTTGCACTCTATCCTCTTCAGCGACGCTCTGCAGGACTAACTGCGCACCTGCTTACCACCAGCTTTCATTCATCGCTATTGACCTGTCACTACTCCACGCTCCACCACCTGGTCGCTCCGTTGTTCGCCATTGTCACAGTCAGGGCGACACTAGCGATGACCTCGGGCGTTCAGGCTACAATATCAGTCGGGCGCTAGACCTGAGACACCGATCACCAGTTGGTACCAAGCCTCACGCGTCTGACTTTAGATCCCGACGTCATCGCAGGTGACTCAACCTCCATCGCACGCAGCTGCAACGTTCTTATATGTGTCTTCCTCCTCTTATTCTTCACTTCACTCACTCCAGTACCATTCCTCCTTCCTCTCACGTCTCTCGCTTTGATATGCTTCTCATCAGTGCGTATCGAACATCGACCGCGAGCTTCGACTACGTATCCATGTTCACTTCCGCTCCAAGCTCCTAGAGTGTGGTAAGTCGTTGGGTGGCGAGGAAGACACGTTAACTGACCGCCAAGCCTTCCCACACTACATTCTCCCACCCTCCTCGGATAGAAGAGTCCATTCATCCAGCAGCTCTTCGCAACAGGCGCAATACGACCACATCTTCAAGCCCCCCGAGCGTAACGTATTCGATCTTTACCCAGTCTGCAACGAAGACTTTGCGATGGAAGCACTTGCAATGTCCTTGCCCCTCCTTCAGCCTCGGCGGGGCGGCCATCTGCGCAAGCATCAAGAGCCGCTACTATCACCTTATCGGCGACCGGAACTTTGCGCGCGCGTGGATCAAGCTGTGGAACAACTTCGACCGTCTCGACATGACGACCGTCGCGTCGCCTTCCCTCCGGCCGACTTTCGTCAAGGTCTTCGCCGAAGTCGCCACCCATGACGTGCTTCTCTGTTGGAAGCATCGTCTCAACGACTCCTACGACGTTACACAACTGTGCGACCTCGTCATCGGCGGACTTCAGCCTGGTGCCGAAGACATTTTCGTTGCTGCCGCAGGTGGCAACCGCACATACCTTCCCCGGCCACCCTGAAGGGTGGCCTGATGGACGCCTTCAAGTGTCCATGGAGGATTGTGTACTACTAGTTGGCCGAGCCGGTCGACAACATCACTCTGCCGACGATTGGCTACGTCGGTTCAGCCACGATCACTGCTGGGTTCCTCGGGCGGCGAGTCCCGCTTGAGGGGCCACCTCTCTTTCTTCCGAAATGGAAGGTGAGTCACCACCGCACAGTGTGCGACCGCACTGTGTCTGAGCGAGCCGAGGGCCGGTACTGACAAACAGTGAGACACTTTTCCTCTATCGGTGTGCGAACGGCCACCGCTACAAGATCTCCATCCTGGTTCTCTGGGCTACGCCCTTTGACTTCCGCTTGGCCTCTGACGCGGCCATCAAGGAGGAGCGGAGTGAGGTCCACATTGAGTCAGCCCTGGCAACCGCCATGGGCGTCCACAGCGAGCAAGGCTCTCGGACCGTGGTCTTTGACCTTCCCTCCCTTTCTTTCACCCCCGCCAACGTCGCCGACCCGCTGTCGGTCCAGCAAACCGCGGGGTACGTCCAGTAATCCGTTGAAGGACTCACTCGAACACTTTCCCTTCGTGACATGGCCTCCTGTCGCAGTGCCCCTCCCGCTTCCGATGCGCCTCCGACGAACTCGCCAACGCAAAACAGGCTGGCGTGCACGTTTCAGGCTTAGTCCATTTGCTTTGCTTAAAGCGCGCAGGCACAACATGGACTCTTGCTGGTACGATTGACCTGGAGATGGATACCGAGCTTCGACACCTCGAGGGGGGAAGACGGCTCGTGGCAGGCGGAGCAGAAGGAAGGGGATAAGGAAATTCTCGCCATCAAGGTATTTCAAGACCACCTGGTCTCCTCAGCTGACAGCAGGCCGATATCGAGTTCACTGGCGACCTGAGGCCACACAATGAGCTGATGGCCCTGTGGACGGCTTGGCAGCCATTGGCCCCGTCCACCAGCGGCTCTCCCAAGGTCAAGGCTCTCTTCGTCCCCGTTTTCGCCGAGGTGCGCAAGCACGACATTATCGCCTACTGGTACGATCTACTTGGCGACCCTCGTCAAGTCTCCGAGTACTGTGAGGTTGTTGCAGATGGCTTGGAGTCTGGCGCAGAGGAGATCTTCCTGGAGGCGGCCGAGGGAAGGAGAAATTATCCGAGTTTCGATCGGATGAAGGGTTCGTTGATGAGTGCCTTCCTCTTTCCTACATGGATTGTATACTTCCTTCTCGCCGAGCCCGCAGAGGACCCCAGCCTGTCTACTCTGGTGTACGTGGGGTCGGGCACGGCCTCGGCCGGCCAATACACCGGGGGGGAGAGCAGGGCGAGGGGCCACCTGGGCAACTTCCGAAACGGGAGGTGAGTCATGAAAGCTCGGCGTGGTAGGCACAACCTGACTAGCAGTGACACCTTGCTCCTGTACAGGTCTGCAAACGGCAACCTGTACAAGATCTCGATCCTCGTGCTCTGGGCGTCGAACTTCGATCTCCGAACAGCTGCCGACGAAGAGATCAAGCGCCGCAGCCGCGACGTCCATGTGGTCGAGTCTGCACTCGCCACAGCGATGGGCGTCCACTCCGTCGAAGGCAGTCGTACAACTGTCTTTCACCTTGCTCCGGCCTCGGCTAGATTCAAGCCGTGCAACGTGGCCGACCCATTGTCTGCTATGCAGACAATGGCTACGTCCGGTACGAGGTCGCGGGCCCCAGCATACTTCGTCGGTCCGCGACCTAACGAAAGGGCCTGCTGAGGCGTAGCGGCGGACAGATGGAGCTCGGCACGGCTGAGCTCCTGCACTATATGCGTTGCATGGTCCCAGGTAAGTGACACAAGTGCACAACGCTCGGCGCTGACGCGGCAGCCCTCGCGACGCGATTAACTACTTGCGTACCTCGGCGCCTGATCCCCGGCACCACCATTCGCAAGGATGGCTGGCAGTGGTCGCCAGATCATTCGCCTCTCTCACCCAGGGGCAGTAGACCCCGAGGTCTACAGCGCCGTGAGCGCCATCATCCCTGCGCCGGCCACGTCCAGTGCAATCGACCAGGACGTGAAGCTCTTCCGCCTTCTCGTGGTCGAGGCCCTCGAGCTGTCTATGTTCTCGGACCTTTTAGCGCGTGCTATCCGCGCGTCCATCAGACGTGGTCGGCCTGCGGCGGCGACTGATGGCGATCTTCCCTGGGCCCATGACCACTGGTCCACGATCTTCGAGAACGCGGCCAGTGGTCTCCTCCACCCATTCCATGCCCTCAAGGATGGGTGGAAAGAGAGGATCAGCATCTCCACCAGGGAGCAGTTCAGGAGCAAGTCGGGCGGCCGCAAGCTGTCCGACGTCTGCGTCGAGGGCGTGCAAGAACACGGGCCGCCCTATTACGTCACAGTCGGCGAGCTGGTGTCCTTCCTGCGCACCGAGGTGAGCGGGAAGGACAACTGGTCCATCGGAGTCAGGGATTAGCCCGAGTGGGAGACTCTTGGTGTGGATCGTGGCGACGTGGTACAAGTGCCACAGCAATCCCCAGTTCGATACGAGGGCCTTCACAGAGACAAGCTGCATTGGCTGTTGCGAGAACTCCTCCAGGACCACACCATCTACCTCAAAGAGTTCTGGTTAGTCGGACCGTCCTTCTTCTCTGCCCTTTCGAATGTCACCATCACCTAGCAAGGCTTCTAACTCAACATCTGTGCAGCCCATTTCCATGGAGCTGTTCGGCATTCCACAAGTGCTATACTTTTGGAACCTCCGATTCACCCCTTCCAGCACACTCATCCCGAACGCCCCTCCTTTGCTCCTCAGTCCGTCCGACATCGTCATTGGGCTGCTCAAGGCTGCCCCGGGGACCATGAGCTCTCCGCGAACAAGCTCTGGGACTACATCTCAGCCTACTGTTCATCCTTCAGGAGTAACCCCAACGCAGCTAAGTCCTAGGCAGCTTCGCTCGTGGTGGTGTGTTCACCATCCGGACCAGCGGTGGCGAGTGCGTCATCAGGCTACGCAACTCCGCCTCAGCGCACAGCAAGATGGAGCATCTTTTCCCAGGCGAGCAGCCCGTCTACGAGGACCCCGCATTGACCAGGGAGGACTTGATCGTGGAGGCCCTCACTCTCTCCCTGCCTTCCCACATGTTGACGGGGCAGGCCATCAATAGCAGCATGCGTCGCCACTACCCAGAAGATGCCACAGACCGTCGCTTCGCATGCGTCCTCTGCTCTCCCATGAGGGTGGTTGACACTCACCGCGGGAGAAGGATGGCGACATGCCATCCTACGACTGTTTCGGGCGAGTGGCACCACGGCGTTCGAGGATCCAGTGAGCCTCTACTCCTCGACTGATTCGTTAGCAATATGGGAGGATATGCGGCTATAGTCAGCAGCATGCGAGGATATTTGTTAGCCGTAGTTAGCAATATGCGAGGAGAATTGTCAACGACATGTGAGGATATTTTCTTTCTCCGACTGTTGGTTGCTAAGGGCAACGTGCAGTGGCAGATTCAGGCGGAAGGGGAGCGCGCACGCGGCGGGGCGCCTCAACGAGCGTCGCCTCACCGGATGGCTGTACCGATGTGTAAAGCGAGAGGCTGTATCGACATGCAAAAAGAGGGGAGATTGCGGACGTTGTAGATTATCCAACAGCATGCATGGTCTGGTATGGGTGCGATTCAACTCGCAGGTGCCACCCGCATCAAAGCGAAGGACGAGACACTTGAAATTTACGAGATCTGTCAAGACAACATTGACATCAGGCGTTCGGAGTCTTGCGGCCCCTCAAGACTTTGAGCGACGCGCGACGATGAGTCAATACGGTGTCGCTTACACAGTCGAGGCTGCCATTGCAACTGACGGGCTTGGCCTCAGAGGGTGAGAGTGAAGGATGCGTTTCGAGCGATGGCCTGACACTTTTTGGACTCCAAGCAACTGCAGGCTCGGAACCTGATGCCCCCTGTTGCCAGCCGCTTGAGAACATGGGCTCGCCCTATTATCAGGAAAGCACTGCCACAGAGGGCGCTGGACCATGGAGGGTATCACGAGCCTACATCCCAACGCCTCGTGCCTCGTATCGTCAGCCCCGCTCGCTGCGGAGCTCGGTTCGGGAAAGAAAATCTGCCCCTTCAGACGGTGTAAGAAAGACTAAGCCTTCCTGTCGGGAGTGGGGATGGGGGTATATTGAGGCGAAGAGCCTCTAGTGCGTAGTACGCGTGCGAAGGAAGGACTGGCGCCGCCTGCTGCGATCCGAAGTGAACCTACTCGGCTATTGGCCCTCTTACGCGCACGTCCTTCATCGTCCAGACATGGCACGTGCCGGCTGAGGGCTGTTTGACTGGTTCCTCAGACCGGGGTGACCTTCCGCGCTGAATGGCGGGGCAACGTTGTAAAGTCATGGAGCGGAAGAAAGACCGGCGATCGGCGTCAGGAGGTACATAGGTCAGCGCAGCACAACGCCCCGAAGCTCTATGGCTGAGAGCTCGTCGCCCGGAGATGCGTAGACAGACTTGAAAGCGGAATAGAGATGCCCAGTCCGTCTCCTTCTCCGTCCCGGGACGCGTCTGCAAGGGATACGTTTGTAGCGAGGTGGTCGCGTGGCCCGTAGCGGAAGCTGGGGGCCGATGAGCTGCTGACAGATGCCTTCAACGAACTGGACCTTGGTACGAGCGGATCTACTATTTATTGCCACCGAAACTGCCTTGCGGGGCACAATGTCAAGGCCTAATTACGGCTCGAGTAAGTGGGCATTGCATTCGAAGGGCTCCTTCCACATGCGATGGGACTCAACGCTGCCCCCCCCCCCC